ATGCAATTGGTAGTACTTGTAGCTCCAATTGTGTTGTAACACTGTTATCTATCGCTGTTATTTGAGATGTAGCCTGTAAATTTATTACACTGATTTTGTGTTCCTTAATAGTCAGAACATACTTTTGTATCTTCTATGCATCCTTTGCCATTAGTTCTGCAACCTTTCTAAAAGTAGGCACATTCTTCATCTGTAGTGAATATGGCGTTATCAGAACACAATCTACTTCTACAAGGTGAGGTTTCGGTTGCATTTGAATCATTCCAGCATTTATTCGTATATAATGCACATCTGTTTTGACTCCCTTTAAAGAGTGTACAATCACTTTGTTTGTCTATACATCCATAACCACTGTAGACGCAATTGGACATTACCTGTTGACATGCTGAATCGGAATCATACTTGTCCCCAGTTAAATCAGAGCACGATAAATTTTGACAAGAATTATTCTACCAAGTACATTTTGTATAATAATAAGTAGTAATTCCGTCAGCAGATGAGTAATTAATGGCTGAGTTGTTTTCACATATCACTTGAGTATTAAAATTAGAGCATTTTGTTGAATCTATGCAAGATGAATTCCATCGACATCCTGCAGTACCTATACAACTGATTTCTTTGAGAGTCAATTAGCAACTTGTCTAATTTATACATCCATTACTATTTGTTACACAGTCTGATTAAAAAATTTTACATTCATAATCAGTGTTGTATGTACTTGGAGCATCTGAACAGGATCTCCTTTAACATTTTCCATTTGTACCTCCTTTGCATTTTCCATCAGATCCAATCAACTAGAAGCATATCTCCTCAGTCCCATCATATTCATTGCATAATTTCAATTTGTAAACACATCCCACTCCATTTGTCTTACATATTTTCTATATTTTTTAGCATCGTTCATCTGTAATAAAGCTATTATCACTATCCACTACACAATCCTAAACTAAACATGCCTATTCATTATCATCAACTCCTTTGCACAACCCCTCAAAACCTATTAATCCCAAACAACTAGTTTTATTCCCCTTATAACTCGAGCAACCTTGCAAAGTAGTAACACAAGATTTTCCATTAGTAACACAACCAATTTTGTATTGATTGCAATCCTCATCTGAATTGAATTATCCATTTTCACAAATTCTACTTCTACAATTCTCTGACTACTCCTCATATTCACAAATTCCATCTGAACCTACATAATTCTTACAATCTTTTTGATAAGTATTACATGGCCATAATTTTTATACACATCCTTTTCCAGTACTCAAACATCCCTTTAAATACTAATTACATTATTCATCTTTTGTATATGTTATTGGAGCAGTTTCACATTTTTTTTATTAACAAAATTAACTATCCTATAAAAACTCACAAGTTCCATCTGACCCAATTAATTTGGTACAATCTTGCCCTGAACTTTCATAAGTCTTACATTCCTTTAAAGGACTCTCTGTACATCCTTATCCCTTTGTGATGCAACCAATCCTAAATTTAGAACATTCCTAATCAGTAGTCAAGTCCTTTCCTGCTTCACTACACAGTTCATCTCTGCATTTCTTATTTTCAGAATCCCATTTACATTGACCAGATCCTAATTTTATCTATTTCATTTACCACTCGAACTTCCTGAAGTTTCACAAAAATCCTATGTTAAATATTCTTCGCATTTTTTAGCATCTATGCATCCATCACCTTCAGATATACAGTAATACGATATTTATTGACAATCAAGAGTTGTATGAAAAAAATACGCTGAACAACCTGTAAAAAATGTACACCTTGAATTGTAGTATGCACAGCCTTTTACTTTGGAACAATTTTGAGCTGGATTCACTATACTCTTGCAAAAATTGCCATATCCATCAGAATTTCCAGGATTCCCATCCGAACCGTTATTAATACATATCCCTTCTGTGCTATCATTATTCGTACTCCAAATACAATTATTATATTCACAATCCTTTTTTCTAATAAGTTTTGAGCATTCCAAACATTAATCAGATTTTAAAACACTCAAACCTAAACCAATCTCTACTAATAATAAAATCCAGAGTCCCATAAATAATTTTTATAATTTCTTAATTTTCTAAGATATTTTTCACTCATCTCAATAGATATGTGTAATTTAAATCAAATACAAAAACAGATTTTTGTGAAATATTTATCTAAGCATTAAATTTTTCGCTCGCTGCTAGATAAAAGCTATAAACTAATGGATAAATGTTTAAAAATTTACAAAGCTTTTGAATATTTCTAAATCGAATTTTTATTAGTTACATGTACTTCATTTAAATGTCTTATAATTTAATGATAGAAGAATACAATTTTTCATTCTCCATGGAAGCTTAAATTGAAAACCTATACTATTTGAATACTTAAAGATAATGATTCATAAAATTATGCTACTACAAATAATTAATGATGATATTTTTTAAATAAATATATGAGTATTGTTTTTAATATCACATAATTTAACTGAGTGAAAATGAGATAAATTAATCCTTGTAACTTATGGAATAAGTTAATTTGGTAATTGAATATAATTTTTAATATGTTGCTTAGTTAGAGTATAATTTTAATGAATTTATATTCAATGATTTTTGTAAATAGTTTGATTGTAAATCTATTTTTAAGTATGAAAATTAGAGAAATCTTTTCCATCAATCTATTTTTGTTAAGCTAATTTAACTAGCATTCTCATTATTAATTAGTAGCGACATATTCTGTTCATTTTTATTAGATAGTGTAAGTATTCATATTCTTTGAAGTTATTTATAATGAATTTATAAATCAATTAAATTTACATAGATTGAATAGATAATTTTAATACATAGTGCTGATTTAATTAATTTTGTTAAGAAATAGAATTTAAATTATATATCCAAATAAATGTATTAACTAAAATGGTTATAAATATTTGATATACATTTAATACTATTTATAATTAAAGAAATATTAAATTCACATTAGATTAATCTTAAATATTAATGTATTTTAATTTATAAAGCTGTTTAACACTGTGATGCCATATGTAAAAAGGTCACTAGAGCACATTTTATTATTTCAATAGTTAAATATATATATGCTCTATCTATATTACTCAATTTTTACTTGAAATTTTCTTATTTATTAAAACAACCTTTAGTAAACATGAGTGGTTGATTGAATACATTAGAAGTTGAAGCTTCAAATCTATTGAATTTGAGTTAGACTCTATTGATAGAATGAAATAAAGTGTAGAATAAGGTCATAGCGGAACGGCATGCTAGCCATAATAATTTATGTATATGATGAGGTAATACTTGAAGAATATTCCCTTCTTCTAAGCTCATTAGGTTTCATCTTATTTTTTCTGTCTGAAATTTTTAATTACCTAATTTAAGAAAATATCTTGAACATTCAACATATGCTATGAATAGTATCAAAATTAAATGGAAATCATTGATTCTTTAATTTAATTGCAATAATTGATAAAAAACAATAGAACTAAATATATATTAATCAACGAAGATCTATTGTATATTAAATATCGAAAATAGTGTAATAAAGTATTTTGATAATAAAATTTGAACTTACAATGTTTTAATTCCAATACTTACAATTCAACAGTATTATTGAATCAAAATCTAATAAAGAGAAAAATGAGATAACTTGCAATATACTTCGCTTATAAGATTGAAAATAGGTTTCATAATTATTTGAAAATTCTGTGTGTGATGACATAAATATAAATAAACTCATTAGATTGAAAAATCATAATCCATAATTAAACGAAATTTTTTGAATGAAATAGTTTATTATTTCCTGGGATATCTTCTATTTTAAATATCTCTGAATATTCTATGATTCGCATCATTTATCCTTTACTTTATCTTCTAATGAAGAAGAGATTCAAATTAATTTTCAAATATCTTGAGCTCTTCTTGATAATAAGAAGTATGATAGGATGAGGTTTATTTCTTAACTATTTTGACGATTCCCTTTTGAATATTTGCATCACTATCTCTTTTATTTTATCTTTATTGTTTAAAATAATCCTAAGGAATGTTATCCATGATATTNGAATTTATAAATCAATTAAATTTACATAGATTGAATAGATAATTTTAATACATAGTGCTGATTTAATTAATTTTGTTAAGAAATAGAATTTAAATTATATATCCAAATAAATGTATTAACTAAAATGGTTATAAATATTTGATATACATTTAATACTATTTATAATTAAAGAAATATTAAATTCACATTAGATTAATCTTAAATATTAATGTATTTTAATTTATAAAGCTGTTTAACACTGTGATGCCATATGTAAAAAGGTCACTAGAGCACATTTTATTATTTCAATAGTTAAATATATATATGCTCTATCTATATTACTCAATTTTTACTTGAAATTTTCTTATTTATTAAAACAACCTTTAGTAAACATGAGTGGTTGATTGAATACATTAGAAGTTGAAGCTTCAAATCTATTGAATTTGAGTTAGACTCTATTGATAGAATGAAATAAAGTGTAGAATAAGGTCATAGCGGAACGGCATGCTAGCCATAATAATTTATGTATATGATGAGGTAATACTTGAAGAATATTCCCTTCTTCTAAGCTCATTAGGTTTCATCTTATTTTTTCTGTCTGAAATTTTTAATTACCTAATTTAAGAAAATATCTTGAACATTCAACATATGCTATGAATAGTATCAAAATTAAATGGAAATCATTGATTCTTTAATTTAATTGCAATAATTGATAAAAAACAATAGAACTAAATATATATTAATCAACGAAGATCTATTGTATATTAAATATCGAAAATAGTGTAATAAAGTATTTTGATAATAAAATTTGAACTTACAATGTTTTAATTCCAATACTTACAATTCAACAGTATTATTGAATCAAAATCTAATAAAGAGAAAAATGAGATAACTTGCAATATACTTCGCTTATAAGATTGAAAATAGGTTTCATAATTATTTGAAAATTCTGTGTGTGATGACATAAATATAAATAAACTCATTAGATTGAAAAATCATAATCCATAATTAAACGAAATTTTTTGAATGAAATAGTTTATTATTTCCTGGGATATCTTCTATTTTAAATATCTCTGAATATTCTATGATTCGCATCATTTATCCTTTACTTTATCTTCTAATGAAGAAGAGATTCAAATTAATTTTCAAATATCTTGAGCTCTTCTTGATAATAAGAAGTATGATAGGATGAGGTTTATTTCTTAACTATTTTGACGATTCCCTTTTGAATATTTGCATCACTATCTCTTTTATTTTATCTTTATTGTTTAAAATAATCCTAAGGAATGTTATCCATGATATTTTTTAATTTAATTAATTTAATATAATTCTCTTAAAATATTGCTCATTTAATTTCTGATGATTTCTAAATAAAATAGACATAAATTTCTATTGTGGAAATGTGAGAGATCTTTAAGTAGTTGTATAAATTACTTGATTATTAAAATTTTCGTATATAGCCAGATTTTTCCTAATTATTCCTTTTTATCGTTAATTCGTATTAAGTTCATTAATCAATAGAAACAAAATCTAAATCTATGATATTATCACCAAAATCAGTTATTATAAAACATGAAAAGCAGCTAAATACAAACTCTTCTTCTTCCTAAGATTTAGATATTTAGGCTATGTATTTTGGTCTAAATTTTCTAAAATCTCCTGTTATATTATTTTTAAAAAATTTAATCCTAAAAATTATCCCTTACCCTTTTGTAAACCTCTTTGCTTTCTCAAAATTTTTTGAAGTTGAAGTAAAAGCAGGGAATATTATCATATCACAAATTTTATTCAATGTCATAAATTTTCTCACGTCATATTCTATTCCTCTATATAAATAAAAGTTTGGTTGGAAAAACATTTCATCATTTTAATTGTCATCATAATTCTAAATACAAAATTTAACAGATTTTATTAATAGTTATGCAGATAGTATCGCGTTTTCATTCAACATTTGTAAACATCTATTCACAAAAGGATAAAAATCTCCTTCCTCTGTATACAGCCTTAATATATCTTCTATTTTTTCAGTTCTAAATGCTTTTTAAATTTATTATCCCAACTTGATTTGCTCATTATTATAAAAATAAACCATTAAATTTGGTAGAATTTATAAACATCGTTAAATAATTTCATATGCTTACGGAAAATTTATTTATTTGAGAGTTTTCAATGAAAATTCTTGCCTTAAAAAAATTATTGGATTATTAATTTTAAAGTAGTTTGGAAATCTGTAAAAATTGACTTGTCCATTCAATTCATCAGTTCCATTAATTGTATCATTTAATGTTTATAATATGGACTCTAGTTAAGAATCTATTGATTAAATTATACTGTATTATTATTTCAAGCTTTAGTATTGTTAGGGCTTCTGACTATAAAGAATAATAGAATGAATATTAGGACTGCAATCCAAACGTTTAATGATTTCAGCTGCAATGGATCCTTCAATGATTAAATACACTATAATATTTTTTTTCAAGATTTAGAGCAGTATTTCTATACTAGTCAAGAAATGAAAATGTTGAATTTGTGGAAATGTTGATTAAATTACGATTGAAAATTTAGAAAATTCTTTGTTTTAGATATTTTAATCTATCCACACAATAGATCTTTGATTTTAATTACTGACCATATTGTTTAAAGTAATCTCTGCAATTTTGTCTATTTTCTGATCAATACTTTCAACTTTTTCATATTCATCTAAAATCAAGTTCCACCTTTAATCTATTAAGTGTTCTCTAGCCTTTTCTAGAGTTTTTACAAATTTTTAATCTAATGAAATTATATGAAATAAATAAATCAGAAATTTGAAAAAACCTGATATTTGTTCTCTCTACTATTCCATTACTTGATCAAATTTTTGAAGTTCTACTTTTAGCCCATCCAGAATATCTTTTATTTAATTAATATCATCTTTAGATTATTTAGAAAATTCATCCAGTTCTTTTAAGATAATATCAATTATTGTATTCATTTCTGCCGTGAATATTTCAATATAATTTTGCAATTAAGTTTACTAATATTATAATTCTTTTTCATGACTTTCTTATAATTAAGTTATTTTCTTCTTCATCCTTTTCAAAGTAAATAGATTAAAAGAAAAAAAACTATGAGACTTTATTTCTGAATGTATGTTGATGACACATTTATATAGCAAATTTCCAACTTATTAGTATATAGATTTAATTAAATAATGTAAATGCTCCTTATGAATGTCACATAACCTGTTGAGTTTAATTAAATGATGGCACTTTAATTTTAATTACGATTAATATAATTGAGAATTCCCTGATAATAGCTTGAGTTAAGTGGACATCTTGAAATTCTATTAAAATATAAGATAATTATTTTTCTTTCTCAATATATTTATTTATTACAAAATAATTACACTATATATTTAATGTTAAATGTGATTCAATAAAATTTGCTTTCACCAATATAAAAAATATTGAATTTAGAAATATATATTTAGGTGATTATAAAAATACCAAAATGAATAAATTTCTCAAATTCTAGGTTATTGTTTACTTTTACCTTTGCAATCAATAATTAATGATATTTCTTTGATCAAATATTTATTTAAGCTCACGGTGTTTGAACAAATTACAAATTTGAAGTTATAGAATTATACTTGCCTGGTTACAATTGACTGGAATTCAACCAAGCATTTGGAGGATATTCCAGACAAAATAGCTATTAATTTTAAAAATATTACAAAGCAACTTCTTCATTCTTGGTATCAGTTCGTCAATGTTAGTTCGTTCAGAAACTTCAGAAATTTAAAATTCATTAGAATAAACCAAAAATCACTTTATTTTGACATTAATGATTAACAATTTAACTACAAATACTTAAACTATTTGTTGTGTAATTTTGAATAATTTTCTTCAATTTAAATGTAACTTAATATGTGAGGAATGATAACCTCTTTTAAATCCTTACCCCATGCCCTATAAAAATATTTATTTTATGAAAAATACTGTTGAGTCATTTTTTCATATATTTCTTCAATTAAATTACGGAATATCAAACAACATATGATAGAAAAGAAAAGCTAGATATTATAAATTTTGCAATTTTATATCAAATATATTTTCTGAAAAATTGTTTCATTTTGTCTGATACTTCATTTTCTGGTTCTTAGTAGCAGAAGGTCTGCATAAATTTCATCTTTTTGAGAATGTCTCATTATTTCATATTTATGTCAATCATTTTGTGAGATTTCTCTGTTTAATAAATTAAAAAAATTTCGAAAAAATTAAATATTTCATTAGTAATTATTTATGATTCCTTTTCGAAACTAAATATCAAAAAAATTCGAATTATAAGTAATTTTACATAATTTAAAAATATGCAGATCTGAATTATTTAAAATGCCATTTAAAAGGCTTTAGAATAACGCTTTGTGAAAATGCTTGAGGTGTTGAATTGTAATTAATACACGATGAAAAAACCTATTATTGCAAAGTTAGGACCTTAAACATTGAATCAAATGAAATAACTGGAATCAGAATCGTTTCATCGATTTTATTTGTATAATTGAGTCGAAAAATATCATACTTTTTGATTAACAATAAGATTTGGTTTATAAAAAATTAAATATGACAAATGAATTGCTTAGTGTAACTTAAACACAATTCAGACTCATATAGAAATTCTTTATTCTTCATCACTTGTTTTTCATGGTTTAATTGGCATAATCGCAAGTTTTTAAACTATGATGAATCAATATTATAGTCAGATATTTCAATAAAAGACGAAAACATTAATATAGACAATTAAGGTGGAAAAGACACTTTTTGGAATAGGATTTTGGAGTATGAGCATACCTTTAAAAATTCCAAAAACTGATGTGGATTCCTATTATTAATTAAAGATTCTGATACTAATTCAAATCTACTTTTGATTTATAAAACAATAGATTACCCCAAGTTGTAGGTTTGCCACTAGATAAAATTCATGGAAACAAACTAAATATTTTTCTATAATTTTAATGGCTTAGAATACATATTTCATTTAATTTTGATCTAGCCAATTCAAGATTTAGTAATAATCGAAGTTAGCGGATAATACTAATCATCATACATGTTTTCTTCAAAACTCCAATAAAATTTAAAAATCATTTTAGGTGGAAGAGGATATGTATTTATATTATTAAAATAAGATAAATGACTTAGACTTGAATTCATTTATGGGATTGTTATCAAAATTGGTAATTTTGCCTAACCTCTCTTATGAAGAGACCATGTTCCAATAGATTATGATTGGTAATTAAATTCAACCAAAATATTAAAAGAACAATAGGTCCAAATTGTACAGTACTTTCTTAAATTTAAACAATGGTCCATAGTCAATGACGTCATCGTTTATTTTGTGTGCAGATTGCTATTTCTAATATAAAATATGGTATAATCATATAGTAAATAGATTCCTAATATTCTCAAATTAATTAATGTACAAATAATTATTTAACATTTGTTTATATTTTGGAGGAGAAAATTTTTTAAAATATAATTTTTATGCACAAACGTTTTTAAATTGAGGATGAAGAATATAAATAAAATTCCGATATGATTTATTTATTAAATCAAATTTTTTCTTTTGCTTAAATCAATGTTGAAATTTTTCTGCTTTAATTTCACAATACTTGGCACCTGTTTGCAAAAGCGATCTTCTTACTATTAAAGAAAGTCAAGATCAAACATTTCGCTTAGTTGCTAGAGATTCTATAGAATATGATTTATATACAATAGGAATAGACAGAGAATTGATTTTCCATTCAGAATATTAGGATTTTTGAACTTCCATTTCCTTCAATGTTTCAACATGTTAATAATTTCATGTTTACCATTTAGCGTAATCAGTGTATATGTAATGTAAATCAAATCACTATTTTGATCCTGATGAGATAAGGCGTTCAAATTTAAGTAAATCTGCCAATGGTATTTATGTAGAGATTGTCCTAATGAATGCACTACATGTGAGAAAAATGAATTTGATGAACTGGTTTGCAAATCTTGTCAAAAATATTACAATTTGTTAAATGGATAGTGTCAAACGTGTGGTCAATATTGTGAAATTTGTGAGGTTTATTCTTATGATAATCATGGATAAAAGTATCTAAGATGTTCTAAATGCATAGATGAATTGAAATATTTCTTCTCTTGATGGAAAAAATTGGGTAATTAATGAATTTTATAACTGTCTTCATGCGTTTTAGGCTTAATCGGATGACTTGACAATAAACACTCTAGATATTAATTATAAACCATAATTTGACAAAAGTTAGTTCAGAACATTATCTGCTAGATGCATTGATTTATACATTTTTGTGTTTGAAACTAAAGAATGTAAGGATACGACAAATTCAGATTGTTTATTTGGGATTGGATAACTTAACCAAAAGATTAATCTTTAGAATCAATATTGTGATTAAGTGCTTTATAGTATAGAATTCTTTGAATTTAAAACTAAACTTTGATGAAATAGTGCAATTTACTGAAAAATGCTCTAATTATAATTAAAATTGTCAGATTTGTTTGTAAACTGATCTTAACGGCTATTATTCTTGTTTAGATTGTCTCAATGGATATTATCCTTCCATAATATCTGGTAAATGTTCAAATTGCCCACCAGATCTTAAATGTAAGTCTTGTTATTCATAACGCTCGGTATTAAAAGATGGATGGAAAATATAAGTAAGAGCTTTTTATCGAAAATATATCGAAATTAATATTTTTCATTAATTTACAACCTATGGCTAAAGTTAAAATCCAGATGAATACGAAATTATATGTTCTTCTTGTATTTATGGTTAAAGATTGCATAATAACAAGTGCATTGAATATTGTTCAGAAACTTGTATAAAATGTGTACTTTAGAATGATAAATATCTCTGCAGTAAATGTTAATCGGATTAAAGAGGAAGAAAATTAACTATAATAAATAACTAATGCATAGAGTGTCCTGAAAATTGTGCTTTTTTAGAGCTCAAACAAAAGAAGAGATTTAAATGATAAATCCTGTATTTAGTAATCTGAAATATTTAAAATACATTTATCAATGCTTAAAAAGTTATGGAGATCTAACTTATTATTATGATGATGATTTTGGATTGTTTATAGTATGTAAACAGATGGATCAAGATTACGGCTGTTAAAATTAATTAATTATTTCCTTAAATTTTTATTCATTATATGAGGACTACTTTAATGACTATTATTAATTATAGGATGATGAATCCAAGATTAAATTCAGAAAAGAAAATATTGTTCTTTCAACTGTTGTATCATCTACAACAAGCTTTGCTGAAGTAATCGCATATTATATTTTAGTATGAAAATGACTAGTTTTACACCTTGGCAAATTCCAAATTTTTCAAATCTATTATCATTAAAATATCGAGCAAAAGACAAATCCGCGGTTTTATGTATGGGGGTGGTAACATAAACAAATATTCTAAGAGAACATATTTACCCTAAAGTATTATATAATATAAATTAGAAATGTTGAAATTGAATTTATATTCCAAGAAGAAGCAGGTATATTTCCTTAATTAGACGTGCATTTCATTAATTTTTCAAAAATCACTTTATAATGTATTTTGTTATAAGTTACTTCTCCTTCAAAATTTATATTTAACAGTTTTATTCCATAATCAATAATTCTACAAGATATTAGATTTCAACTTGACGATTTTATTAATAATCATAGTATTGATTTTCAATTTTCTTTTAACAATGTAAGCTCATTGATTGTGAATACTGCCAAATTCATTATCGAAAAAAACATCTAATTTTATTAAAGTTGAAGATACCCCTTATCCTAAAACCTTAATTTTTTAAAATATATCACTACTTTAATGCACTATTTATAAATTATTTTTAAATTTAGGATTAGGCGATAACGATAATGTTTAAATAAATACTGTAAAAGTTTATACTAAACTTTTCCAATTCAACCCTTATTTTGGTTTCACAAAAAAATACAGGTGGTTAATTGAAATTATCTAATGTTGAATTGTAAGGTAAAATATTTCACTCAATTTACTTTTTTAATTTCGAATAAGTTTTTCAGTTGGAAATTATCAATTTTTCTTTGCTTGATCCACTACTAGATAATACAACCTTTATTATATTAAATCGAAATAGTTTTTTGGAGAATATAAAATTTACAGCGAACCAATTCCTCCAACAATCATAGTGAACACTAATGATTTTTCATTTTTTTAGCATTAATTAGACCTTTATAAATTTGGTTTTTCAAGATAACCAATATGATACATTGATGAAATCATATACTTAAAGAAATACTCAAGTTAAACATAGAACATTGCTCTTAATTTCTTTAGATAAATAAATAATTATTACACTAAGGATTAGTTAGATCAATTTAGAAAGTAACTTGATTTTACATTAATAACTATATAATACGATTACATAGACATATCTAATTTTGTTATTTCTCATGGATTTGGTCTTTATGATATTATGCTTTATGACAGTTTAGAAATATAAATAAATAATGGTATTATTAATTAACAAAACCATCGATTCTTGGGATTGCATAAATACCAAAGTTGTTAGTTGAAACAAGTTACTGCTCAATATTATTCAACTACACTCAATATTGGCTCGTCCAAACGAACAAATCTACAAAATCTAACATTCTATCAAGTATAATCGTACGCCTTTCCAATAATTGCAATTGATTCTATTGATTATAAATTAAGTATATAGACAGAGTCCATAATTTTGTAGGATATATCATTTGTTTCTCTTAGTAAACGAGCATCTAAATTACAATATAATATTCAGGAATAACATTTTAAATCATTATAATTCATACGATATAACAAGAACAGCAGAACTTTTATTATTGAATTACCACTCTTGTACGATAATATTGAGGAACTCATTTTTTTACAACAATGAAGTATTAAATAGTAAATCGAGCATTATTTATATAAAAACGTAGAAATTATAGATTAACAACTGCACTTTTAAAACAATATCGTTTTTATGTATGAAGTACTTTAACCTCATATTTTATGGGGCTTTACATCTCCAGTATCATTGTAGGTGATTAAATATATATTTCAATCTAATTCATAGTCTGGAATTGGATAACTATACGCTGAAGCCATTTTGATTTCAGATAATATATTTATAAATTCTTCAGGATCTATTGGAGGATGTTTTTCTATTTTCTCGTATGATAATACAAGCATAGTAATTTCAAATAATTAGTTTGAAGGAATTTATAGTCCATTCCTAAATGAAGTGGAAAATGGAGGTGTAATTTACTTAGATGGTTCATCATCTTTATTAATTAAAGTTGAAATTAAGAATAATAATGGTCGCAATATATTGTGTAGGGGACTTGGAGGTTTTATATTATTGAAATCTAACTCCTCCTCATCAAATTTAACAATAACAAATCTCCAATTAGAAGATGTATATTCTTAATAAGGCTCTGCAATCTATGTTTCATATTCAAAATATGTATAAAAACCATAAATTTTGAGCCACTAAAATTTAATAGTTATCAACACTTAGGTAGGTTATTTAAAATTCTTTAATAAATTTACTGAATTTCTAGTCAATAAGAAATAATATATTTAATCAATTATATAGTTAGTAATTATCTATCTACAAAATATTTTAATTCCTATAACTAATTACGTCTCTTTCAGTATAATTAATAAGAATCAATCACAATACAAAATTCCTCATGTGGTAAACAAGGATGCTTAAATCTAGAAAAGTAGACAAGCTAAGAGCATAGAATTCTCGATGAATTTGAACTTTATTCTTTACATTATGAGCTAGAAATAAGAAACTATATTTGCTAGTATAATATTTCTGCACAAGGAACTTGCTTAAAATTACATTCATACCCTCATATAAAATAGTCTTTTTTAATTCAATAAAGCCACCTAAGAAGGTGGTTCCGTTTTTGTGAAAGGATAGAAAAACATTTGATAATTTATAATAGCATTATTCAACTGAACAAGGCCTCTATTGGTGGAGGATTGTATTAGTATCAAACTGGAAATTAATATCATTAAAATTAAATTATACTTTCTACAATATTTTTAGGAATCTGTTGCTATGAATTTATCAAAAAGTAAATTTAAAATAATAAAGAATTCAGCAACAATTTAAGGAAATAATATTGTATCAATTTTTTAGTTACTCTCTGCACAAATAAAATAAGATTCTGAAATTTTATCAACAACAACTAAAATTAACAATTCTACTTTAAAGATTCAAGAAGTAGTAGTGAATCCTTATGTTGGAATAAATGGAAAAATATTTAAGTATGTATATTTGCCAACAGGATAAAAAAATATCTTCATATGAAATTTTTGATTGGAAGAACAAATTCTATTACAAATCTAACCTGATTTTTAGAATATTTGTATTAGATGGGGATATGAATTCTATTTAAATCTAGATAATTCATATTGCACTATTACAAGCAGACAATTTGATACATCAAAAGATGAAGACCAAGAGTTTGCAAATAATTATACTAATATACATCAAATTTATTTTGATAAATCCACTCAGAGTTATAATCTTGATGATTTGATTAACTTTTGATAATTCAGCACCTCTTGAAACTGTGCTTCAGCTGCAGTTTTATTGCAATTCAATTAATGTACCAATTTATAGTAATTCCTTTCCATTTGAATTGGTTTCCTACCATTCAAATTATAATCTTAGAATTAATATTAAAACTTTTGATTGCCAATTTGGAGAAATAAAAAATTTAACAAATCTTTCATGCGAAAAGTGCGATTTTAGCAAAGGATTATATACACTAACATTAAACTCTGAAAGATGTGACATTAAAGATGATTTAACCATTATAAATGTCTAAAATAATTAATTGGTGTTAAGAGCAGGGTTTTGGAGACCATATTTCGATACAAAAGCAATTGATTTCTGCCTTAACCTACAAGAAAACTGTTTAGGAGGAATATCTTAAGGAGATAGAGAATATTTATAAAATTTGACTCTAGTTCTTGTTTTATAGGTCATATTGGTGCACTTTGTGAATAATGTGATTTATATCACACCAGAGGAGATGGATAATATTCAATAGTCAAAAGGTTTTCATGCGGGCTATGTGTTGAGAGGGAAANATAACTAATTACGTCTCTTTCAGTATAATTAATAAGAATCAATCACAATACAAAATTCCTCATGTGGTAAACAAGGATGCTTAAATCTAGAAAAGTAGACAAGCTAAGAGCATAGAATTCTCGATGAATTTGAACTTTATTCTTTACATTATGAGCTAGAAATAAGAAACTATATTTGCTAGTATAATATTTCTGCACAAGGAACTTGCTTAAAATTACATTCATACCCTCATATAAAATAGTCTTTTTTAATTCAATAAAGCCACCTAAGAAGGTGGTTCCGTTTTTGTGAAAGGATAGAAAAACATTTGATAATTTATAATAGCATTATTCAACTGAACAAGGCCTCTATTGGTGGAGGATTGTATTAGTATCAAACTGGAAATTAATATCATTAAAATTAAATTATACTTTCTACAATATTTTTAGGAATCTGTTGCTATGAATTTATCAAAAAGTAAATTTAAAATAATAAAGAATTCAGCAACAATTTAAGGAAATAATATTGTATCAATTTTTTAGTTACTCTCTGCACAAATAAAATAAGATTCTGAAATTTTATCAACAACAACTAAAATTAACAATTCTACTTTAAAGATTCAAGAAGTAGTAGTGAATCCTTATGTTGGAATAAATGGAAAAATATTTAAGTATGTATATTTGCCAACAGGATAAAAAAATATCTTCATATGAAATTTTTGATTGGAAGAACAAATTCTATTACAAATCTAACCTGATTTTTAGAATATTTGTATTAGATGGGGATATGAATTCTATTTAAATCTAGATAATTCATATTGCACTATTACAAGCAGACAATTTGATACATCAAAAGATGAAGACCAAGAGTTTGCAAATAATTATACTAATATACATCAAATTTATTTTGATAAATCCACTCAGAGTTATAATCTTGATGATTTGATTAACTTTTGATAATTCAGCACCTCTTGAAACTGTGCTTCAGCTGCAGTTTTATTGCAATTCAATTAATGTACCAATTTATAGTAATTCCTTTCCATTTGAATTGGTTTCCTACCATTCAAATTATAATCTTAGAATTAATATTAAAACTTTTGATTGCCAATTTGGAGAAATAAAAAATTTAACAAATCTTTCATGCGAAAAGTGCGATTTTAGCAAAGGATTATATACACTAACATTAAACTCTGAAAGATGTGACATTAAAGATGATTTAACCATTATAAATGTCTAAAATAATTAATTGGTGTTAAGAGCAGGGTTTTGGAGACCATATTTCGATACAAAAGCAATTGATTTCTGCCTTAACCTACAAGAAAACTGTTTAGGAGGAATATCTTAAGGAGATAGAGAATATTTATAAAATTTGACTCTAGTTCTTGTTTTATAGGTCATATTGGTGCACTTTGTGAATAATGTGATTTATATCACACCAGAGGAGATGGATAATATTCAATAGTCAAAAGGTTTTCATGCGGGCTATGTGTTGAGAGGGAAAGAAACATCCTGCTAATTTTTGGAATCATTAAAGTTAATTTGTGAATTGTGATGATATTTTAACCCTTATTTTTCTTCTAATTTAAGTGTAAGGAAATATAAAAACAATTGAGTAATATACAAAATACTTACCACTTAAAATCTTAAGAAATTCAATATATATGAGCAAGAATTAATCTGGAACCTTGATTAAGATGTTGACAAACTATTTCTAGATAATTGTTTCAATCACTACCTTTTAATTACAATTTTCAGTGGGATTGAATTATACTTTAAACGCTGTTGGAAATCCTCTTTAAACCTCTTCCTATTCTCTTGATTGCTTCTTAGGCGATCTCAGAGAATTGCAAATAAATTTACAATATATTAGAATAATTTGGTAGATAACATTACCCGTTTTATATATTTCCCTTTTCATAGGCTGCTATTTTTTTGCAACTCTAATAAGGAAGACAAAATTCAATCAAAGTGTTGCCACAACAACTTCAATCTATATCTACAACTCAAAATTCATAATTAAGTTCTTTTATACATCAATTAAATTTTGATTAATATATTCTTAAATTTAACAATCACAAATTATTTTAATTATCATTATCATTTATAAAANATAACTAATTACGTCTCTTTCAGTATAATTAATAAGAATCAATCACAATACAAAATTCCTCATGTGGTAAACAAGGATGCTTAAATCTAGAAAAGTAGACAAGCTAAGAGCATAGAATTCTCGATGAATTTGAACTTTATTCTTTACATTATGAGCTAGAAATAAGAAACTATATTTGCTAGTATAATATTTCTGCACAAGGAACTTGCTTAAAATTACATTCATACCCTCATATAAAATAGTCTTTTTTAATTCAATAAAGCCACCTAAGAAGGTGGTTCCGTTTTTGTGAAAGGATAGAAAAACATTTGATAATTTATAATAGCATTATTCAACTGAACAAGGCCTCTATTGGTGGAGGATTGTATTAGTATCAAACTGGAAATTAATATCATTAAAATTAAATTATACTTTCTACAATATTTTTAGGAATCTGTTGCTATGAATTTATCAAAAAGTAAATTTAAAATAATAAAGAATTCAGCAACAATTTAAGGAAATAATATTGTATCAATTTTTTAGTTACTCTCTGCACAAATAAAATAAGATTCTGAAATTTTATCAACAACAACTAAAATTAACAATTCTACTTTAAAGATTCAAGAAGTAGTAGTGAATCCTTATGTTGGAATAAATGGAAAAATATTTAAGTATGTATATTTGCCAACAGGATAAAAAAATATCTTCATATGAAATTTTTGATTGGAAGAACAAATTCTATTACAAATCTAACCTGATTTTTAGAATATTTGTATTAGATGGGGATATGAATTCTATTTAAATCTAGATAATTCATATTGCACTATTACAAGCAGACAATTTGATACATCAAAAGATGAAGACCAAGAGTTTGCAAATAATTATACTAATATACATCAAATTTATTTTGATAAATCCACTCAGAGTTATAATCTTGATGATTTGATTAACTTTTGATAATTCAGCACCTCTTGAAACTGTGCTTCAGCTGCAGTTTTATTGCAATTCAATTAATGTACCAATTTATAGTAATTCCTTTCCATTTGAATTGGTTTCCTACCATTCAAATTATAATCTTAGAATTAATATTAAAACTTTTGATTGCCAATTTGGAGAAATAAAAAATTTAACAAATCTTTCATGCGAAAAGTGCGATTTTAGCAAAGGATTATATACACTAACATTAAACTCTGAAAGATGTGACATTAAAGATGATTTAACCATTATAAATGTCTAAAATAATTAATTGGTGTTAAGAGCAGGGTTTTGGAGACCATATTTCGATACAAAAGCAATTGATTTCTGCCTTAACCTACAAGAAAACTGTTTAGGAGGAATATCTTAAGGAGATAGAGAATATTTATAAAATTTGACTCTAGTTCTTGTTTTATAGGTCATATTGGTGCACTTTGTGAATAATGTGATTTATATCACACCAGAGGAGATGGATAATATTCAATAGTCAAAAGGTTTTCATGCGGGCTATGTGTTGAGAGGGAAAGAAACATCCTGCTAATTTTTGGAATCATTAAAGTTAATTTGTGAATTGTGATGATATTTTAACCCTTATTTTTCTTCTAATTTAAGTGTAAGGAAATATAAAAACAATTGAGTAATATACAAAATACTTACCACTTAAAATCTTAAGAAATTCAATATATATGAGCAAGAATTAATCTGGAACCTTGATTAAGATGTTGACAAACTATTTCTAGATAATTGTTTCAATCACTATACCCAGAATAATTGTCAAAATGTTCATGTTCCTTAAACTGTCTGTACCTTTTAATTACAATTTTCAGTGGGATTGAATTATACTTTAAACGCTGTTGGAAATCCTCTTTAAACCTCTTCCTATTCTCTTGATTGCTTCTTAGGCGATCTCAGAGAATTGCAAATAAATTTACAATATATTAGAATAATTTGGTAGATAACATTACCCGTTTTATATATTTCCCTTTTCATAGGCTGCTATTTTTTTGCAACTCTAATAAGGAAGACAAAATTCAATCAAAGTGTTGCCACAACAACTTCAATCTATATCTACAACTCAAAATTCATAATTAAGTTCTTTTATACATCAATTAAATTTTGATTAATATATTCTTAAATTTAACAATCACAAATTATTTTAATTATCATTATCATTTATAAAACACATTTTTAATAATCACAATTCTTTTCTTAACAAGCACTTTTACAGAACTGAATACACTGATTCTTAATAATTTTTTAGATTCTTTTGTTTTATTTGAGAAAAGCAGCTGTGAATTTCTTAATTCAATTTTAAACTTGTACGACAATCTTGTTTTGATAATCTTCTTTTCAAGTCACTCCACACATACTCAATAGGGTTTAATTTTGGACTATATGGATGCAAATAGACATGATTAACATATTTTAAAACCTCTTTAGTCAGGTTATTTTCCTTATGAACTGAAGCATTATCAAACACGAAGACATAATTACTCAATCCATATTGCTAATTACAAACATGAACTAATTTAATTAGGTAATTTTTAATGAGCTCTGCATTCACATTGCATCTTACGCACTAATACAATAAAAGATCCTTGCTGATTCCCCCAATTCTGTTTATCCTATCTCTAATATCCATTCTATCAATAAAAAATGATTAATTTTTCTTACACCAAACTTTAGGTCTAATGTAATCCTTACCTAATCCTGTTTCATCAATATAAATTATCTCTTTCTATTGTTTTATATGGTATAATGTAGTTAATGCATATACATATTATTTACTTTTATTAACCCTTGTTGTGGCTTTAAAATTAATCTTTGATGCTAGTTTATAAGAAATTCCCATAGATTTGACTATTTTGATGAAGTTTGAAAATAAAAAATTATATTTACATTTAACGACCATGCAAATTTCTATCAAGGAAGCCAATGCTGCCATAGGTTCTGTAGATTCAGCCTATAATGGCATCTTATTGAAAGGATACTACATTCCTAAAAGATCAAGCTCTCTAATAACAACTGATTATTATTTAAGGTAATGACTAATAAGGTATTCCGCATTAAAATTTCTGATGTGAAGATTGGATAATTAATATAAAAAGCTAGTTCATAAAAGCTATTAGAAAGCTTGGAGTAATTGAATATTGGAAAGCCATGGGGATTTAATTAAGATCACCATCCAGACAATTAATGGATGGTGAATGTTTTATTCACATTAAACCCAAACCATAAACTGTTTAGAGATTCTGTTCATGAATGCTAATCTATATTAACTTAAGAAGCTTGAAGTAATTGTTTTTGTATTATTAATATAGAATGATATAATCTTTGAATACATCCAGCGAACGAACGACAGTCACAAGGAAGGTTTTTTAAAAGAACAAAATAATAGACTCTTGAATACAAATTATAAATGAAATAGATAAGAGCCTAAAATAAATAAAATAAACTTAAAAATAAAAAATAAGAGATCATTAAATTGAATCAATAGATTGAAGAACTAGAAGATGCTTCTATTTAAGAAGAGCACTAAACATGAATGTACTACAAGATATTTAATTATTAAATTTAATACATATTTTGAAAAGTTATAACTATTTTAATTATAAAGTATGTCTTTAGCTCTCTATTAGTATTGTTGTAAGTAAGAGATCAAATCTTAAATTTACTTGCTTTTAGAATGCTCTTAAAGAATATTAAAACTAACTGGATGATTTCATTATTTTACTGAAAAGGGATAGAAATTATAAGTACCTTTATATTAGCATTTAGTTAATTGAATAAACACCATAATGATATATGACTTTAAAAAATAGTTCATTATCATACACATGAGTTAATTAGCAAAGCAGTTTCAAATAATCATTTAATATTAGAAAGTAATTAAATAAGGAATATTGGATATTATACATTTTAATATTGATTTATAGATTCTCAGTTAGTAGTAGTACGTTAGTTGTAAAAAAAGAAGAAATAATCATCTCAGTTAAAGCAGTGATAACAATTAATTGATAAAATATAAGGAATATTACAAAAAAAAAAGAATAGAAAGCATCCTAGATGAATAAATCACATTGAGCTTTATAAATAGAAGAAAGTATAATAAACTTAAATTACTGAAGACTTAAATGATTAAAGTAAAAATAAATAATGCAGAGATGGAAATTAACTGTAAAATTTGACTGATGATAATAAAGTGAACATGATAATTTAGAAAATATAAAATTAAACCAATGAATATATAATCTAAATTTAATTCATGTATAATATATTTTCTATACATCTATTTTTAACCAAATTAATTAATGGGCTTATTGAACTTATTTCTTACAGGGTTATCTCTGGGATCAGATGGATTAACGCTAATGTTTCTTAAAGATATGATACAACCTCTCATAAATAATGGATGTTCAAATTTTGCCTCCCTCTTATTTTATTGATCTCAATACTTATTCCTTGTTACTTTTTCTTTGGGCTTTATTCAAATAAAAATAGTTTAGAAAGAAGAAGGGTAAGATTAAATTGGGGTTATCTTTATAATGAATATAAAGTTTAAGTTTATTTTTGGGAATTGATTAAAATTATATAAAAAGAATGAATCATTCTTTCAATTGTCTATTATGAAGATACAATTGTAGTGAAAGGAGTGCTTGCGCAATTTATAACATATATATATTAAGAGTTAAATGCTCATTATTCTCCTTATAAACTCGATAAACTTAACAAACTGATTATTCAGCAAATATATGTATGATTACTATTGGTTTAGCCATTGGAACTTTTATATCTTAACAAACTCATCTAGATGAACTTCAGATACNAAAATAATAGACTCTTGAATACAAATTATAAATGAAATAGATAAGAGCCTAAAATAAATAAAATAAACTTAAAAATAAAAAATAAGAGATCATTAAATTGAATCAATAGATTGAAGAACTAGAAGATGCTTCTATTTAAGAAGAGCACTAAACATGAATGTACTACAAGATATTTAATTATTAAATTTAATACATATTTTGAAAAGTTATAACTATTTTAATTATAAAGTATGTCTTTAGCTCTCTATTAGTATTGTTGTAAGTAAGAGATCAAATCTTAAATTTACTTGCTTTTAGAATGCTCTTAAAGAATATTAAAACTAACTGGATGATTTCATTATTTTACTGAAAAGGGATAGAAATTATAAGTACCTTTATATTAGCATTTAGTTAATTGAATAAACACCATAATGATATATGACTTTAAAAAATAGTTCATTATCATACACATGAGTTAATTAGCAAAGCAGTTTCAAATAATCATTTAATATTAGAAAGTAATTAAATAAGGAATATTGGATATTATACATTTTAATATTGATTTATAGATTCTCAGTTAGTAGTAGTACGTTAGTTGTAAAAAAAGAAGAAATAATCATCTCAGTTAAAGCAGTGATAACAATTAATTGATAAAATATAAGGAATATTACAAAAAAAAAAGAATAGAAAGCATCCTAGATGAATAAATCACATTGAGCTTTATAAATAGAAGAAAGTATAATAAACTTAAATTACTGAAGACTTAAATGATTAAAGTAAAAATAAATAATGCAGAGATGGAAATTAACTGTAAAATTTGACTGATGATAGTAAAGTGAACATGATAATTTAGAAAATATAAAATTAAACCAATGAATATATAATCTAAATTTAATTCATGTATAATATATTTTCTATACATCTATTTTTAACCAAATTAATTAATGGGCTTATTGAACTTATTTCTTACAGGGTTATCTCTGGGATCAGATGGATTAACGCTAATGTTTCTTAAAGATATGATACAACCTCTCATAAATAATGGATGTTCAAATTTTGCCTCCCTCTTATTTTATTGATCTCAATACTTATTCCTTGTTACTTTTTCTTTGGGCTTTATTCAAATAAAAATAGTTTAGAAAGAAGAAGGGTAAGATTAAATTGGGGTTATCTTTATAATGAATATAAAGTTTAAGTTTATTTTTGGGAATTGATTAAAATTATATAAAAAGAATGAATCATTCTTTCAATTGTCTATTATGAAGATACAATTGTAGTGAAAGGAGTGCTTGCGCAATTTATAACATATATATATTAAGAGTTAAATGCTCATTATTCTCCTTATAAACTCGATAAACTTAACAAACTGATTATTCAGCAAATATATGTATGATTACTATTGGTTTAGCCATTGGAACTTTTATATCTTAACAAACTCATCTAGATGAACTTCAGATACCATTTTTCTTTATAATGGGCCTTTTGAACTTATTATTTCTTTGTAACATTACAACAAAAATTATATTAGATGAAGAGTTTATATGAGCCTTGATTAAGGCATTTCTAAAATTAGAATCTTATCAACTATAGATAATATATATGTATAAAAACAAGATGGTTTAGAATTTGAAAAATCATCATAGAATAAAATGCTAAGCTTAAACTCTTGATTTGATATAAAGGAATTAATTTGCACATTGCAAAACGATAGTATGTAAAATAACCCAATTTATATAAAAAAAACAATTCAGAATAATTTTTTTCTATAATTAAAAATCGTTCCATAAAATGATCCAGATGAACAAATATCCCAATAAAAAGGATCAAATCGGTTTCAAATATATGATGTATTTGCAAAAATTGTCTTAATGTTGTTAATAATTCTTTTGTAAATAGGAGGTCTTTACAAAAATATATGGTGTTTAATACATTTTTTTTTTTTAGAGATAGATTATACAATTAATTGTAAAGTAAATTTGAGTGCTATATTTAAAAAAGTTGCAAAATTCGATCTGTTGCAAAGTGTAAAACTTAATTAACCTCTTCTTGTATTAAAATTTCAGAATTTTATTTGATACTTCTCCTTTTGATTGTGTATTAGTACCTATAGGAGTTATAAGAATATTTATGACCATTAATTAATAAAAATATTTCATAATTAATTTCTAAATATTTATAAGTATTAAAAAGCATGAATTCGAGATTAATGGTAAAATAAAGTAAAAATTAAAATAATTGTTCGGATGAGGACCTGATAATATAAAAAATATAGTTACTCAAATTTGTTAGTGTAACCAATTAATATAAGTGTAAATGCACATTTTACTTGATTTAATATTAGATTTAAGTATTATTTATTTCTTTATCCAAAGTTCTAAAACATATTAAACTCAAGTTTGTTCCTTTCTGCGTAAACCAATGTTATTATTTTTTATTTTTGACTCAATCTCATTCATATTTCTTATTAACAAAACATTTGCTTTTTAATTATTCATTCTGAGAAGTAGATGCAAGATTAAAAAATTTCATCTTGAATTGTTACCCCTATTTATAATATTATTAAAAATTCTTATTATTTAAGACTCATTCTCAAATATATGGCAACAGAGATAATCAACCTTCTAATTATCTGAGATTTATTTTGATTGAAATAGTTGTGTATACATTTATTTAAAGATGCTAATGAATAAATGCATTTTTAGTTCTAATGTTCTTAAGGTTATGCCAAAAGTATTAGATACACTACTTGCAATATTTTTGATTCCTTTTGCTTCTATGATTAGACTATCTAGGATTAATGTAAACCTTTTTTCATTATTATGATTTTTATGAGTTGTTTGATATGGGTGCCAATACACCTTTATTTTAATAGGTACCAAGAATTCAAATATTCGTTTTATTATTATCAACCACTTAAAATCTTTGATATTTGATTAGTTACCAGCATTTCGTGAGTTTTTATTTTACCCAAAACATGTTTCACTTATAACCAAAATAAACTAATCAGCATAATGACTCAAGAATGAATTTTTAGATTGATATTTACTTTAATTTATGCTTTTAGAGTTGCTGCTGCTTTTTATTTTTATATATATATATGGAATTTTATAGCCTACTTCTATATGCTTTTGAGAATCTGGCTCAAAATTGTATAAAAAGTAAAAATATATTGGGCATTCTGAGTGTCCTATGTTAAGCTTCTCCACCCAGATTTTGCTTTTGAATTTTAGAAACGACTAGTCCTGATGAATAATTTGCATAATTCCAATAATTGTTATTTTTTGAGATTTCATTGTTGATATAGCTAAATCAAGAATGTAAGAAATGCGTTAAAACAGACTTAAATATTTTTTAAATTTAATTATGTCAAGAACAAATACAATTCTGGTTCTAAGGGATACAGGGCTTCTTAAGAGTCATAACATTTACCATTCCCCAAAAGAAGCAGCTATGAAACTCCCTAGCAGCAGAATGCTTGATGAGGACATTTTTGGACAAGGGTGGAAGAGACAAAGGAGAAGTCATATGGAATCAGAGAAGTCTAAAGAATGAATGTGATTGAATGCGAATTGAAAGTAGATGTAAATCCTGGATGGGTTAAATTCTCAATTATGAAAGTACCCCTTCGAGAAAAGATTATTAATTATACATTTTTCATAGTGAACAGTAAAAAAATGCATTCATACCTTGAAATCATAAAAGGCAAACTTGTTATTCATAGACAGGACTAATTCCCAAGAATGGAACATATTGAAGTACCTTGTAGATAAATAAGGATACAACAAATACCTTAAGCTTTTTTTCATCAAATTGAATTGAAGATTCCTAGAAAGATCCAAGAAGAAATCAGAGACTTTCAATAATGATTGATATCAAACACAAACTAATTGGAGATATAAAATTCAATCATCTATCTAATAGATTGAAGTTTTAGAGGTGAAGTTAAAGGCTTGATGTCTTCAATTGACTACATATATCTTGCATCAGATGTTCAGGTCTTTTTCAAGACCATAACGTGCCTAGGGTTGTAGTTATTAGTCCATTATTTGAGGATGGAAAAGGACCCATTCACTATCCACTCTTTATCAGTTAGATGTTTGGACCAAATCCCAATGTATTATTTGATTGATTATTTACATCATAAATCAAATTTAGAGGCTAGCATATTCTAATTTATTTGAAATATTTGATTTGAACATTAAATATATATTTTGTTTTAATAGTTTGCACATCCCCTTTATTGAAGATAAAATCCTTTAATTATTATTGAATAGTATGCAAAATCTAATAATCATAAAATACTGTTTGACCTCTTTTATTTACGTTTCTCACTTTAATTAACAAATTAATACAAAAATTATTTATTTTGAGATTAAGAACTATTTTTTGAATTTTGAATTGTATTTGAAAATAAAATTTATATATTTTCAATTAAACAACAAATCTATGAATACTCATTACGACTTGATTTCTTTATATCTTATTTTTTATATTCAATCTGTATTTTTTAAAGTTTATTATTAATTAATAATATAAGAATATATTTAAGTTTAAATGTGAAAATAAATATTTCTTATCTATATTAGATTATCTAAAATAAGATTTTTACAGTTATTAGAAAGGGATCATACCTCTACTGAATCATTTTTGAATTATTAATAGCTTCAAGTTTAGCAGATGGGGGCGGTTTAAATTTCTTTGAAAATAGAAGCTATGGATTTTGAGAGGCCCTTAAAAAATGTTAATCATAAATATAAAACCACAATTCTTTGAGCCAACCTGGAAGAAAAAAATAACCAAATAGCAAAATCTACTGCATCATCTTTCTCCAAAACTAATCCCTTTTCAAGATTCGATTAAATCAATTTTACAAAAAATAATGATCCTAAAAATTTGATTAGTAACCTAATCTACAATTTTGAGTATGTCAATAAAAAGATTTAAATATTTGCAATATGAAGTTAAAACTAATCAAATTAAATTATACCTGGTGTTAACTACTTTGAATTCATGATGGAATATTCTAATTGGATCTCTATTGATCTTTTGGATCCATTTTAATTCGAATAAGGATCAGGTATCAATAACAAAATTAGGAAAATTAGATAAATCACTTTGATTTTCTTTCAACAACATCAGTATTTGTTTAAAAGCCAACTAAATCAATAAGGAAAAAAAAATGTAATCCTCTTTAGTTGTATTGATATAAAAAACTAATTTATGCCCTATTTATTAGTGGAATATGGAATGACTTTTTTTAAAAAGTATGGAGTAAAATAGACACAAGCTTCCTACAAACTTTTGTTTCAAATCACAAAAAGAAAAGAAATTATTGGTGTAGTTGTTGTTGTTAATGATTTTTTATTCAGTCTGTGAAAACAAACTTTGATGCATATATTTTTTTTAAATTTTCTTCTTAATAATTATTAAAAATTATCGAATCATTTTTTAAAATATATCATAATTAATATTGTTTAAGTTATAAAGAAGAATTTTTAATTTATTATTTATGTTAATGTGTTGCCAAAAACAACCATTATCTAAGGAAATGAACGATTTTCTATTATAAAAATTTCCAGAATTTCAGAGTCCAAATTAGATAGTCATTACTTCAAATCCAGAAACCTTCTCCATCAAATATAATATAAACAAGAAAATTTGTTAAAAATACAAGATAAACACTATCGATTAATTAGCTAACAAATAAAATGTCTAAAAAATGATTATGACTGAGTTGGAGGTCGAATAGTTTCAATTATCTTACAATTACAGAAATATTCAAAAAGATAAATTATCAGCACTTGCCTATGGTAATAATGGGTACACATTTTGTTTAGATCTACAACAATAATTAAGTAATGGTAGTAATGTTTTAGTGATTGGGGAAAAAGGTAAAGGCAAATCTACTTTGATTAATGCTGTTGGAAATTCTCTTCTCGTAGATTACGCGGATAGATATAGATATCATATATCAGAATATGATTTTAATGGATATTTATAAGAGTGCGATGTGTGGGTACAAAATGTAAAATTTAAATTTTTGGAAGTACTTGGTTATGAATAAAACCTTTTAAAAAATCAATAGATTATGTTTTAGACATATGAGTATCTGAGAGACAAAAACCTTTAAATAGATTGTATACTTATTTGTAGAAGATTTGGAAATTAGCCTTTAAACACAATAGAAAAATAGATAATATGCCATTTGGCTGAAGTTTTTGGATAATAATATATAAAAAAATGTTTTTTAGTGAATACAAATTATGATCTTGGAGATGAAAAGCCTATTCTGAATTAATTGCAAGGGGATTTAAATAGGATAAATCAAATTTATGATTAAATGCCAAACCCAAAAATACTATTTGTTAATTCCTAAATAACACCGTTTGAAGGGAATGCAGGAGCACATCGTTTTGAGACTGTCAAAGTAGCCAAAAATGCAATCACTAATCTTATTAATACTAATCCTGAAAGAATAGCTATTATCAATCCTGATGCATTTTAATATAGAAGATAAACAGAAAATTCAATGAAATAAACAAAGGACTAGATTAAAGCCAGTTTGGTTTAATTGTTGCCATGTTTAGAAAACTATTTCTAAATCAGTGAAGTCGATCCAAAAGATGATTTATTCTATGCCAATTCAATATTTTGGAGTACTCTGAAAAATGATGAAAGGGAAAGAGATAACAAGGTATTAAGTGAAATCTTAGAAGAAATAATTTTACCTGATTCTATATTAACCGAAATCGAAATATAATTTTAAAACTCTGGATTACTTAGTTCTCTAACAATGGATCTTGATAGATAAAGAAGAAGAAGAAATGAAGCAACTTACTTATAATAATTCATGTTTTTAAGGACAAAATTAAATATTGAAAAAACTAGGTGGTTATAAAACATTATTGAATTAGCTGATTAGTACATCAACGAATAGAGACAATTTTTACAGGAAACCTATGTTTATTTAGAAGAGACAAGAGAATAGCTAATTACTAACAATATGAATAATTAATTGAAATTATATTTACAATAGGATTAGGGTTTTGAAAATCAAGAATTAAAGCAAGAATTTGAGGATATTAGATAAAGATTGTTTTTGCCGAATTCAAATTTTTTTGCAACATAGATCATTGCATTATGAATCAAAGATTAAATATATAAAATTACAATTTTTACAATTATAATTCATATAATCCAGAACTAATAGTTTTCATCACGTTCATTCCTATTTCTATTGATTTTTTTCTATTGCTCATTTTATTGTTACTCTCAACTATATCTTCAATTTTTGATTTCTGTTGTCATACCTTTAATACTTTATTAATTACTTGCTAATCATTGATTTTCAAAAAATCCTCTTGTAAATATTGGACTATTATTTAGCATCGAAAAATGTTAAAAATTCATAGCTGCTGATACATGAATATATCAATTCCTAAAAATTAATGCTGAGCATAAGGCTTTCTCGTATACAATTACAGCATTTGCTTCTAAAATGGCAACAATTTTAAAAACAAAAAATAGGATCCATCAAACCTTTCTTTCGAATATATTGGTTTAAATTTGCATAAATATTGAGAAGTGATAAGTGTCATTGCATTAGTGTGTTCAATCGAAGTTTACCACATCACTCTTTGTAAATATTAAAGGAGTTTAGAGTTGCATGCATAAATTCTTCAATAGATTGATGCCCTCTGATTTTGATTGTTGCTTCAAAATTTGAAAAAAATTAGCAATCATAGTTACGATANATCAAATTTATGATTAAATGCCAAACCCAAAAATACTATTTGTTAATTCCTAAATAACACCGTTTGAAGGGAATGCAGGAGCACATCGTTTTGAGACTGTCAAAGTAGCCAAAAATGCAATCACTAATCTTATTAATACTAATCCTGAAAGAATAGCTATTATCAATCCTGATGCATTTTAATATAGAAGATAAACAGAAAATTCAATGAAATAAACAAAGGACTAGATTAAAGCCAGTTTGGTTTAATTGTTGCCATGTTTAGAAAACTATTTCTAAATCAGTGAAGTCGATCCAAAAGATGATTTATTCTATGCCAATTCAATATTTTGGAGTACTCTGAAAAATGATGAAAGGGAAAGAGATAACAAGGTATTAAGTGAAATCTTAGAAGAAATAATTTTACCTGATTCTATATTAACCGAAATCGAAATATAATTTTAAAACTCTGGATTACTTAGTTCTCTAACAATGGATCTTGATAGATAAAGAAGAAGAAGAAATGAAGCAACTTACTTATAATAATTCATGTTTTTAAGGACAAAATTAAATATTGAAAAAACTAGGTGGTTATAAAACATTATTGAATTAGCTGATTAGTACATCAACGAATAGAGACAATTTTTACAGGAAACCTATGTTTATTTAGAAGAGACAAGAGAATAGCTAATTACTAACAATATGAATAATTAATTGAAATTATATTTACAATAGGATTAGGGTTTTGAAAATCAAGAATTAAAGCAAGAATTTGAGGATATTAGATAAAGATTGTTTTTGCCGAATTCAAATTTTTTTGCAACATAGATCATTGCATTATGAATCAAAGATTAAATATATAAAATTACAATTTTTACAATTATAATTCATATAATCCAGAACTAATAGTTTTCATCACGTTCATTCCTATTTCTATTGATTTTTTTCTATTGCTCATTTTATTGTTACTCTCAACTATATCTTCAATTTTTGATTTCTGTTGTCATACCTTTAATACTTTATTAATTACTTGCTAATCATTGATTTTCAAAAAATCCTCTTGTAAATATTGGACTATTATTTAGCATCGAAAAATGTTAAAAATTCATAGCTGCTGATACATGAATATATCAATTCCTAAAAATTAATGCTGAGCATAAGGCTTTCTCGTATACAATTACAGCATTTGCTTCTAAAATGGCAACAATTTTAAAAACAAAAAATAGGATCCATCAAACCTTTCTTTCGAATATATTGGTTTAAATTTGCATAAATATTGAGAAGTGATAAGTGTCATTGCATTAGTGTGTTCAATCGAAGTTTACCACATCACTCTTTGTAAATATTAAAGGAGTTTAGAGTTGCATGCATAAATTCTTCAATAGATTGATGCCCTCTGATTTTGATTGTTGCTTCAAAATTTGAAAAAAATTAGCAATCATAGTTACGATATCTACAATTTTATTGCATATAACATTATTTTTTGATAGTAAGAAAAATTTTAGATTTTAAATCAATCAACTTAGAGGAATGTGAGATGGAGATTTGAAAATTAAAATGGAGGAGATTAAACCTCTAAATAGATAGGGAATAATTCCCAAATAATAAAAAGGTACTATTGAAAATTTCCTGCTTTTTTCAAGTGACTAAAGCATCCCGAAATTCTGTCAAACTACTTTCGAAAAAACCAGTAAGATAGGATAGGTGAAATATAGAGATGGATAACTTAAATATAAAATTAGAATATTCTACTTGATTTTAAGATGACATAAATCAATTGTTTTTATGCTAGATTTATTCTCAGTTACTATTCAAGATGTGAGCAATAATACAAGAACCAATGATGATATTTAAAATTTTGATGCTTTTACAATTCAATATACATAATATAAAATCCGTTTTACAGAAAGGATTTATGAAGGATTTTGGAGTAGTGGATTCAAATATTTATGAATTTCATTATTATTACCAAGTTGATAATTCATCTTATTTATTGAGATATTATTACATTAAACGATGCCATAATTTTTCGATAGGTTTAAATTATAGTGTGAGAAGAAGCGTGTCCATAAAAAGAATTCTTGTCTACAAAAATAAAAGAGATATTATTCCATATTATTGTTTTTATGTGTTTTATGAGGTTTGGCAGTAATTTCGATCATTAATAATACATAATTTACATTAAAATAATTTAATTAAAATGACTATGGAAAGTATTTCAGAAAGCAGGATAACGATCAATAATGCTTGCAGCTTTTAAGTCAAATTCATTTGGAAAGCCATCTGAGTTTTAATATAAATCGAAAAATGTTGCAATAAGTTTTGAAACATCATTTTTGATGTTAAGAGAAGGTATTGTAGAGTGCTATTCAANCTTGCTAATCATTGATTTTCAAAAAATCCTCTTGTAAATATTGGACTATTATTTAGCATCGAAAAATGTTAAAAATTCATAGCTGCTGATACATGAATATATCAATTCCTAAAAATTAATGCTGAGCATAAGGCTTTCTCGTATACAATTACAGCATTTGCTTCTAAAATGGCAACAATTTTAAAAACAAAAAATAGGATCCATCAAACCTTTCTTTCGAATATATTGGTTTAAATTTGCATAAATATTGAGAAGTGATAAGTGTCATTGCATTAGTGTGTTCAATCGAAGTTTACCACATCACTCTTTGTAAATATTAAAGGAGTTTAGAGTTGCATGCATAAATTCTTCAATAGATTGATGCCCTCTGATTTTGATTGTTGCTTCAAAATTTGAAAAAAATTAGCAATCATAGTTACGATATCTACAATTTTATTGCATATAACATTATTTTTTGATAGTAAGAAAAATTTTAGATTTTAAATCAATCAACTTAGAGGAATGTGAGATGGAGATTTGAAAATTAAAATGGAGGAGATTAAACCTCTAAATAGATAGGGAATAATTCCCAAATAATAAAAAGGTACTATTGAAAATTTCCTGCTTTTTTCAAGTGACTAAAGCATCCCGAAATTCTGTCAAACTACTTTCGAAAAAACCAGTAAGATAGGATAGGTGAAATATAGAGATGGATAACTTAAATATAAAATTAGAATATTCTACTTGATTTTAAGATGACATAAATCAATTGTTTTTATGCTAGATTTATTCTCAGTTACTATTCAAGATGTGAGCAATAATACAAGAACCAATGATGATATTTAAAATTTTGATGCTTTTACAATTCAATATACATAATATAAAATCCGTTTTACAGAAAGGATTTATGAAGGATTTTGGAGTAGTGGATTCAAATATTTATGAATTTCATTATTATTACCAAGTTGATAATTCATCTTATTTATTGAGATATTATTACATTAAACGATGCCATAATTTTTCGATAGGTTTAAATTATAGTGTGAGAAGAAGCGTGTCCATAAAAAGAATTCTTGTCTACAAAAATAAAAGAGATATTATTCCATATTATTGTTTTTATGTGTTTTATGAGGTTTGGCAGTAATTTCGATCATTAATAATACATAATTTACATTAAAATAATTTAATTAAAATGACTATGGAAAGTATTTCAGAAAGCAGGATAACGATCAATAATGCTTGCAGCTTTTAAGTCAAATTCATTTGGAAAGCCATCTGAGTTTTAATATAAATCGAAAAATGTTGCAATAAGTTTTGAAACATCATTTTTGATGTTAAGAGAAGGTATTGTAGAGTGCTATTCAAATAAATAGGGATATGTGCTGAGTTAATCTCAAAAAGAAATAGTATTTTAAAATGAGATTTTTAGCTAAGTTCACAAGGTGTGAATTATTTTGACTGGATATTGGTTATTTAGTTGCTTAAATGCAAAACCAAGGTTTGATTGGTAGGATTATCAAGATCCAAAATTTGAATAGGAAATTTATGGTGATATAGAAGAAGGAAGTGATGAAATAGGAGATGATGATTGAGAATTAATCAAAAATATCAATAACTAAATAAAAAATAGTAGAAAGATCCCCTATATAATTATATAAATTTAAATTATAATGAATCCTCCTCCTAGTAATAAGATAATAAACTGTCCTGGTAAAAGGGTTTCAGATTACCTATTTGTAAAGGAGATAGGAAAAGGAGCCTTTGGATAGGTATCAATATTAATTTAGATAGGTATTTCAAGCGAAAAACTTGTTAACAAATGAAGTGGTTGCCATAAAATGTATACCAAGATCGAAGTTAACTGATCATGGAGGAATAGTTGGATAATTAATTCAAAGTGAAGTGGAAGTGCTAAGATAAATCAATAATCAGCATGTTGTTAGATTAGTGCAGTATTTAGAATCTGCAAATTAGTGCTACATTGTGTTAGAATATTGTAATTGTAATAATCAGATTAATAATACATCAGCTGGTGATTTTGAATAATTGTGGCAAAGTAGAAACAAAAAAATTCCAGAGAATGAAGCTATCAATTATATGAAATAGGTGTTGGCTGGCATGTAAGCCTTACATGAGAAGAATATTTTGCATCGAGATCTTAAGCTAGCCAACATATTAATCCACAATTCCACTTTAAAAATTGCAGATTTAGGATTCTGTAAATAATTGAGTGACCCTAATCAAAAAGAAAAATTGAGTCTAGGATCTTTGGGAAACATGGCTCCGGAAGTAGTCGAATAACAACCTTATGGGATGGCTGCAGATATGTTTTCCATTGGCAGTATGTTTTATCAACTTATTTTTGGATAATTCCCATTTACTAATCAAAGTTAATAGAAGTTCTTAGATGACATAAACAACAGTAAAATATTCAAATCCCTATTACAGATAAACCAAATTTTAGAAGAAATGGATTAGTGATTTCTTAAGAATTAGAGTGTCTCTTAGAGAGAATGTTAATGAAGGATCCAAATAGGAGATTGAAATGGAGCGAACTTTATTCCCATCCATTGATGTAATAAAAAGATTTAAGTAGACATATATTCTATATAAGGATACGCGTAATTAAATTTGAATGCTATCCAAGCTGATTTAATAAATACAAAGGAAATGGAGCAATTTTACAAACAAAAGGATCAAAATAAAATGGTGGAAAAGCCTTAAGATATACTTTCTAGATTAAACATTAATAAATAATAAGAATTTTAGATTAATAGAGCTGTTTCTTAATAATTAATTGAAGATGAAGGTACTCCCGGTCAACTAGAAGACAACATTAAATAAGTAGAATAACTGTAACAAAATATGGAACAATAAATATAAGAGGATAAATTGGTTGAATAATATATTGATAAGTATATGAGATTGAGAGATGAGATTGTCTATGTTTCAAGAACTTTGAATGAAGCATATGAAAATCTTGGATTAGATTAATGCTGCTTAATTTGTCTTCTTTTGGCTAAAAAGATTTACATCTTAAACGAAAGATTGACTAAGACTTTATTAGAGAAAGACAATATCTTCTAAATTAATGATAGGATATTGATCAAAATATATGCCCATCAACATTTTGAAAAGTTTATCTAATAAATTGTCGAAGAAACAACCTTTGCCAAAGATTATGTGACTTATTTTGCCGAATCATTATAGTATCTTTTGTGTTTAATTATTTAGACAGCAGCCAAAGCTCTTTTAAAACAAATAAAGCTGGCATTCAGAAATTAATAAAGAAATTTCACCCTAATTCAATCTAATTTTCAAAGAAGTCCTAAATGACTTCGTTTTCAAATTAATGGAAAAGACACATGAAAATAATATGAATAAAGAATATGACGAAGAGAAGAAGAAATAAACCAATAAACATTTATTCTAATTATAAATACATCTAATTGACTGCAGTAAATATGATAAAATTTATAATTAACATGGAGTAACATAAAGCTATTTAATTATTAGAAAGTGAATATTTATGAGTAATTTGATGGATTAGCCAATAAACCAGTTTTCGAATAATAGTAATTAGCGTAGCAGAGATTTGACGAAATGTTTGATTGAATCCTAAAGTTTTAATTAATATATAAATATATAATTAATTTCAGTTTCAAATGGCAGATGAAAATTTAGAATAAATTATTGATATGCCTGAACAATCAGATATGATTAATGATGCCAGAACATAAGTAAAATTTGAATCTATCTCAAGGCTAAATATGCAGTTGAACATTTTAAAGTTGAATCACAAATCTCTAATTACATCAAGAAATTTTTCGATGAGAAATATGGTCCAAATTGGCATTGTGTTGTTGGTAATGATATAAATTAAAAGAAAAGGAAAACATTTCAATTCATACTCATCATACGAAAGCAAACGTTATATGTTTTTTTACGAAGGATAAATGGCAATATTACTTTACAAGATGGGTTGATCAATAAAACATTATTATTAAATATGATATATATATTCTAATTAGCTTCTGATAATAATTCCTTTATATAATTATTATTTTAAACATGCAATGGCATTAAGACATTCGATTTTTATAATCAATATTGAAACATCTTCCACACAACATAGCATTTAACACTCGAAAACCTCCACACTCCACCCAAACAAAAAAACAAAAATTTATAATATGTTAAATCACAGATTCGTCTCTAATATACAAGAACCTTAAAAAGTATGAAAAGGTTTGACATCCCCTAATTATCCCTTTTCAATGAATTAGAAAAATAAGTTATATCAATAGCTAACTAATAGAATCATTTTATGGTGGTAAATTAATGGAAGTTAATCGAATTGAAGAATTCTCATTTTCAGACTATATATTTAATAGATTTCTAGTTCAGTAAGATCTAAAATAGGAAAGGCTACTTGTTTTGGACCTTGTAAAATTCTTATGAATCAAAACTAATAAATACCTTATAAAATGTGCACTGAAAAATTAGTCTAAATAAACATGCACAGAATATTATTGAAAGAGTTAAATGAAGAGAATGGGGACTTATTGAACATTACAAGTCACACATGGCTCTGAATCTTATTCACCTAAATTACTTTATATAGAATATATTCCAATTTTAGTTTTAATGAGTAAATGGGGGTAATATTCTATAAAGGGGAAGCTTAAAATGTAGATATCGAAACTTAATTAAATCAATTAATTTATGTTGTATGAGATATTGATCATTTAAAGGATAACACAAATAATTCATAACTACCTTAGTGATTAAACCACTATTACTTTAAGTTATTAAACAAAATCTAAGATGCATAAAGTAACACATTGAAATATTCTGATATCAAATTACATCTAATTTGAATTAAAATACATGTATATTTAGAACCATGATGATTCCATATTTCTAAACTCAATTTAATTTTGATAAATTAAAATGATACTGATTAATACTTCTCAAATTTTAGGGTTAAGTTGAATATTGTTTGACATGTGTTATATCTTTAAATATAAGGTGAAAAATTCAAACTTAAGTTTTTGATTGATATAGATGCTTAGTTTGGAATGAACAGTATACACGTTTTCAAGAATTCTATTTAATTATGGATCTTTCAGAAAATTTTGAAAATAGATATTAAAGCTAAACATACTATCCTTAATATCCCCCCAATTCTTTTTATGATCATATTTTTCACTTTTCTACTAAATGTTACAAAATACTTTATTTTAATATTTTTGATTTTAAAATTCAATTTCTCTTCCTCCTGAACATCATATTCTTGTCTATTTATTATAGTTAAATAATAATTCAACAATTACCATCCACACTTCCCTCACATACTCCTCCTCCATTGATCCCAGATCTATAAGTTGTGTGTTTATGCAGAACTTTAAATCATCAAATACATGTATCTCAACCTGTTTTGTAATTATTACTCTAATAATAGTTAACAATTACTCTAATCTAAGATATTGGATTATCCAACTCAAAATTATAATTATTATGCTAATAAATATTATGATGGATATGACAGAAGAGTATTGGTGAAATTAATGAATATTTTATTAATAAAATTTAACAAAATTTATGCAGTCTTTTAGAAATGCTACTATTCAATAAGAAAGGCCAAGGGGAGGAAGTGTAAATGCTAAATCTTTTCTGAAGAATGCACAAAATAATAATAAGGGAGAATAATAGTCATTTTTGCTATAAGCAAATAATTCAAAAAAGACATTTGAATCTTAAATGCCCAGCAAAAATTAATCCTCCTAACATGATCTTCATCTAAGTTATTTGAATAATTTATAAAGCACTGAAAAATTAATAAAAAATCAGAAATTTTCTACATTAACATAAAAATTCTCAACTCAAAATTTGAAATATTTGAGTCCATCTAATGGAAATACGTCAAAAATAGATATGCCATCTGATAATAAATAATTATTGATCCAAACAGCAAGAGTAAATTCCTTATTGTAAGAAATATCTGACATTAAACTANTAATTCATAACTACCTTAGTGATTAAACCACTATTACTTTAAGTTATTAAACAAAATCTAAGATGCATAAAGTAACACATTGAAATATTCTGATATCAAATTACATCTAATTTGAATTAAAATACATGTATATTTAGAACCATGATGATTCCATATTTCTAAACTCAATTTAATTTTGATAAATTAAAATGATACTGATTAATACTTCTCAAATTTTAGGGTTAAGTTGAATATTGTTTGACATGTGTTATATCTTTAAATATAAGGTGAAAAATTCAAACTTAAGTTTTTGATTGATATAGATGCTTAGTTTGGAATGAACAGTATACACGTTTTCAAGAATTCTATTTAATTATGGATCTTTCAGAAAATTTTGAAAATAGATATTAAAGCTAAACATACTATCCTTAATATCCCCCCAATTCTTTTTATGATCATATTTTTCACTTTTCTACTAAATGTTACAAAATACTTTATTTTAATATTTTTGATTTTAAAATTCAATTTCTCTTCCTCCTGAACATCATATTCTTGTCTATTTATTATAGTTAAATAATAATTCAACAATTACCATCCACACTTCCCTCACATACTCCTCCTCCATTGATCCCAGATCTATAAGTTGTGTGTTTATGCAGAACTTTAAATCATCAAATACATGTATCTCAACCTGTTTTGTAATTATTACTCTAATAATAGTTAACAATTACTCTAATCTAAGATATTGGATTATCCAACTCAAAATTATAATTATTATGCTAATAAATATTATGATGGATATGACAGAAGAGTATTGGTGAAATTAATGAATATTTTATTAATAAAATTTAACAAAATTTATGCAGTCTTTTAGAAATGCTACTATTCAATAAGAAAGGCCAAGGGGAGGAAGTGTAAATGCTAAATCTTTTCTGAAGAATGCACAAAATAATAATAAGGGAGAATAATAGTCATTTTTGCTATAAGCAAATAATTCAAAAAAGACATTTGAATCTTAAATGCCCAGCAAAAATTAATCCTCCTAACATGATCTTCATCTAAGTTATTTGAATAATTTATAAAGCACTGAAAAATTAATAAAAAATCAGAAATTTTCTACATTAACATAAAAATTCTCAACTCAAAATTTGAAATATTTGAGTCCATCTAATGGAAATACGTCAAAAATAGATATGCCATCTGATAATAAATAATTATTGATCCAAACAGCAAGAGTAAATTCCTTATTGTAAGAAATATCTGACATTAAACTACAAAATGAAAAAGTCAAATAGTTTTATTAATCCTAAATTCATAATCTGTAGAACACTTAAGACTAATTAAAAATTGAAAATATTAGCTTATCCAATGCAATTAAGGGGTTGACTCAATAACTTTCTGACGCCAGATAAATTATGCAGAGGATTTATAAATAAACCGATCTTCAAGAATTAAATAATTCTTTTGATTACATTGATTTCAACAATAATTCTAATATCTAAAAGGCTTTTTATCAATTTCAATCAGAAATATTCCAATTCATTTTTGAATATTAAAACCAAACAAATTAGAAAATTCAATAGAAATAATAATAACTAAACAAAATCAATATTAAATTGAATTAAATTATATAAAAATAAAAAGGATATGATCATAAATGCATAATAAATGAATTATAAGTAACAAATAATAACCTCCTTAATCAGCTAAAATCTTAAGAAGTTTAATTGAAACTCTTTCTTCAGAAATCTCCCGATCAAATTACTTATTAGCTTGAAGAATAAATTAATGAATTCAAGAAACATCACTAAACTATTATCAATAATCTTGAATAAGAGAAGGAAATTGCAGTTGAGTAAGAAGCATAACTGAAAAAGGAATTCTAAAAAAGGATTTAGAAGTTAGAGTAAGAACTAAGTGTACTATTGGATGAGAATTAAAGAAAAGAGCAACTGATATCTGAATTAAATGACTTAAATCAATCAAAAGTTCTTCAAGTAAAATTATCCTTATTTTTAGATGCAAAAATAAGAAGAAATATCATAATTAACAAATAAATTATAAGAAGGTCTAAAGATTTAAGTTAATCTAAATGATTAAATAGTAGTACTGAAATAAAATTGTAATAGTCTCTTAAATGATTTTGAAAAATAACAGTTTGAAATATCAAAATTATAAAAGGAAAAACAATACTTTCAGACCTAATTCGAGGATCAACTAAATTAAAACATGGAATTAATGAAACAACAATAATTATAAAATGAAAATCATTAAATCTAACTTACTTCATTAAACAATGAATGGCAATAATAAAATTATGCATTATCTGAAAAACTAAAAATTAATGAAACAAAATTTAATAAATTATAAGAAAATCATAATATTTTAGACAAGTAAAAATAAGAACTTGAAAATTTCCTAAAATAATATCAAAATGAATCCAATAAATTTAAAGATTAGGTAGATTAAATCTAATAATTTTAACTTAAAATTAATAAATAGAATTAAACCATCCAAAATTTAATTTAGTAGAATTAATCATATGAAAATATGATTAACAAAAATGCGTCTGAAAAGAAGGTATTAGAATAATAAATTGTTGAATTAAAATAAAATAATTAATGCATTTCTTCAAATAAACAATAAGTATAGCCAAAAGATAATAAGAATGAAGATGAACAATCTGAAATTAAAACAAGATAAATAGAAAATTGTGAATTATAAAGGTAAATTAAATAAGAGCATGTAAATTAACAATAACTCAAAACTTAAATTTCTAGCCTATAAAATGATATAACATTATATCAATTATAAAAAACATAATTAGAATAACAATTAGATCTATAATAAAAGAATAATTCAGAGTTACTAACGCAAATGGAGGAATTAACTTAGAATAACTTAGATCAATAAGAGTAATAAGCTGATGAATGGAAAAATCAATATAATATGCTCTCGAAAAAGTAGAATTAATCTGACCAGAATCTAAATTAAGCCCTTTAGATAAATGAAAAGTTAAGAGTAAGAGTTCTAGAGTTGGAATAAAAATTTGAGGAAGAGATGGATCGAAATTAATAATTAGTTGAGGAATCAAAGAAGTATTCAATTGATTCAAAACAAAAGGATGTTGAGATCTGTCAATTTAAATTACAAATATAAATGTTAACTTAACAGCTTCACAATCTTGAAAAGGAGAAAGCAGAATTAAAAGTAAATCAATCAAATGACCGATAAAATGGGTATGTTTAAGTTATAAAGGAATATTAAAATCAAACCAGTCATTTAGAATATGAAAACTAAGAGTTATAGGAATAATTAAAGTTATAATCAAATGCTTATAATTAAGAATTAGAATAATGTTAATTAAAAATTTAATAGAATGAAAATGAAGCAAAAGAAAATTTAAATAACTAAAAACATCTCAGCGATAGGTTACAAGAGACTTTAAAAAATTTGGAATAGATCTAATAATAATTACTTGATGAATAGCTTAAATCTCAGTAATTAATGAAATAGTTATCAAGCATATCCGAAAATAAGAGTTCTTCATAGCCTAATTAGGATTTTATGGATCTATTCGACGTTCAATAATCTCCAAGAGGACAATAAATAGGAACTGTATAATTACCTGAAACAAACTATTCGGAAGAGTAGATTTCTATTTTATCATAGTAGCTCCATTTATTATAGTAATAAATAAAATAATTGAATGAGAGTCTAGAAGAGAAAGATATATTGATTAATGAAATCAATCAACAGAAATTCTTAATAGAGAATAGTTGGAATAGGTCATAAGAAAAAATAACTAAATTGGAGAGTGAAATCTTCGAGTAAAAATAGGTATTGTAAAGATTGGACCAATCTTCAAAAGATATTAATCATTATTAATAGAAGATATCAAATTAATAAAAGATTATTTAAAGTCTCTAAAATTAAATTGAAAAATTATAAATAGAATTTTAGGAATAAGAAAATAATCTAAAAATACTACGAACTATCAAAGAATAAAGTGAAGAATAGGTAGCAAATAAAGAATTGATAGAATAAAAAGATGAGGAGATTTTGAAATTATAGGAAGAACTGAAAAATATATATTAAAAAGTAGAATTACGAATGAATAAATCTGTAATTAGTAATGGTTCTAAGAGAAGTTAAAATATAGTGAAATTTGAATAGTTTGCAGATCTAGATGAAAATGATGTTTCTGTTGAATCAAATGATGAGGAATAAATACTTGAGAAATTGAATTTGCAAAAAATAGTGAAAGAGAACTGTGATAAAATGATTCTGACTTAACAGGAATTAAAATAAAAAGAACAAGAGATTTTAGATCTAAAAGAAGAAGTGAATAGATTAAAAGGATAATAAATAAATTAATCTTTGAATAGTCAAGGAGCTGATCATAAAAATAAAGAGAATAATAACGATATGATTCAAAAATAATAGTACGAAATTTTGGATTTATAAAAAGAAGTCGAAATATAAAATTAAATGATTTAATAGTTGTTAGATGAAAAAAGGTATTAATTTATTTTAAAGCAAGGCTTCTTGAAGAAATCATCCAAACATAATAAAATAACAACTAATCTATCAAGGAGCAATCTCAGTTTGATTAAATAAATGATTGGTTTAATTGATTATATTCATTTTATTATTATTGCTGTTTTCAAAAATAGATCATATGTATAGTACTGTAGGTTAAGAACTAAAAAAATTTGAATCTATGATATCCATTGATATTTTTTATGAATTCCAAGCTTATGTAACTGGTTTTTGGTTTCTTGCAGTAATTTTAACATTTGTAACTAGTTTATCAAATCTTGATCGAGTGCTACAACGATCTAGAATTGGATGAAGAGAATCACATAATACAAAACCTTATTATGCTTTGATTTTATAAAATTAATCTACGCTCGAAGAAACTGATTTGGATTGAGAACTCATAGGATTACTTAAGCATTATTTTAATATTTCCATTTTCTATTAGATTTAAGGACTTATAATACGGAATTATCTTTTACTCGTAGTAAGAAAAGGTAAGCTATTTTATTGATGTTCAAGTTCCTCTTATTGATTATTAATTTCTTTTGGTATGAAAGTACGTTTAATTTAATCCAGTAGATCTTTACTATCTTTTTGATGCTTACTAATAAAGGAGACTTTCCTCTAATAATAGCAAATATAACTTACTTTCGTTTTGTTGGTTGAAATTATTCAAACTACTTTTCAACTCGGATTAACAAGCATTTTAAAAATTATCACCAGCCATTTTCAACAAATTGAATTCTTCTTATTTAATTGACGCTTTATCACTTTTGGATTGTAATAAAGCAATTGATTGATTCTATTCAACCATTTATTTTTTGGTTATATTTGGATGAATTGAAGATCTTAATATAGGAGAGGATATTTGATGCGATTTAACTAATTTCGGTTATTAATTTATTTCAATATCATTTAGGTATCTTCTCTCAACAATATTGCATTTTTCTCTCTTATGTAAATTAAGATTCAAAATTTTGGTTTATATTATTTCCTCCAATATTTTCTTATATAAATTGGCATTTTTTACGAAAGCAATAATAAAGGGTTAATAAATTCTGGAAATTATCTTTTAACTATCAAATAATTATCATGATTTAGACATATGTGTTGCAGGGAGTAATTGTTTTGACTGTGTAATCTCTTCTTTCATTCTAGAGATAAATATCAGTTTCCCCAATAAAGCAGCCATCAGTTAAATTTGCTAACTAATTATTAGAATTTCAATTTTACGGTGACTATATCAATTTATACAATTTTTTTTTTCTTAGGTTCAATTGGTAATTAATTCTGCTCTTGTTTCAGAAAAGGATGAAAATCATTTTTTTTTATAACTAGATTTCTCCTTCTTTAAGTAAGAAGAACGCATCTACAATATCATTTTATTTCCAAATCCTTGAATTTTGTGAATATTTGTATGATGAAAAATACATAATCAATTTGCTGATTTTAAATTTAGTCATAGTAGGAAACATTTTCAAAAAATATTCAATCTTCTCTTATGAAGATTTGATTTATTTTTCAAATATTTTCTAAATGATAATAGAGAGTATACTTTGAAATTAGATTTATTAAGAGTGAGCACTTAGAGATCAGAAATAGTTATAATGCTGGCAGCTCTAGGCTTATCAGTAGTTAAGGCCATATCGCCAAAGTATTGTCCAGAATGTAGTTAAGAGATCTATTAGAATTTACAAATTCCGTAATTTGTAAAATATATATCAAAATTACCTGTATTTAGTAAGAGCAATTCAGATTCAATTTGCTTATGAGGTTTTGTTTATTTTTTAATTAATTTTTCATAAAACGAGAATCTTGATGGAGGTTCAATTTCTGAAATCGAACTGAGTTGCATTTTATCTAAATACTATTCAATTTTAGTTTAGATCTCTTATTCTTCTGTTTCAATTTATTGCGGTTATCTTTTAATGTATACCGCAACTTTTCCTGTGAGAATTATATAGAATTTGTCTCCTTGATCTCCTAGAATATGTAATAAAGGTACCTATCTCAAATACAGCATTTTTTTTTTGAAATCTCTCATATTACAAATTTTATGATATTAACCTTGTGAATTCTAATAGTGTGCTTGTTTCTGGACACCATGATTTAAGTATTTCTATATTTTGCATTACTCCTGTTATAGAATCCACTTATATTTCTGTCATATTTTGATTCTCTGTATACATCTAAATGACGGGCTGAGAATATGATTTATATGATTACTGCATACATCAATTCTTTCGATTAGATTTCATCTACTTATTAGTTTTCCGTCTGCTCATATATTATTGATATTAATAAAAATCGCATGGAAAAATAGCATTCTGTAATTTTGACGATAGGAGTCCTATTACCATTATTGTATGAATTGATCATCTATTTACTAGGTTTAGTTCAAAATTCGATATGAGTGAAGGTACTGTTAATATTAAATTAACAATACAAACAATCTTATGGGTTTTGATTTCCTTGATTTTGGTTGTTATTTAACACCTAAATTCAAGAAGAAAGATTCCTTCGCAGCCTTAATAAGAAATAATTCAAGAACAAATAAAAGATATAGATTCGCCAATTCGGCCAAGAAAGGTAGCTGCTTTAATGGACGAACAACTTTCATTAAGCAATGAGGATTCTTGTGCTGGCATGGGCGAATCATTAAAATTAAAGACCACTTAAAGTTAATAAGATTTTGACGAAATTTCTATAACATCTAGATCAAATTCCATTGCAAGTGAAGGTTTACAAAGGAAGGTCTCTTTCGATGAGAGTTAGAACAAAATCCACACTTATAAGAAGAACAATAAGTTGGAAATTCGAAATTTTGAATCGAGCTTTTAGTAAATGAAATAAGAGAAAAAGAAGAAAAATGAATAAGTTAAATAGAAAAGAAAGGAAGAAAATTTCAAGAAGCTCAATATTAATGATATCAACAAGAAAGGAAGAAAAAGAAAATCTTCTTTGGATGAGAATTTATCCTAATCCTCACATTGATCTATCAATAAATTATAATAATTAATTTTTCTAGAATTATATTCACTTTTGTTGCTCAATATTTTACTTGAGCATTTAATAATAAAAAGTAAAATAATTTTTAAAGTAAATAATGTCAAACACGCTCTTTCAAAGAAATGGCAATCCCAATATTTTTTAAACAAACCAATCTAATTCTAATTCATGGACCATTCCTTAGTATTTTATATATACTTATATCAAGAACATAAAAAAAACGGGATGTCCAAGGTTCATATAGAGCCAAGTTTGAACAAATCAAAATTTAAGTGGTCGATGACAAAAATGTATTGTCTACCTCTATTATCTTCCAGCCTTAATATGATAAAATGGTAATATTGATTTATCATTCTAGACAATGTTAATGATTAGATTAGAAGATTATTACTTGATTCGAGCATAATAAATCGAAGATTATCATATAACCACTATTTAAAATGCAATTCATTAAAAACAGTTCAATCCAACTTTAATTTCTAAAGTGGCTGGCAAAGGTAAATCTAAATTCTACTTTAGCTCTCAATATACCAATTTTTCAAATATCCAAATCTGGTACTTCAATATGGGAATCAAATAGTCACTCTCAACAATAACAAAATATTTTTAGCACAGCGACCTCCACTATGACTGATAATAGACAATAAAATAATTTTTTCAGTTCCATAAACAACTCAAATAATTAGTAATAATAATAAAAGTAATTTGGAAACATATTCAACACTGTTCCAATAAATAATAACAATACAAACTAAACCAATATATTTTCAAATTCTAGACAGGATTAATAATAATCAAATATATTCAACCAAAATGTGTTTAATAATCACAAGACTCAATCCGAATAAAATAACTACTAGAAAAAAGATTAGAATCTGCCTTGGTTGTAATAATAGTAATAATAATAAATAGGGAATATTTTTTAATAAAACAAACCTTAATTACAAATTTAAATTCCGAACCAATAATAATCAAATTCAAATAATGATGCAATTTAATTTAATAATTGCCAATCAGTTAACTCGATATTTGCTTAACCCTAATAATAATAATAGATGAACAATAACCTATAGTCACCATTTTTTTCATAATAACAATAAACTTCATAATTATAATAAATATTTTAATAATAATAATAATAATAATCATAAATTTAATAACAATAGCAAATGATTCCTTTACAAATGACTTCATAACAATTTCAACTATTCTAAAACATGAATAACATGAATATGTTACCTAATGATATACAAATGATTTAATATTAAAATTAAATGAATCCTATTTAATTTATTAAATAATCAGTAGACATGATAAATACTTTCACAACCACTTTAAACAACTCTATTTAAGAAATGGAGAAATTGTACAAATTAGAAGAAGAAAAATATTTAGAATAAGAAAACCTGATCAACTAACTTGAACAAAAAAAACGAATTGAAAGATAAAAAAAATAATAAGAAATCAATTTATTGCCTAAAAAGAAAAACGATTCTCAGACTCTTTTCAGAACGATGCATTCTTCTAATAATATAAATATATCCAACAGTCAAAAAAATTCCAGAATTAGTATGCAATAATCAGAAGTTAATTGTGGTAATAATGCCAGCAGAATTTCATCAAAGCCAACAAAAACTAAAAAAGAATATATTATTGAAATTTATTTCGAAGAAAGTGAAAATTTTATCAAATTTAATGAAGAATTTAAGGATATCAAATCAAAAAAGGATTTTAAAGAATAAATCCTTCTAAAAATTGATTAAATGCAAGTCTTTAAAAATGACAAAGCTGCTTATTTTGCAAAAAGTGAGTTTATAATTGATGAAAACAATAATCATGAAAATCATCAAACATTATCGTTTCGAATACTATAAACTTACAGACCCATCTTAACAAAAATTGGATATTACACCCTACCTGATATAAGTCAACTAACCATAAATCAATTAAAACATGTTGAAGATTTTACCATTTTTAATGAATATGGTTCTTTGAGATGGGATTCCCCAACAAATTTATTATATTTAAATTTGGATAGAATTGTTGATATACAAGATTCAAAAGTTGAAGTATATGATCTAGATCAAATTCATGAATACCTCAAGCCAAAAGTGAATAAGAAACTAAATAAATCGTGTTTAATTACTTTAAAGGTTCCAGTGGAAATAAATTAAGAGAATTATGAGAAGGAACATAAATTTCTTTAATAAAAATGTCAAGAGTAAAATATTGAATTAGTGGAAATAAATCAAATAAAGTAATAATTTGTTGTTAGAGTTAATCACTTCTCCATCTATACATTTGTACATGATGATAATGAAGAATAAAAATAATAATAATAATAATCAATTTAAAGTGAAAATAATAATAATTAATCATCATAGGAATATATTGATAGCAATGAGAATCAAAATTATATTAGACAAAAAGACTTTGCAGAGAATCACTACTTGTTCTTACAACAAGTAAATGATATTTGTAGCTTGACAAAGTAATCTACAAATTAAAAAATATCAAAAATAAATCAAACAAAAAAATAAAATATAGAATTAGTCTAAGACTTTTAGATTTGTGTAAGTAATAAAGAAATGAATGAAATTGACTATCAGATTTGTCAGTATTTCATGCAAGACTTAGAAATTTAAAAGGAAATTCCTATTCAAAATTAATATTGTATTAAACTGTTGAAATGTTTATTTGCATTAAGAAATGATAATAGATCTAATTTATCACCAAATGAAAAGAAATTACTCGGATAGAGATTGCAGTTTTTTAATATTTTATTTGGCAATTCACTTATACAACTATAAGATTATATCCAATTTTTGGAATTATATCCTGAGCAATATGATTTCTCAGATTTAGATTAATATTAAAGGCCGAACTAATTTTAATAAGGGTTAAGCTTAATTTTATATTTAGAATCGATTTTAGCCTCTAGATTCAAGGGCGAAACTGAAATTTCATATACAGAAAAAGTAATCAAAGAAATAAAAAATAGAGATGTATTGAATTAAACTTAAAAACAATAATAAATGTTATCATTTTTATCTGCTCAACCCTCAAAAGTGATTGATTTACCATTTTAAGCAGATGATTGGATTAGTATGATATTGAAATGGAAAGTCCAGCAAAATGCCATCCAATATTCATAAGAATGGTGGTTAGGGTTGCTAAATTTTTTGGAGGAGATTGAAATATAATCTACTGAATTAGCTTCTCTCATGTACTTTTTATCTTCATAATTCAATCGACCTTTAGAGAAGATCTATACTTATTTAAATAAAAACCATAATTAAATGTCTTTATTTTTAGAAATACTAATTTATAATCAGGATAAAGCGAATGTAAAAATACACAAAAGAATCATCACAAACAAATTAACATTTTTGATAGAGAACAAAGAAAGCAGCTACTTTATAATGTAAATCTTACAATAATTTCAAAAATTATTCACTGTAAGCGAATTTGAAAAGTATAAAGAATAAATATCAAAAATGCAAAACACTTTATTTTATTTAGAAAATTTCTTAATAATTGATGAGGAAATTCATTTGTAAAAATTGATTGATCAACAAGATTATATAAATTTAGGACTTTATATCTTATAGTTGGATTCTCCTAGGTTTGAGAACTATGTTAAATTCCTATTTGAGTATACAATTCCAATTTTAATTATTTTTGGAAAAATCAAATTATTGACAAGCATTACTGAAAAATTAAAGGAAAAGAAAGGCATTTATTAATTCGAAAACAGAGATTAACAAATTTTAGACATGAGTGAAGTAATTCATAAGATTTATAATTATAGGTGTTTTGTGGAACTATGATGTATGAAAGTCGAATCTTTGAAGACTTCAAGTCAAAAAATGTTTTCGAATACTAAATGTTATAAGTATTAGATGAATATTATTTTACATGATAATATAGATATAAAATATGATTAAATATAAAAATCACATGCATTCATACATGAATATTAGTGCTTTGTATTGTTAAAATTCATCCAATCCATTTTGCATTAGATTGAGATAATCTTGGGAGTACGTATTTTATATTTTATTTAAAGCTTTAGTCAATTATTCCTAACCAATTTATCTTAAGAGTAATTGATAAAGCAATTCTTTTGGTGTTTCACAAATAATATCTTCATCATCTTGAAAGCTTTCCCTTTCTCCATTTTCATTTGAAGCATTGGACTTTTATTCCAAACTATCATCATCCTCTCTATCCACACTTTCTCGAACTGATTGCTGTATATTAAGTAAATCACCATCACCTACATTGATTACTTATGAATGTTTAACATCACCACCTTCAGCAGCTATAACTATATCTTCTAATTCTGCCAGTAATTGTGATGCTTCATTTTCTTATTCCTCGGAAGTCTTTGATGCTTCTTTAATAATTTCTTAGAGTTCTGATTACGTGTTACTATTTCTTTATCTTTTCATTTCCATTAATTATTTCATCTTCTCTCTATCATCTTTGTTATCATTTTTAATTTCTCTAATTTCTTATAAGATGAATTGACTTTCCTTTAATTATTATTTGCTTGGTTTAACTGATTCAGTTTTTTAGATTGGATCAACTTATTATTAAGTTGGAGGAGGTTGAGAAATGTATTGTGCTACTTATACTCTTTCAGTTTAAGGAGCTTAATATACGCTGTCTCTTTATTCCTTTTAATCTCTAGAATATGAAGGGTATTATGATTATAATTGTTATTCTATCTTTTATTGCAAATCGATTTTTTATTATTATTATTATTCTATCTTTTAATTATTATTTATTGGTTCCAATCTAATTGGGTCTTTGACTGACACAGGATCAGATTATTACTTCTAATATTTATATTGGATTTATGGTTAGGAGTATGGTTCCCTTGATAACTTGGGTAATTCATACTTATCAGGTTATAAGTATTTTAATTTATTTTCTTAAAGCTATTGAAACTTTTCTTCATTTCTTTTGATTTATTATCTGACTTATTCTCTTTATATTTCAAAGGGAGATTTGTCCCTCAAATCTTTATTAAAAGGAGATTTGCTTAATGGTGATTTATCTTCATAATAAGGTGATTTCTCATTTCTTTATTGATTTAATGGTGAAATATTAGGTCTATTATTAACTTATAATGGCTATATTTATTATTACTATTGTTATTATTATTGCTATTATTATTATTATTATTTATTATATGGATATTTTTGATAATTCATATATGGATTATAATTTTATAGGGAGGGTTTAGATATATAGTCATAATTCTAAATTAAATATATAAGATATTTACTTATGGTAGATGCTATTAATATAATTATTTCTATTTTAATAAATTATTTTATGGTTATCCTCTTGCATTAAATGCCAATAAATAATTGCTAGGCTATTATTATTAAAATTATTGCAATGGTTATTGTTGCTATATTTTGCCAAGGTTTGGTTATGAATATACACTCCTCAATTCCGTATCATATGGAACTATCAAATTATGATTAACAAAATTTTATTTGTGTAAAATAGTATGGGAAAACTCAACATTTCTTATACTTTCAGATAGAACACTTCTGATTCTGTTTACTATGATAGGCCTAAATTAATAATTGAATATACATCTTCAAGACTTCATGAATATTGGGTCTTCTATTTGGATCAACTTAAAGTAAGGAAGAGATTAATTATCTCATATTGGTAGAGAATTTATCAGGGATAGTGTTATATTGGCCTCTAACAATTTTAAGGGCTAATCCATGTAAGGATTCTGCATTAAATGGAGGTTTGAGAGCACAGAGTTCATATAGGATGATTCCCAAAGACCAAATATCAGTTTTGAATGAATAATCTCTACTTTCTATGATTTCAGGAGATAAATAATAGGGAGTTCCAACAATGGTCTTGCATTTTTCTCGTGTGTGATTCAACACTCTTGCAATTCCAAAATCCCCAAGTTTGATAATACCATCTTGAGTCAGAAATATATTTTATGTTTTTAAATCCCTGTGGATAATTTTTCTATCGTGAACATGTTTGATTGCTAAACATATTTATGTGAACCAATCAAGTATTTATACTTCACTAAAAAGACATGATCCCGTCTATTTGATTTTATTGCTTAAATCCCCACCATCTGCATAATCCATTACAATGCATAACCTACCTTTTTTTGTTTTGTAGACTTCTCTAAATTTTACTATATTAGGATGTCTCAAAGCTTCTAAAATTCTTGCTTCTTTGATTGTTTCTCTTCTTTCATCTTCTTTCATTTAATTTAAATCTACTTATTTGATCACGCAAAGAGTTCCATCCTGAATGCATTCGACCAAATATGCCTTTCCAAAAGAACCTTCTCCTAGTAATTTGATTCTTCTGTAAATCTCATTTTCATTCTATGCCATTTGTTATTTTGAATTTAAATTAACTAGTATAATTAATTGTTAATTAATTCTCGAAATATTTAATCTTTAGTTCAATATTGTTTATTATTGTATTTGATATCACTAATCAGATAATTGAGCTACATTAAATCTTAGGTCCTGGATCTCGCCATCCTTGTCCATACACTATTGTCGTAATCCTTCACATTCTCCAAAGAGTACTGTCAACATGACTGTTTAGTCTTGTACTCTATATTATTATTATACACTCTTACATTTTCTTCACTTTCTCTAACTCTTGTAAATGTTATTCTTGATCTCTGATTTTCTTTTGTAATTCATCTGATCTATTCAACTCCTATTCATATTTGGGCTACACGATTGCATACTACAATATTAAAATGATTTATACTTTCTCTTCAAATGGAGTCAATTGATGGATCTTGTCCTCTAATTAGGGAAGTAGATTTTATAATTCATTCAATTCTTAAAGTTTCTGATTCAAAGTAGAGTTTAATCTATCTTAATCAATCTTATATTGTTTATTGTTATTTTCTAATTCCAAATTCTTTGCCTTTAAGATCTAATATTAATTATTAATTTGTTCCAATTAATTTAATCTCTATAATAATTCTTAATATTATTATTATAGATTTTTGTATTTTGTATCCAATAAACCATTATTTTGTTTCAATTCCTCATAAGCTTATAACTTATCATTTAATTATCTTGTTAATTTTTCAACTTCTTTTTGACTTTGATTTAACCTATTTTCAACTTCCTTGAATCTGGCTTCGTTTTATTTCAAATCTAAAATTGTAATTTCTTCTTTAGCAATCTATTGTCTCATCTAATCGTTTTCATTTTATTAATAAGTGACTTCCTTCTTGGCTCTATTTAGATCATTTTGCAATCCTTTAATTTAAGTTTCTAATTGATTGATTTTATCTAATGCTTATTGTAATTAACTTTAAATCTACTCAAAGTTTAGAGTTTTCTATCTCTCATTATCATAAGATCTTTAGAGATTATTCAATCTAGTTTCAAGCGAATTTATGCTATCATCCCTATTTCTTAACAATCCTTCAGTCTAATTCAATATCCAATTTAATTAATCGATATCTAACTGTTTCTGTCTCAATTGTTTAGTTAATCTTTCAATATCCTATTGTAATCCTTAAATTCTATTTTCAAATAATCTATTCTTCTCTTCTAATTATCTTTTCTCATCAACCACTGGTTCAAGTTTTGAGTATTTCAACCGCCATTCATTCAATTCATTTGTTCTTGAATCCAACAACTACTTTAATCTAGCGATATCATCCAAATGAGTTTATAATTTCTTTTCCAATTCCCTTAATAATGGTTCTAAATTTTTAAGTTTATTAATCTCATTCTCCATTGAAATTATCTACATATTTAATTTATCATTTTCAGTTAGTTTTTAATTTAAGAATTCATTTAATCTTTAAATTTCTTTAGCCAATTCTTTAATGATGTTTTCTAATTCTTAGATCTTAAATTCATTTGATTTAGATTATAATAATTATAATTCTTATTGAGCAAGTTTTCTTTTTAGATCATCAACCAATTATGTTAATTCGTTGATCCTAGCGATTAGCTATTTATTTTGTAGTTCAACTCCCTTGAGATCACTAAGAAGATAATCTAATTATGCATATCTACTTTGTAATTCTAATAATTATTGTAATCTCAATTTATTCTAAGCTAATAATCTTTGTATTTCATCATTTTTATTGGCTAATTGATTATTCAAAGAGCTGATCATTGATTCCATAATTTATCTATCAACTTAAAATTGGTTTAATTAGTCCCTAAGATCAGCTATATCCTTATCCTTTCCTTCCAATTAATCGTTTGCACTTTTAAGTTCCCCTACATTATCATTTGATTTAGCATATAAATCTTAGAGTTATCTCTCCAACATTTCCTTTGAATTTTAGAGTGCCATAATCTAATCCTTACATTCCATAATTTATTCATTTAGTTAATTTATTTAATCTTCATATCTCTTGAGTTGATCATTGGCCTGTTGCAATTATTATTTCATGAAATCCAATTCATTCTTTCTGTTTCTTAACTCATTTTACAATTTCTCGTTTTCCTTCAACAAATTATTATATCTGGATTATAAATCTTATAATTGATTATTTAAGTTAAAGTTGTCTTATTCTAATCTCTAGAGTTTTTCTTTTAATGCCTAAATCTAAGCATCTCTATCTCTTAATTGAGTAGCCTATTTATCAAAATCAGATTGCAATTATGAAAGTCTATTTTATAAATCAGTTATTTTAGATTCACTTCCTGATTGAAGACTTCCAAGATTGTTAAATTAGCCTTCTAACTTAGCATATTTATTTTTCCAATCATTTAAATCTCTATCTCTATTCTAGAGTGTATTAGTTAAATCATTAATTTTAGATTCATATTATGATTTCATTGTATTAAACTGATTTTACAGATTTGTGAATTTACTTCTCCAGTCATCTAATTCTTATAATCTGGTTTTCAATTCATTCTTCAATCTATCAATTTCTGAGTTTCTCTCCAATAACAATTTATTCAAACGATCAATGTCACTCTTATAGGTGCTAATTTAACTTTCATACTCTCTTATTTTAGTTTCATATTATCTCAATTGTTATTATAATTGTTCATAATTTTTACCCTAATTATTTTTATAATCATCAAATTCTTTTTATTTTTAAGAGAGTAAATCATTCAATCTTCTAATTTCATTATCCCAATTTGTTTTATCTGTATTATATTTATTTTTCCAATTAGTCAATTCTTTATCACTGTCTTATAATTTCCTTTCTGCTTCTTTCAATCGACCAGCCAGACTTTGATCTACATTTCCCAATTTTGATTTGTATTCATTCAATTCTGATTCTAATTACTTAATTCTTATAATATGCTTTTCGATTTCAGATCTAATCTATATAAATAGTTTAACTTGTAATTAGATATTTCAGTAGTTTATGAATCTAACTTAGCTTAGAGTTCTCTAATTCTTATTTCTTATTATTCATTGACACCCTCTAATTCTTTAATTCTATTGAATTATGCATTATTCTCTCTCATCATTCTATCATTCTCCAATGCCAATAAAAAGCACACAACTTCTGGATTCTTACCTAACCACTTTCTTTCGGTAGTTGGAGGAGGTCTAAAGGTATTATGAATCACATATACACATTAATTACTGTAGGCTATCCGCTTGCTCTGAGTTGACTTGATCTTCTCACATCTGATCTTTGAACTGGTTAAGGTGATTAGTCTGCCGGCTTGGTAACTTAAACAGTTGGAGTAGTTGTTGGTTTAGTTTCTACTTAACTTTTGACAGTCTATGGTCTAGCTGATGAATATCTTGATGTATATGACATTAATAAATAAATATCCTTAAAACAAAAACGAAATAATGATTAATCAGCAACACACCTTTTATTTCTCATCTTTATTTTTGTTGCCAGTCAACTATTACTGTTATGGATGAACCATCTCTCTTAATGACTTCTCATTATATATTGATCTTGCCAAATTTATAAATGCATTCTCGACCTGATAAAATATCGCTATCATTTTCTTACTTCTTCTGCTGTCTTTGCACTCACAACATGATGCTGCATATTAAATTCTTTTGATAATTGTTCAGCCATTTCTTAACTAACTTATCTGGTCTCCTCTGTTGCCATATCGATCTTATTACCCAGCAACATCAGCTTCACATTCTAATCTGCATAATGGGATAATTCAGCCATCCAATATTTTGTTACATCCTCAAACGATTTTGCATTTGTTACATCATACACTATCACTATACCCTAAGCGCCTATTGGTAAATCTATTCATTAATACCTTTGTAATATGAATTTGTGATGTTTCTGAATCTCTCTTAACCTGCTGTATCCCAAATCTACAACTTTATTCCTTGTCCATCTAACTTTATTGTTTTAAATCGGAAGTCGACTCCTATTGTGCTTAAATAAATATCTCTAAAAGTGTCATCGCAATATCTGATTAATAAAGATGATTTCCCTACAGCACTATTCCCTATTATCACTATCTTAAATATTTACTCTTACATTTTTTAAATTATATATATTTTAGAAATTATCATTAATGAATGTCAATAATAACAATATTCATCTGATTTCTTGAGTAATTGTANTTTCAATCGACCAGCCAGACTTTGATCTACATTTCCCAATTTTGATTTGTATTCATTCAATTCTGATTCTAATTACTTAATTCTTATAATATGCTTTTCGATTTCAGATCTAATCTATATAAATAGTTTAACTTGTAATTAGATATTTCAGTAGTTTATGAATCTAACTTAGCTTAGAGTTCTCTAATTCTTATTTCTTATTATTCATTGACACCCTCTAATTCTTTAATTCTATTGAATTATGCATTATTCTCTCTCATCATTCTATCATTCTCCAATGCCAATAAAAAGCACACAACTTCTGGATTCTTACCTAACCACTTTCTTTCGGTAGTTGGAGGAGGTCTAAAGGTATTATGAATCACATATACACATTAATTACTGTAGGCTATCCGCTTGCTCTGAGTTGACTTGATCTTCTCACATCTGATCTTTGAACTGGTTAAGGTGATTAGTCTGCCGGCTTGGTAACTTAAACAGTTGGAGTAGTTGTTGGTTTAGTTTCTACTTAACTTTTGACAGTCTATGGTCTAGCTGATGAATATCTTGATGTATATGACATTAATAAATAAATATCCTTAAAACAAAAACGAAATAATGATTAATCAGCAACACACCTTTTATTTCTCATCTTTATTTTTGTTGCCAGTCAACTATTACTGTTATGGATGAACCATCTCTCTTAATGACTTCTCATTATATATTGATCTTGCCAAATTTATAAATGCATTCTCGACCTGATAAAATATCGCTATCATTTTCTTACTTCTTCTGCTGTCTTTGCACTCACAACATGATGCTGCATATTAAATTCTTTTGATAATTGTTCAGCCATTTCTTAACTAACTTATCTGGTCTCCTCTGTTGCCATATCGATCTTATTACCCAGCAACATCAGCTTCACATTCTAATCTGCATAATGGGATAATTCAGCCATCCAATATTTTGTTACATCCTCAAACGATTTTGCATTTGTTACATCATACACTATCACTATACCCTAAGCGCCTATTGGTAAATCTATTCATTAATACCTTTGTAATATGAATTTGTGATGTTTCTGAATCTCTCTTAACCTGCTGTATCCCAAATCTACAACTTTATTCCTTGTCCATCTAACTTTATTGTTTTAAATCGGAAGTCGACTCCTATTGTGCTTAAATAAATATCTCTAAAAGTGTCATCGCAATATCTGATTAATAAAGATGATTTCCCTACAGCACTATTCCCTATTATCACTATCTTAAATATTTACTCTTACATTTTTTAAATTATATATATTTTAGAAATTATCATTAATGAATGTCAATAATAACAATATTCATCTGATTTCTTGAGTAATTGTATTTAATACAATCAATATATTAATTAATTCAAATCATAAATAGAAAGTATATGTTGAAAATTATACATTTTACACTAAGTAGCACATAATGACTAAGAGTTTGTGGGCCAATTATTCTAAATCTATTGTTGAATCTTGAATTAAGGAAACAAATGTAGCTCAAAATATTTCAGTTATTGAATAGGTAATGCTGTAATTGTTGTATTTATTTTATTTCAACTCATATGAAGTTTCATTAAAATTAAATCAAATGTAATATTAATTATTAATACTAATATATGGTATTATACTCCTCTTATATATTTGTAGAATATTTTCAAATAAAAATCACTTAAGTTATATGAAAGATATAATTTTTGGTTTGTGCAATTTAAGGAAAATAGTTCCCCCTTTGGGTTTGATAAAATCTAACTATAATTACTTGAATTATGTTTTGTTATTTATTTTTGTAGGCTTTATTATAGAAATACAAAAAATATGAAAAGCCTTCTTATAATTTACTATTATGTATATCTAATCTTTAATCATAAAATGAAATCAAACCTATGTTAACAGTATTTCGAAATTTTAAATCAATCTATATATCTGTGGGGAGTTGATAGTTAATTACCATTAAACTAATTGAAAAGGAAAAGATTAAATATTAATATATATATATGATTGTTAATTATATATAAAATGTTGGAAAATATAAAATATTTATTAATTCCTCATTCAAGGGAAAGATATGGAATTTACCCGAGTGTTTTAAAATAAGTGTTCGGACAATTGTCAAGGGATGTTTAGATTTACATTTATTTTACAATACTGAAATTGCTGATAACATTAATATTTTTAGTAGGAGCTTTGGGGTGTGAGCTTTCAGAATCACATTCAACAGCAACGACAGTTGTATTGCACTGCATTTGTATGCTATACCACGAGTTCAAGTACAAGGTGGAGCTGGAAAATTATGATAAATTGAACTTAATTCAATTTACTATGGAATAATAAGGAATGAATTTAGAAGAGATTCTAGATAGACAACAATTCAATAAGGTGATGATGACTGTAAAGAAATTAATATTTTCTTAATGTCTTGATTTGAATGTAATTGGTAGTAATATTTAAATAGAGAGAATAAAAATATTTGAACTTTTTGGCTTAGGTGATTATAATTAGGTTTTTTATATTGATGTTGAATTCGCCATTTCATTTTAATATACTCGAATACTTTTAAGAGAGTTGTGATGCAGATCTATTGAATGTACTGTTGATAATAATTTTATTGATGTTTCTAGAGTTCATCTTACTCTATTGTTTGGTGTTTGTGTTAGTGATTGCATTACCGTAGATATTCAATAGTATTTTAGATTACTTTGTTGTTTGTCAATCTACAGGAAAGGAAAACAGTTGTACTCGATTAGACGATTAAAGAAATACTTGGATTCTATTCCTCCTCACAAATACACAGGTTCAGATGATGCTTGGATGAAAGAGGACAAGACTTGTTGTATTTGTATGCAGGAATATATTTAGCATGAGAGTGTTCTGTAATTACCTTGCAGTGGATAACACTAATTTCATGAGTTATGCATCAGGAATTGGTTCAATGTATATAATTTCTCTTAAGATGAATAGGTATCGACTAGTTGTCCAATTTGCAGATAATAGTTAGGTTGACAATCACATTTTGATGTCTAAATAATCTATATAATTGACAATTATGTTAAATATAAATTTTGTGGGAAATTGAATAATTATTATAATTAACGAATTTTTCATAGTCCATGGATCAATTTAAAAGAATCAAGAAAATAGGCAAAGGCAATTATGGTGATGTTTTGTTAGTACAAAGGAAATCAGATGACAAAGTACTGTTATTCTTTATCCTTTCAGTTATTTGCTATAAAGAGAGTAGATTTAAGTTTTAGAGAAAGCTATGTGGTTGATCCACTCAATGAAGTTAAATTGTTACGCAGTCTTGATCACCCAAACATTATTTCTCATTATGATTCCTTCACCCATAATAATAAATTATGTATTGTTATGGAATATGCTGAGAATGGTATCAAATTCTTATTTAATTCTTCTAGCCGATCTAAGTATGATGGCCAACCAAGCTAAATAAACACAAACATACATTGATGAAAATACAGTTTAGTATTTGATTTATGCAATATTATAGATTCTTGGCTGGTTCTCCTAGATCTCCATTGCTATTCAATACCTCCACCAATTGAAGATAATCCACAGAGACATCAAATTACAAAACATCTTCCTCTGCAACAATGGAATTGTATCATTCTTTATCAATATTTAGGTGAAATTGGGGGATTTTGGAATATCAAGAACTTTAGACAGCACCTTGGATCTAGCCTAAACATCAATTGGTATTTTACTATTATAATATCGAAGGAACTCCATTCTATCTCTCCCCTGAAATCTGTTAAAATCAACAGTACAATCATAAAATAGATATCTGGATGCTTGGATGCACGCTATATGAATTGTGCTCACTTCAAAAACCATTTAAAGGGGAATCCATTAGTGAAATCGCTTTTAAAATCATTAATGAACCTCATCCCAAGATTCACAGAAATTATTCAGATTTTATCTCACAACTAATAGATGAAATGCTAGAAAAGAACCCAGAAAAAAGACCTGACATCTCGACCATCATCTAATATCCATAAATTTAATCAGAACTATATAAGCTACAAGGACTTTATAAGACATAATTTAATTACATCATGCCAGTTTCACCTATGCAATCCAATAAATCATCGTAAAAAAAAATGCATAAAAATTCTATCCATTTCCTTGTTGAATAATCAAAATAATTACAATAATAATAACAATAGCAATAACAATAATAATCACCGTAAGTTTGTAATTAGAAGAGAAGAAAAGTCTCATTGCAATAATTAATTTAAGATACTTCAAATTAGAATTCACCTACATTTAAATAATTAGCAACTGCTGACAATGCCAATAAGAATAAGCCGTTATCATTTAATCTACATACACTTCCTGATGTTATCAATGAATCCATATAATAGAATTCAGCTGTTATGGCTCAAAAATAATTAAGATACTAGAAATCAATCTCTATTAATACTCAAATTGATGACAGCACTAAAAGAGGTACAAATGAATATGAAAATGAAAATGAAAATCAACCAACTTTACTTAAAAATCCTAAGACTTTTTCATTTGCAGGCTAGTTTTTAAATCCTAATGCTCCTACATCTCCCTAGAGATCTATTTTATTGACAGATTTCCTTAAAAGAAAGATAGGAGAAGAAAGATTCCAATAGATGAAGACTCTCTTAGAATCCTCTAATAATCCTATGAAAATGTTGGATTAAGAAAAAGAGTTGGTAAGTGAAATATTAGGAGAAGAAAACATGGAATGCATTAAGGTATTTATAATTCATTTTTTAGATATTTAAAGTTCTGATCAGTAGTTCAATCACCCCGTAAGCATAACACACTAGAACAAAAAGCAGTCAATCCTTTTAGCAATATCATCATAATGATTAGTCTTTGATTGACTTAATTAAAGACTCAGATTTAATTTAAAATACAGAACACTCTTAGAATTCAGTGTTCGAGATTTCATTTAAAAATTTATAAAATTGCCATGATGCTTTTAAACAATCGTGATTAATTTGATCATATAAATAATAAATTACCTTATTAATTCTAATAGATTTAAATATTCTAAAATAATTACATTATATATATCAACTGAAGAAATTCTCTAAATGAAAGTAGAAAGTGGATGGAAATGTTATCATCCGAAAATAGCTCAGTTGGTAGAGCGAGGGACTGTAGTGTTATCCAGTTATCCCCAGGTCGGTGGTTCAAATCCGCCTTTTCGGAGTTTTTTTGTTATTTTTTTTGCATTAAGCAAGGGTTAATTAAAAATAATTAAGGCAATAAATAATTAAATATTTTAATGAATTCATCTAGATATGGTGTTGGAAATAGATCAGGTGCTTCTTAAAGCCAAAACTAATAAAAGCCTGCCAAGGGATTGTGGGGAAAATTAATTAGATTTTTCTAAACAGGATGGTTGAATCCAAGATCTCTATATAGGTAGTCAAGAAGATTATTGTGGGTTGGAACAACAGGTATAAAATTGTGATAAAGAAATAAAGGATTAATTTTTTTGATTGCTCCATTTGCATTTTCACACTTTTTGGAAGTTAGCGAGGAATTATCATAGATATCAAGAATGGGTGCTTAAGAAAGTAAGAGAATTAACAATAAAATTAGTGAGCAAAATTTGATGAATGATTATTATTATATATGTTCAGGGAATATTGTAAATCAATTCGGGAAAAGAGCTTATTTTTTAAATTAGAATAATGTTGAATAATAAAATGTGTTTTTGTTTTTGCCCATGCTTATTCAAGACGTGGAATGATGTTAAGAGTCTGAAGGTGACCTTCTCTTGTTGTAATTTCCCTTTTTTTATTCTTCGCCTCTCCTGGGACTGTTGCTATATCTGCGTCTATTACGGTGATCTCTGTTTCTCCTTCTGGAACGCGAGGATGAGTAAGAAGAACGTGATCTTGAGCCAGATCTTCTTTTGTGATGTCTATAATAAAATGTCTTAACAACCTAGATCTAGAATTTGAGTATCTTCTGCTTCTGCGTGGGGATCTGCCTTTTGGACAATCTCTGGCCCTATTAAGATTGAATGAACTCAATACCAGTGTCCTCCTTTGCCACATTTGAAACATTCGTCACTGTCATTAGGTCCATTTCTTCTCCCTTTGCGATTGTCGACTACATCTACTTTTAATTTCTATCCATTATAAGTTGTTCCATTCATTTCTGTAAGAGCCTCTTTAGCTTCATCTTCATTGCTGAAAGTCTTTATGAAATTTAAATTGAAAAGAGTTACTATAAAAGAGTAAGAGCCCTTGTATGCTACTTCTTTGACTGACCCATACTTTCTAAAGATTTCTCTCACATCTTTCTCATCCTACACTTTGCTGCGACTGTATCCAGCTACGAACAGCTGATTAGACACAATCTCACCCATTAATTAAAATTTGGTAATGTAAAAATCCCAATACTTAGTTAATAAATAATAAAATATGAGTGTTTAAAGACTGCCTCTCGAAAAATAGGCTACTCCGCGTCATAACAGTTTCAAACCAATTCAACAGGTCTCAAGTACTGCAAGAACAATTACTAAGCCGCCTATGGTACAACAAGAAATGAATCCCGACAATACAATCCTATCATTCATGAAATCTTTAGATGGTAAATAAGCAGGCATTCTCAATCGCTCCATTAGAGATGGAGAAAAACTACATGTAAGAACCACTTGATATTTCTATTAGAAACCTCTAATCAAACCAAGAACCTACATCGCTTAATAAAAAACAATTCCAACATCTAACGTAGAGAGATAAATTTTAAATAATCTGGAAACAAGGTATTCTTTTTTCATACTAACAAGAACTTAATAGAATACAAAAGCTCCCGCAATATGAATAAGAATTGGTACTACAAATTCTAGCATCCATTGAAAATGGTTAACCTAAACATGAAGAACTCATCTCCTTCTTCAAAAGCAAAAGAATACACCTCAAAATCAACTCGAATTATGGCAACAAAACTTAAGTTGGATTAACTAGTATTGAATTGTTGAATAATAACAGAAAATATGTCAAAATCAACTGCATTTACTCTGATGATGATTCCCATAACACTATTAATAATCTGATCAATGGACACAATCTTACTATATACCCTGAATAGATGTGGATTACTAATTTTAAATAATTCCCAATCACAATCACAGTTTGTTATCTACTTTAGGAAGAATCTGAATTTCTCACATCTGTTAAAATATGGAATTTTAATAAAAATAGAAAAGAATTGGATAAATGTGTCTGTGAATTAGAAATTCTACAGAATGATTATGTCTTATGGTAAGGTTAAATTGCCAGAGGAGTAGCCAATACATTTTCAGAATATGCTTAAACTATCGAATTACTACCATAATCATAACCATAACAAATTGTTACTACGATAAAAGAAAATGAAACTCGAATTAAGAATCAAAATGATTCTACTTAACCATTCAATTAATCATCCCAATCCATCAATTCCAAGAAATCTGATGAAAATAAAGAGTAATTATAATTATATTTCTATTTAGAATTAATTTATCCAAGGCATCAAGTCAATAAAAACATGCAAAACCTAAATTAATATTTGATCCTTTTGATGATGATAAGAAATTTAAAAAGTTTGAATAAAAATAAGAACCATCCTCAGTAAAAACAAAATAAACAATACATCAATAAAGATTTTTCAAGAAATCTCTTAACTTGTTCTCCTAAAAATAGTTGACAGAAGAGGATTCAACCAGTCCATAACTCAACTTCAAAAGAGGAGTTGCTCACATTGCTGCAGGTACTACATCCACTCGTACTAAAAATATTTCAATTCCTGAATGTCCTTTTGGATCTAAATTAATTATTAAATTTCTTAAAAATTGGGGAGATCTCTATTCAATTGGATTAACAGGTATTGAAATCTTCGATTATAATGGGAAAAAAGTAAAAGTCAATTCAGTTTCTGGTTTCTTTAGGAATGCTGCTGTTTTATTTGATGACAATTACTTAACTTAGGATGATAAAAACATGTGTATCGAAAGAATAGATAAAAACATGGAAATTACAATCAAATTTAATGACACAAAATTGTCAATGATTAGAATCTGGAATTACAATAAAGGTAGAACTTACAGAGCTAAATGTGTTCGAAATATTGAAGTAGTCTTGGATACAGATTCAATATTCAGTGGAGAAATCAAATAAGCTAATGGTACATGTGGCATAGATAATGCTGAATACATTATGTTTACTAACAATTCTTAAATTATGGAAAAGATTTAGGAATAGGATTGGCTTAATAAATTACATGAAAGTTAAATATAATAGTAAAAGCATATTCTAGAAAATACTGTTAAATTGAGTAGACCAGATACAGCAACATTTAATAAGCCAAAAGGTGAAATTACAGCTTAAAAATTTGCAAATAATAATTTGAATTCTTAATTAAACAAAGATTACTAACATTAAAAATCTGATTCTATTCCGTAAATAGTAAGACAAGAGTCTGAATCAAAACTACAATAATTTCCTAAAAGATTGTTCTCATCACAAAATTAGATTAATGTTAAGTCTTTACCAACGGTTACTGTAAAAGTATTAACGTTGTATATAATAAGAAATTGGGGTGACAAATTTGTTGGACTTGATAAGATTGATATTCATGATAAATTTGGATAGTCAATGAAAATAAAGAAATACAAAGTCATTACATCCTAATCTGAGACTGTTGTGAATAGTGATGAAAGGTGGTAATTGAATAATGGGAAAATCAAGATACAATTTGTATTCATTTAACCAACTCAAATTAGCAGGGTTTCAATTTGGAATTATAATAAAGAGGATGAATTGGAGAAAGGAGTGTAGATGATTAATATCAAAGGAGATAATCAGATTCTAAATACTATGTAAGGCATCTATTTGAGAAAAGGACATGGATTGAGTGATGTAAATGAACCCCAATTGATTGAGTTACCTTATCAAAAGAGAATAGATACTGTGATGGTAAATTACTAATTCGAAAGAAATATATATTAAGATTATGAAACCACGCAATTACCCTAAGGAACCAAGATAGTTATCAAGCTCTTGTCAACATGGGGAGATTTGCATTATATTGGATTGAATGGAATTGAGATATTTGATCCGAATGGAGAATAACTATACCCTAAATTGTTTGCAAAACCATATTCAGTAAAGGAACTGCCTCAAATGGAAATGGATGTCCGAACTCCAGATAAGTTATTAAACAATGTTAACATAACTTTAGATGCTAAACAGATGTGGTTATCTCCTTTCGTTAATTCATACACAGATAGATTAAAAACGAATATAAATTCGAGTGTTTTTGATCAGATTAGTTACTAAGTCAACAAATTAATATTATTATTTGATACTCCTCAGTAAATATCTGCCATATCCTTTTACAATTATAGTAAAACACCTGTGAGAGGAGTAAAGGAATGTGAAATCTCAATTGATGATAATATAATGTATCAAGTAAATCGATTCATTTATTTAAAGGGCTATTTGAATTTGTCAACTTTGACCTAAACTGTAAGAGGAATTATGGGCAATAATAAAACTACCGTGTTGTTTACAAGAGATGAAAGATTGATTGATTAAATTGGGACTGTTGAAATTAGAGAAAGCATCATCGGATCTGAGACTCTCTTAATCAATGAAAACTAAGTACTCTTTTTAAATAATATCATTAGAAATTGAAATATAATAGTATCAAAAATAAAGAGGTCAGACTATAATAATAGGGATTGTATAAAGAATTAGATAGACCAACTACGACATAAGTTTACTGATTTTTATACTTTCATTGTTGAAAATTTTGTTACAATAAAGAGTATCATTAAATATTATTCTTTTTGCAATCCCCAATTCAATTCTGAGCATAAAATGAAAGTATATTCGTAATTCTAGTTTCATATTTATTCTTTGTATATAAATAGAATACAACGAAGAATGAATATATCATATTTTTATTACTAATTGTTATATAACAATAACTTGAATTCAAATAAACTTAGTATTATCAATTATTTAAAATGCAATGGTGTAGGTTCTTGGGGATATTTGATTATAGTTACATGTTCATTCTTAAATTAAAATTTGAGTGAACCATTTGCTTTATTATGGAAGTAGGATTTAGTATATAAATTCAGAAAACCGTTCTATAAATATGAAATTAGTTGTTATGTAAGAATTTGAATTTATAAATATTTTATTGATATATAATAATAATTATTATTATATATATATAGATCACAATTAGGGACTTGATATGTATGGTTTCGCTTCTACTCCTAATTTATTCATGATGTCTTAATTTTATTACAATAATCCTTTCTACTTTTCAATAACTTCACTAAAATCTGATTTCAAGAGACTAAATTAATTAGTAATTTCTTCATTCATATTACCTACATCTTGTTTATTCCTATATTTTCTCCTTGAAATTTTGAAATCATTCAGATTCTTCCTTAATTTGATCAGTAATATTTTGAGTTAGACTTTACTTAGATTTCCCTTTCTAAATTTATAAGGATATATTAATACTTGAGTGCAACATAGATTTTAAGAGAGTAGAACACTACCCAAGAGGCTGATGAAATTAAATTCTACCTTAATTGAATTCTTTCCAATACAGTAATTGCATGGGATTCTAAAGTTGAAATCACCAAGGAGTTAATAAGAGTGACAACCATAACAGAAATTACAAATATTCCTAAAATACAAACAACGAAGATAACAAATCTTCCTAAATCTGTTCTTGTATAGAAATCTCCATATCCTACTGTAGTGATTGTAATGATAATATTCCATAAGGCATTAGCATATCTACCTAAATTGTTATTTGCAGGGTCGTTCCTAGCTAATGGATTCTCGCATATTCTAACTCCATAACCAAAGATACAAATCAACGACACTAGAGCTATGAATTATGAAGTATATGGAGAGGTTCTCATTAATGATTTGGCCACAAACATATAATTGCCTTCGCATGCATAAAGATTGCATACTCTTTGAGTTCTGTTGCTGTACCAAAATGTCTATGCCAAAATAGTTCTAAAGATAAACACAGTTCTGGTTATCATAAAAAGAGCAAGTATTTCATTGACATGATAGTAGGCGGTTGCATCTTGAAAACTATTGTAAAAGTACACTCTCATCCCAATCGTGAAAGGATAAGGAACTACACAATAAATTATCAATTCTATGAGCATTGGATACCATTGCTCAGTTTGCCATATTCTATCATTTTAACTAATTTGTTTTCTTGATTTCAACCAATTCATGTGTTATTAATAACGCAAGACAGTTAAAACTAATAAAACCAATGTAGAGATAAATATGATCCATAATAAACAATTTGATATCTAATTTCTATACGAAACTAATTACATCCTCGTTCTCTTCTTCGAATTCTAAATCATATTGCATAACACTCAATCCCAAACCCATTAAATTAAAAACAAAGCAAATCTATTCTGTCATCAGAAACTTTCTAAATTATAACTTCGTGATTTTGCCTATATAATATTAATTTGAATTACCATCTTCTAATCCTCCCAATTATTGAGTACAAACTATAAATATTTATCCCAGAGTTGCTGCTTTCAAAAAATCAGGTTTTTTAACCAACTATTCATTTTCCAATTATCTTCTACTGTTTCTTTCCTAACTTATTGAATATACTTACGCTAACTTTTCCACTTTATGAGTTCTTCCTTACTTTCATTCTAATACAAAAATTAAATAATAATATATAATATTTTACTTATCAATCAAGAATTATTCAATTAAAAAGCAGCTTCATTTGCAAACATTGGATTAATTAATATATTCCTTATAGTTTGATATCATAAAAAAGACTTATGATATTATTAAACATTTCTTTGAAAGAGTATTAATAGATTAGATTTAGATGAATAAATTATATTTAGACTTATGATTCTTAAAATTAGATCAAATATTTAATATTTGCAATAATATATGTCGTTTGATTTAGTAATTAATACTATATGAATAAATATCTATGTTTTATGTTTAGGAATTACTAATTATATTCTTCAAAAGAATAAATTTGTGTATTTAATTATCAATTTTATCTATGATTAATAAATCTTGGATTCTTCATTTTAATGTGTGTATACTCAAGGGACTGCATAATAATCATATGAAAGAGATTATGAGTATTAATTTAATAAACTTGAATAATCTGTTTATTAAGAATAATAGTAATAAAGTAATTTCAAAAGTCTATATAGAAATGTGAGTTAGTTAATTAAATTGGTTATATATTATTGAAGTTTATAATTGTCGTTGTTTATACTTTAATAAATATATTAGTTAAGATTATTAATAATCTGTTCAATGTCAGACGCTCCAAGAGTNGCATAAAGATTGCATACTCTTTGAGTTCTGTTGCTGTACCAAAATGTCTATGCCAAAATAGTTCTAAAGATAAACACAGTTCTGGTTATCATAAAAAGAGCAAGTATTTCATTGACATGATAGTAGGCGGTTGCATCTTGAAAACTATTGTAAAAGTACACTCTCATCCCAATCGTGAAAGGATAAGGAACTACACAATAAATTATCAATTCTATGAGCATTGGATACCATTGCTCAGTTTGCCATATTCTATCATTTTAACTAATTTGTTTTCTTGATTTCAACCAATTCATGTGTTATTAATAACGCAAGACAGTTAAAACTAATAAAACCAATGTAGAGATAAATATGATCCATAATAAACAATTTGATATCTAATTTCTATACGAAACTAATTACATCCTCGTTCTCTTCTTCGAATTCTAAATCATATTGCATAACACTCAATCCCAAACCCATTAAATTAAAAACAAAGCAAATCTATTCTGTCATCAGAAACTTTCTAAATTATAACTTCGTGATTTTGCCTATATAATATTAATTTGAATTACCATCTTCTAATCCTCCCAATTATTGAGTACAAACTATAAATATTTATCCCAGAGTTGCTGCTTTCAAAAAATCAGGTTTTTTAACCAACTATTCATTTTCCAATTATCTTCTACTGTTTCTTTCCTAACTTATTGAATATACTTACGCTAACTTTTCCACTTTATGAGTTCTTCCTTACTTTCATTCTAATACAAAAATTAAATAATAATATATAATATTTTACTTATCAATCAAGAATTATTCAATTAAAAAGCAGCTTCATTTGCAAACATTGGATTAATTAATATATTCCTTATAGTTTGATATCATAAAAAAGACTTATGATATTATTAAACATTTCTTTGAAAGAGTATTAATAGATTAGATTTAGATGAATAAATTATATTTAGACTTATGATTCTTAAAATTAGATCAAATATTTAATATTTGCAATAATATATGTCGTTTGATTTAGTAATTAATACTATATGAATAAATATCTATGTTTTATGTTTAGGAATTACTAATTATATTCTTCAAAAGAATAAATTTGTGTATTTAATTATCAATTTTATCTATGATTAATAAATCTTGGATTCTTCATTTTAATGTGTGTATACTCAAGGGACTGCATAATAATCATATGAAAGAGATTATGAGTATTAATTTAATAAACTTGAATAATCTGTTTATTAAGAATAATAGTAATAAAGTAATTTCAAAAGTCTATATAGAAATGTGAGTTAGTTAATTAAATTGGTTATATATTATTGAAGTTTATAATTGTCGTTGTTTATACTTTAATAAATATATTAGTTAAGATTATTAATAATCTGTTCAATGTCAGACGCTCCAAGAGTAATGAATAATAAAATAATAGAAATTATTTTTTAGAAATACTTCTAATTAGCCCTAATAAACTCCTGTTGCAAAATAAGTTAACGAGTAACCAAATCAAGAGACCAATGTTTAACCAATAAATTAAACGAAAGACTTGAGTTAGATAGGATTGGATGTTGTGCAGCCTGGAGAGGTGTCATTGTAGTAGACAAATGTTGTGTGTTTTAATGGCGTATAACAATTCTACGGACTATTAGTGGCTACAAACTACTAAGTAATATATAATTATTAATCAAAGATTGTTTTCTCGCCTTAAAGATTTCCTACAGATTTCAGAAAGGATTACTTTTAGATTCCTTATACATTTTTGATAAAGGTGGATAGATCAATTGATAAGAAATAAAATGATTCAAATATTCTTGAGTTATCATCGAAGGATGGTAGATAATTGCGATATAGATTTTAGAGAGAGCAAAGTGATGATTGTGCATGTTTATTTAATTTGATCAATAAGAATGCTTATACATTGTAGAAGACCACATTATTTGCATTTACGTTTTACAAAGAAATGTAGAATTTGGAGAATGAATTTTAAGGGTGGAAGATATACAATATAGAGAAAGACTTTGAAAGGATGGGAGTGTTGATTTAATAAGAAAGTCAGCAACAATAAATGAATGTGTTATATAAATATTTGAACAATGAGGGTGGATAGATATGTGCTACATATTACAATAGATTGATAGTACCTGCTAAAGTCGATATGGATTGCATACAGAAGACAGCTAAGTTTAGATCAAAGGAGAGAATACCAATTTTATCATATGCATTTTAAGTGAATGGGAAGATGGTGTCACTGTGGAGAAGTGCATAATGTAGGATAGGAATAGGGTAGATAAGATCATTGGAAGATGAATTATATTTGAAATAGATGTCTTAGTAAATGGTTGATGAAGCAGAAAATGTATAAGAGGAGATTAGATTAAAAATATTTGATGCTCGTTCAGATGTTAATTCTATAGGGTAATAAGTGTCAGGTAAGGGATTTGAGAATCCAATGTATTATAAAAATTGCAGCATTGAGTTTTTGGAAATCCAGAGTATCCATAAGATGAGGGAATCTTAGATGAAGTTGCTGAAAAATTCATTCAGGTAGGAGTGTATTATTATTTTAGTGAGACTATATCATTTATCTCATAATTAGAGATATCATAATGGTACGAACATATAGTATTACTAATACAGGGTGCAGTGAGAATTTCGTTGAGTTTAACAAAGGAGAAGTTGAATGTCTTAGTTCATTGTAATGATGGATGGGATAAAACACCTCAATTGGTATCTTTGGTTTAGATTATGATCGATGGATATTACAGAACTTTTGATGGATTCATGATGTTAATTTAGAAGGAGTGGATAAATAATGGACATTAGTTTTGTTAGAGATCTGCAATTGGTAATAGATAACATAGTGATGATTGTCGATCACCAATATTCTTTTAGTTTCTGGATTGTGTCTATCAAATGCAATAACTTTACCCATTATCTTTTGAATTCAATGTCAAATTATTACTGGACTTGGCGTATCATCACATTTCCTCTCTTTTTGGTAGCTTTTTATGCGACTCCTTCTTGGTATTGATTCTCACATTATGAATTCACTCTAGGAAATTCAAAAATAAAAAGTCATGGAATCAACAGTGTCCATTTGGTCTTGGATGATGAAATAAAAAGAGAAATATAGAAATGCATATTATTTGAATCCTGCTTCCATTGAATAAGAAGTGATTATACCTGAATAATTTACAGGGAAGTCTGTGAAGTTATGGTAGGAGTATTTTCTTAATTACTCTCCTGAATTCAATGATGTCTATGGAATCCACCCATCCTCCTAATTCACAAGGTAGTCCATTTCTATTCTATGTCTAGGGACAACCTATAAGAAATGTACAAGGCTTTAGCTAAGGAGAACCAAGTCTTGAGATTGGCTCAACTGGATTAAGAGAAATTGGCCCATCTGAATCAACAGAAGTTCAATTAACTATTTCAAATCATCCAGGAAAGTTAAAATGAAAAAATCATCGAAAAACTTGAATCCATTCAACTTACATGAAAATGATTTTTATCCTCTTTATAGGTTATTTTATAAGGCACTATTAATATTAAAAATAAATGCAATAAATACACTCTCTCTGTCCATTATGCAATTAATTACAGTATTGTCAGACTATCAGCACAATTTAAATTGAAAACTTTAATAGGTCATCCACTTTTCTAGAATATGTACTAAACCCTATCATATCTGTTTATTAACTCACAGTGGACGATTAAAATTTTATGATCAAACAAAAGAGCATTCAAAATCTTTAGTTTCATCATTATGATCATGAAAATCGAGCATTTCCTGTTGACTTCGATGTTCTCTATGGATTTGACTTTTTTATATAAGGTTGTTAATTCGTAAAAGAAAACCTATTATCTGAAGCAAACGAGCATTTTGAGATCTTTGATAAGATAAACCTGTTCACTCTCTCCATCTTTAAAAGATAGATACCCGTTTATTCCAAATTTAGTAATACATATTTTAATGATGTGTGCGATGGACTACTAAATATACTAAAATCCTGCTACCTAAAGATTGAAACTAATGGCAATCCTAATGTTAAATAGTTTACACTCAAAAAGTGCTCGTAAATACTGCAAAGTTTGGAATATTTTTAAACTCAATCTTAAATATTCAACGAAAATTCTCTATAATTAAAATAAGAAAGAAAAGAGAAATTACATAGATCTTAGGTATAACTAGCCTGTTTAAGTGGTAATTTGAGTGAAGATGCCCTATTTACACCAACCTACTATAGATTTCTGTAAAATCAAAGTCACATCAATCAAATAGGTGGTATATTGTTTACTGGTTTAAATCATTCTGCAAAATTATGGGAAATCTTCTTTGCTAAATTGAATGGTGAATAAAGACTCTCTCATATTACCAGCCTTGTACTCTTTCTGAATAAGTAATATAATGAATCTTATCTTATTTGTTTGCTTAAACTTGCCAAAGGTCTAAAAAGATTCAAAGAATATTGGCTTTCATTAGTGATATTTAGTTTTTTTAGAAGAATAACTATACTGTTTCAAAAGTAATATAATTTCAATCCATATCTTCCATTCGTATATGATCAGATGGCAAAGATATGTCTTTATTTGGGATAGCATAATGAGGCCTATTCATATTATTTGAAAGCCTACTAAAAGTCAATGAATTGTACTGATTTATACATTGAGAGTAAAGATACTACTAAATTCAGTTATAAATTAAAATACAAACTAATGATCTTAGCCTTATTTCTGTAACATTCAAATGCAGCTGTGGAAATAGTGAAAGCATTACAATCAGATAGAATCGATGTGCCTTATCACATTAATGTCTTTACTAATTATGTCAAAGAGTATTTAGAAGATATTTCAATATTTAATAACACTTAGAGCTATCGAAAATGCGAATAGTTTTTGAAACATCTATCGAAAGTAGTCAGAAGCAATTTGAGTAGTATTTAAATTCCTGAGGACGATTTAAAAGAATCCTCTAATTTGATTGAACTGAAAGATAAGGATATCCCCAAGGTCACTCTAAAATAGAAGATTGAATACCAATTCAAAATGAATTCCTATTTCTAAATCCTTCAATTTTATCTAATTCTTGTATGTCATAAGAGAAACGATCAATTGAGTTCAAAACACTTTTTTGAATAATCGGAGATTCTGGAGTAAATTTTGCAATATGCTGATTGTAAATTGTATAGTACTTTGCATAATGTAATTGAATAGTTCTCATGCCCGTAAGATTGCTATGAGAATCTATTAATGTGTCACTTTTATCAGTATATATCAATGTATGATTTATCCAACAAACGTTTATTATTGTATGAAAAAACAAAGAGAGAAACTAAGAGCAAATATAACAATCAAGAATCTCTATCTTTTAATAGAATAATAGATAATTATAGAAGTACCATTTAATACAATCGTGAAGAAACCTTTTTAGAATTTATCTTACCTACATCTGATACAGTAGAAGCACAATTCTAAATCGGAGTTAGGCATTTGTAAGATGGTCGATATAGAGAAGCTGTTTAATATTTTTAGAAAGTTGGATAGAATCCAGCATATAGGGATTTGTGCAAATCTCATCTATTAAAATTAGTCTAATAATCGAGAGAGAATTTAGCAATTGTGAATTCATCTTTAAGCAAGGAAGATATTCATGAAATTGTCAAAGAAATTGATTTCAATAGACTCACATAGATTTAGACTAGAAGGAATACATAAAATCTAGAACGTTATAGGTAATCATCTTAATCGGAAGTGCAAAAGTGCTTTAATTACTTAATTGAATCTAAGTCTTTATCTCAAATATCTAGGAATGGTTCTGTTGTTAATGATTATGATTGTTAGAATTCTACCTTATATGAATTAAAAATGTACTTAAATGATCAAGAAATTACTGAATTAATAGACATAATAGAGGAAGATTTCAAAAATATACAACAGTTCGATTCAAACCGCTTTTAAAGTAGATATCCAAAACATGAAAGTTTTAATCAAGCAAATTTGATAATGTTCAGTAATGAGAATGAAAAGATAGTGATGAAAATAAAGGAGGTATCTGAAATTCAATTAGATAAATTAAAATGTAAACTAAAAGATATTTTGGTTGAAATTCTAGCATAGATAGTTGTAAATAAATTAAATTATAGAGGATTTGCTCAATTAATCACTTTGTATTATCAATTAAACATCTCTCAAATATATGCAAGCAATCTAAAATTTTACTTGATCTTTCCGTTTTATGAACCATTGCCAAAGATGGATATCAAATAATTGAAAGATTTGACTCTATCGATTAAGATCCTCAATCATAATTAAATTTTTCATAGAGATCTAAAACCCCATAATATTTTAATGAAGGATGGGAATCCTGTGATCATCGATTTTGACTGTTCATACTTTTTGGTACCTAAATTACAAAAATGGTTAAGAGGAAAAGGATTAACAAATAAGTACTATCCAAAAAATGATGTTGAATAAGATAAAGTAGATATCTATTCGTTAGGAATTATTGGAAAAGAAATAGATAATTGTCCTGAAGAATTTTATTAAGGGGCGACAAAAGACTATGATAATAGGTACTCATTACTTAAGTTATTGGAGATATTAAATTGATTATAAATTTATGTAATTACAATATTAATAAACCAAATGCAAAGAACACAGTAAATTTATTTCTATTTATAATTTTGAATCTAAATCAATGTGTAATTTACAATGTATTTGAATGATAGAATCTGAGTTAGGTGAATATAGTGAAATTGTAAATAATTCACATTTGGAAATGATGTAATGATAGAGATTAATTATATCAATAATCAATAGTATAGAAGAAACTGCAGGAAGAAAGGCAGAGTTCATCAATTTATATAATGATATAATCATCAAGAATATTGCAATGAATTTTAAGTTTTCTGTTACATTTATGATTCCAAATACTCCCGATATTTTAATGTCAAAGCTCTTTTCTTTTTGTTCTTGCCTCTTTTTGTTACTGAGTGTTATAGTATGTTGTTCAATATTCCCATTCTGCTAGTTCTTTACGAATTTTATTCACTCCCATCTATTCTCAGACTCAATTATTCATAAACCACACTGGAGTCTCTACTACTATTGCAATTCTGTAATTTTGAGTTGTTGCTGTGATATCTCATTCTATCATCCAAATCATTTAAATAGAGAGTAGCCTTGATTGGCCATTGTTTCTCAATATTTTATTCCAATTTCACTTATTTTGGCAGTTGGACATAAATTGTCTTCTGTTGCAAAGTGTTAATATTTACAGAATCATCTGGCGAAAGATTATGCATTCTTTTTAAAATTGTCATCTTATTTCTTATGACTTGATTAAATCTGTCTGGTGTAGATAATTAGTTTCTTTCTTATTGTCTATTAGAAACTAATTTAATTTTTGGTAATGGTTATAATTTATCAGGAGAAGCTACATAAATAGTTTATCTATTTTTTGTTTTTGAATTATTAATGCTTGTATTTAATTCTACTTATTATTCAATCATTTAAGTTGGAGTATCATCTATTGATGTAAGATAATTCAATGTATTTTTTAGTTCTGCGATTGGGCTTACACACAAAATACTATCAGTCATCTATTTCACATCATTAAGTACTTTAGTAGGTGACTCTATTTTATTAAATGAATTATTCAAATGATTCTATTTCTGATCCTAAATGGTTAAGAAATGTTAATATTTTTCTTAAGTCTGTTCAATATTACTTTTGAAATCATGGTACCATTTATGCTTTTTCAAACATAAAGCCCTTAATTACTATACATAATGTTATTCGTTAAATTACGATAATTTTTAATATAATGATTATAAGGGAACGATTATTAAGCTGGCTGTGTGTGAGTTACATTAGACATTAAATTACCGAGGTATTCTTTCGAATGCTTCATAATCTCCAAACATTTCACCTGTTGTCATAATTGCAATTTGTTTTCTCACTTTGGTTTGCTATTACTCATTCATCCTTTATTCTGAATACATCAAGAACTCCCCTTACTTAATAATGTAGATAGTATCAGAATCACTCTAACCCTATTTATAAATGATATCTCTAAATTTGTAATCAGATGACTAATAAGAAAAGAGCATCAGATTGATTAATTTCTTATTCAAACCTTAAAAACTTGGATTCAATTTGAAATTATTCATTCTATGTTGTTCCTTCTTCTTCTCCAAAATTTGTACCGCTGTAGTATAATTTTCTCTAGTCAAAATTGCCAAAGCAGAATCAATATCACATACTGCAATGTTGGTTCTTAGTCGCTAATCTAAAATAGCTTACTCACCAAATGTCTTCCAGTCCTTGAATTCTGTTAAACGAACTAAACTAAAAACGAGATAAATTTATATTTACCTTTTGACCTTAAAATCAGAAAATCTGATTCTATTTACGTAAGGAGACTCTCTACCATAGTCTACACTTACCGAATGCTTTCTAGTTGTTGTTTGGTCTATTAAATGATCATTTGAATACAGAGACACCTGTCCTCGTATTACTACATACATGTTATGAGGCTACTCTCCCTTCTCAAAAATAACTGTATTCTATATAAAGTATAGAGAATGATATTCTTACTTTTTAAAAGGTTTCAAATGTAAGATGCTTCAAACAATAATCATATGCCTCACAATCAATATTCTCAACCTAAAATTGATGGAAGAAATCCACTTTAGACATTATGATTCTCATTAACTATAAAATTTCTGCCTTCCTCTCTTAAATTGGGCATTATAATATATTTATCAAAAGCTATTATTTCTGCGACATAGTAAGATCATTTATTGACTCAAGTAGTCTTGTCTAGTTACGTTTATTACCTAATTCAATCGTCACTTATTATTATTATTATTAATACATAATTAATGGATATCAATCTTGGTGAAATATTTATTCCAAATGATTATACCTTAACTGAGTTCAAATATCAAGATATCGAAATTTAGATTTACTCACTCAATAGCGGATCAACTGATTTCGATCTCACTGGTTAAATCATTTGGCCTGCTTCCATTGAATTAACCAAATTTATCATAGATAACAATCAATTATTTAAGGATAAGAATGTCCTAGAGTTAGGGGCTGGTGCAGGATTATGTGGTTTTGTTGCAGCCAAGTATGCAAAAAATGTGATTATCACAGATGGTAATCAAATTGTCCAGGATCTCATTACTAAAAATATTGAGCATCTTAAATTAAAAAATGTCTAAGGATCATTGTTCTAATGGGGATATGAGAATAGTAAGGCATTTAAAGATATTGATATCATAATTGGAGCTGATATCATCTTCTGGCCTCAATCTATTGTTCCTCTATATGAGACTGTCAAGTATTTCAATGAGTAAAACGAAAATATTCAGATGTTTGTATCTGGCATCAAAAGATATTAACAAACAGAGGATGAAATTGATAATTTACTCACTTCAATCAAAAGACCAAGAGTTTTGATAAAATAAATCAATGATTATAAGTAAATTGTTTATATTTATAAATTATGACAAGTTAATGATATTTATTATACATTATAAAGCAAAGTATATTTTCTTTATTTCAAATTTATAAATTACTAGTAAATGTATTATTCTTATGTTATAATCTCTTTTTGCTGGTCGCGATATCTAGAATAATTTTCTAGATTTAAGTAGAATATTAAATTTTTATTGGGAATCATTATAATGTAGTTTAATTCATGTATGAAAAACTATTTGATTATCAACTATAAAACAAAGAAAATATTGATCTCAAAATTATTATATATCAAGGGAATATTTTAATTTATGCGTTTACTAAGCATGCAAATAGTGATAGATTCCCATTCAATTCAGAAAGTTGGAATCCAACCTATATTATAGTAAAATTTTTTACCTTCATCATTCCAATACCAATTTCTAAGTTATTATTGCCTATGATTATTTTCAGACTTGCTTTATGTTTAAAAACATTAAGATATTTTTGCTTGTTTTTTTATTTTCCATCTTTAAAAGCAACTTATATTAAGAATTTAAATTTACTTCCTTGACTATTTAGACTATGGACTCCTTTTTGAGGTTTTCCTATTTCTCTTGGTAGTTTAAACTTATTCCAATCAATTAAACCTATTTCTATCTCCTATAATTTTATAAGTGATTAATACTGATTATTTATCATATTCTTAAATGAGTATCTCTACTTTAAAATTTGTAGTTTTCTTAAAGAAACCATCAAATAAAATAAATCCAGATTTTGATTTGGCAGTTTTGAAATTATCTAATAATTCTACTTATCCATTCATAAATTAGACTGAAAATAATACCTACTTTCCATTAATTTCATTGAATTGTGGTAATTAGGCTACTTTTTCACTATCTAAATTTTTGATTTATATATGTTGAGGCTAGCTTAATTTCAATTTTTTTTTTGGCTTTTAATCATTAGCTTGAGGTTTTACTTCAGAAATTATGACTTGGTTCTTTATTAATTTTGATTCAGGTTTGGATTCTTGAGAAATTTCCTTGCTTTAATAATAATTTTATTGTATTTTCTCCGCTTAATTGAATCCTTAGAATTAATTGAGAGGCTATGATTTAGCCTCTTATTGATATTCCTTATACGAAAAATACTCATTTTGCGTTTATTCAATTTATTTATACCCTTTTAAAGGAGGGAGATTTTCTGACGTCTATTCATAGGAATTTTTATTTTATATATANAAAATATTCAGATGTTTGTATCTGGCATCAAAAGATATTAACAAACAGAGGATGAAATTGATAATTTACTCACTTCAATCAAAAGACCAAGAGTTTTGATAAAATAAATCAATGATTATAAGTAAATTGTTTATATTTATAAATTATGACAAGTTAATGATATTTATTATACATTATAAAGCAAAGTATATTTTCTTTATTTCAAATTTATAAATTACTAGTAAATGTATTATTCTTATGTTATAATCTCTTTTTGCTGGTCGCGATATCTAGAATAATTTTCTAGATTTAAGTAGAATATTAAATTTTTATTGGGAATCATTATAATGTAGTTTAATTCATGTATGAAAAACTATTTGATTATCAACTATAAAACAAAGAAAATATTGATCTCAAAATTATTATATATCAAGGGAATATTTTAATTTATGCGTTTACTAAGCATGCAAATAGTGATAGATTCCCATTCAATTCAGAAAGTTGGAATCCAACCTATATTATAGTAAAATTTTTTACCTTCATCATTCCAATACCAATTTCTAAGTTATTATTGCCTATGATTATTTTCAGACTTGCTTTATGTTTAAAAACATTAAGATATTTTTGCTTGTTTTTTTATTTTCCATCTTTAAAAGCAACTTATATTAAGAATTTAAATTTACTTCCTTGACTATTTAGACTATGGACTCCTTTTTGAGGTTTTCCTATTTCTCTTGGTAGTTTAAACTTATTCCAATCAATTAAACCTATTTCTATCTCCTATAATTTTATAAGTGATTAATACTGATTATTTATCATATTCTTAAATGAGTATCTCTACTTTAAAATTTGTAGTTTTCTTAAAGAAACCATCAAATAAAATAAATCCAGATTTTGATTTGGCAGTTTTGAAATTATCTAATAATTCTACTTATCCATTCATAAATTAGACTGAAAATAATACCTACTTTCCATTAATTTCATTGAATTGTGGTAATTAGGCTACTTTTTCACTATCTAAATTTTTGATTTATATATGTTGAGGCTAGCTTAATTTCAATTTTTTTTTTGGCTTTTAATCATTAGCTTGAGGTTTTACTTCAGAAATTATGACTTGGTTCTTTATTAATTTTGATTCAGGTTTGGATTCTTGAGAAATTTCCTTGCTTTAATAATAATTTTATTGTATTTTCTCCGCTTAATTGAATCCTTAGAATTAATTGAGAGGCTATGATTTAGCCTCTTATTGATATTCCTTATACGAAAAATACTCATTTTGCGTTTATTCAATTTATTTATACCCTTTTAAAGGAGGGAGATTTTCTGACGTCTATTCATAGGAATTTTTATTTTATATATAATCTTACTACGATTTATTAACTTAATTAAGTCCTTATTAATTCATAGGACGCTCTTGTTTAGATTCTTAAGCATATTCATTAAATTAATAATAATCTTATTAAATTTTCTCTACTTATTTATATCCTTTTAAAGGAAGGAGAACTTCAGATTTAGATTATTGAGCATATTCCTAATTCTAAAAATAGTCTATTTTCGATTTCTCAACTTAATTATATCCTTATAGAGTTGTGGGATGTAAAGATTTAGATTACGAATTTTCTTCCTTATATTAATAATACTCTTAATATATTTACCCACCCTATTTATTTCCTAATGAGGTTGGTAGGTCAACTTGATTTTCCTTGATTTTCTTTTAATTTTAAGTTGTGGGTTTCTCAATTTACTATAGCATATATTTTTGATAAGAAAATGATTATGTTAGGGAGCCAAAAATACGTTCAAACTAAATATCCTTTGATCTACAAAATTAATTAATTATGTCTTCAACTTCATTATAGATATTATTGTTGTAAAAATTCAAACATTTAGTTTGATATCCTTCAAATTAGAAGTAAGTTTCAAAATGATCCAATTCAATATTATCGTTTACAATACAATTTTATATTTGTAATTCTAAGTCTTTTAAACACAATCTAAATAAAATTATAGTTTACTAAAATATTTCTTCAAGTTCCTATTTGACAAGTTGTTGGATTCTCCTTTAAATTGAATCAAATAAAACATCTAATTTATCTTTTGCTAAAGAAATGCATTGAAATTTCCTCTAATCATTTTATTACTAGGCTGCATTTGTAGATTTTTTTTCAATCAAATATGTTTTAAATTAATTAATCGTTAACATTTTGTGTTCTAATTCTTGATGCTAAAGGAAATTGGTCCAATTAGTTATTAATTTCTCTGATAGATTGCATCTCTCATCAACGCAGTATAATTAATCACTCATAAACATAAATAACAATAATTAAAAAGAAAATTAAGTTTGATATTTGGAAACTATAAAAGCATCATTATTTTTCAAAATGTTATTAATGAATACATTAGTGTAATCAGATGGATTATCATTTAGGATAATCTATTATGAAAAGTCTATTCAAATTATAAGTATGAATTTTCAATATGTAAATACATTAATAATGTAAATGATTCTTCTTATGTTTTATATATTTATCATATATCAATCTCCTCTCTTCCAATTTAAGACTTCCTCAATCAGTGCATCAGTGTAATTAATCTTATATCTGGAAAATATTTTCTATATTAATTAATATCTAATACTTGCAAATCTTCCTTGTCTTCTTTATCATTACTTCCTGATGATTTTGGCTTTTCATTATTTTCTTTCATTTTCTTGAGTAATTTTTACATTAACTTCTCTAAAATAAATTAAGTTGATTAAATACAATCTTCTTTTGTGAAATATACTTTTTCATCTCCTTTATCCTTGTCTTTCAAGACGTCTGCAAATCCAAATCTTGGTTGACATTTTGGTATTCTTGCTAATGTAATTAGGAATTTATTCATAATATTAATATCTTCAATAATTAAATGAAATGCTCTATATTTGTTAGTTTAATATAATTGGAAATAATATAATAACTAAATAATTGAATCATTCCTACTCAATAACTAAGTTTTGTTTCTTTAGCTCTTCCAAGTCTTTGTCAGATATTTAAATGTAATTTCCTTTTTCATCCAATAAATAATTTCCATTCTCATCCATAAGATACCCATCCTCATCTAATTAGTAAACAATTTCTTCAGCACTTTGATCCTAATGATGTCTCTATTATTAAGCTAAGTTTCTCATTTGGCTGGCTAAAAAAATTTAAATGCAAATGATGTACTTCGAGATTTTCTACCCCCTGTGGCTACATTTTAATTCTTAAGTGGGCCTAATTGTTCTTTAGATTACTGTTAGGAATATTTCTTCTATTAGTTCGAAAGATTTAAATTTGATTTTGATTGAGAAGTTTAAAGTTGTTAATCTCTTTCTTTTGATTTTTGCATCAACGATCGTAAACCACCTTAAGACTATAATATGGATGTTATGTACTTTAATTATTTCCTGGCTGTCGTTTCTATTGAGTGATTGATCCTGCTTAAGGAAATAACTCTCATTTTTTATAATTGAACTATCTGATAATTAAGATTAAGATTTCTTTAAATTTTATAGCTATTTCTCATATTCTTGCTATTATTTGATCCGCGATTATCTTTGTTGTTCCTCTTAGCTTTTTATTTATTGCATTTTCTTCTCGTATTCCTACTTCATTCTAACATCATCATAAAAATTAGGTATTGGACTTGCAGTGATAGGATTTGGAGATGTTTTGATTAAGAGAGGCATTTTGGAGATGTCTCTATTTTATTGAGTGGCAGGTGATTTCAACTCTGAAGTCAATGGTTCAGCTACATTTTATGCTAATTCACTTCTTGAAGATTTTTCGTATTCACTTCTAGATGATTTATTTTAGGCTAACTCACTGTTTTATTCCTCTTTGATTAAGATAGGTTTGATTGAACTAGCTGGTAATGAGGAATGCTGTTAATGATTAGGTTTTTATTGTGACCACTGGACTTAAAATTAATCAAAACTTAATTCTCTTTTTAATTTAGGTTTCTATTCAGTTTCTGCTAACTTTTTTTCAATATTTTTGATGCTTGCAGTCATATAATTAAGAACATCTTCTTATCTTTTTAAATATTCAATAGGAACTTCAGCATTATCGAAAGTTAACTTTCTAACACTGTGATTTGGAGTTTATTTTTAGGCTGTTTATTGTATTTTAGATATAGTAGAAAGTTGTTAATTCAATGTATTTTCAAACACATTAATTTTGGCATTTGATGTTTCTTAACTAATTGCTAATTTTTCTAATAATTTCTATTTTTATTGGAACAACTTCATTATATTTTACTCCATTTCAGCTGATTTTCTTGTTAGTTCTTCAACCATTACTACAGTTTCTGAATGAATTTTCTTTTCAACTTATTCCATCTGGAACAAAACTGTATTTGTTGTTCTTGAGACTTTCTCTACTGCAGTTTAATGATGTTATTGATTCTCTTCCTTCAAAATCTGCATCTGTCTTGTTTATTATCTTTCATATTTTAGAAGATTTAATACTATTGTAATTAATCAAATTGATTTTAAAAGGCTTTAGTTTTTTGTTCTAAGAAATTCCTCAAATAGGTTGTTTCTTCTCTAAATATTTTAAGAGGAGTATATTTTTCAATGGTCAACAACAGATCCTCATTTCTTTAAGCAACCAACAATTAAATTTATGATATTTTATTATCCTGTAGTTCCAATTTCTTTTCTAATCTCTAATTTAAAGTGAATAATTCCTATATATGTTTTTGACATAATATTAAAGAGCTAAGTTGATCATCCATTTATCGTTAATAATTAAATTATATATATATATTTATCAATAATTAAAATTTCTTCTTTTCCTTCTCATTCTTCTCAACACAATCCTAACCCATTTAGGTTTACAATTGATTGTTTTTGATACAATATACTTCAAACCTAATGAGAAATGTTCAATGATAAATAATAGAATAAGAATGTTTTCCCAATCACATCCTGTTTTCTAGCAAGTATCAAATACATTGAAATAAGCTAAGGCTATAAAGGCAGTGTTAGTGTATATTGATAAGACTGATAGAGTCATCAACACAATTCTCCATTCACCAATGCTATATGCCTTTTTTGGTAGGTTTCGTTGGTATAATTTATTTCTTAATATAATATGAATGTTTACGCTAATTTGAATTTATCACTCCAGATCTCAATAAAATTGAAAATATATGTGAGAGCAGCAGCCAGAGGAAAAATAGCTGCAAACAATACTATGTATCCATATTGAAATATGACTTCAATATAATCGTCGAAATCATCATATTCCCACAGTTCAAGTTCTGCCTATAGTAGTTGATATATTAAGATATACAATTCTATCAACAATTTTTTCATTTATGTCTTCCTTCTTTTATAAGTTCAAGCAGTACTATTCCTTTTGTTTTTCATACTGTTACTTCATTAACATTGGCAATAGAGATTCCAATAGAACTCTTCTTATTTGATCCATTACAAACAACTTAATCAAGAGACTCCTTAGAGTTGGTATATCAAATTCAATGAATGCAATATAGAATAAATGAAAGAATCTATTGATTAATTCAAATAAGAAACGTTTAAGAATTAAAGAATTATAAAACCTCAAATTAGTTCTATGATTTTCTCGTTTGGTTGAATTAATGCAAACCTTTGTATACAGAGTGTTGATGTAGAATATCAATAAGATGGTTAAAATGTCTAAAATATTAGTAGTGTATTTATAATATAATAGACCTCCCTCTTGATTCAGCTTAGCTGCAACCTTGATGTAAAAGATACTGCTTTCATTCCTGATTAGTCCATTGATGTTGAATACAACAATTTTAATTAAACCAGCAATAATGAGAATTGGGATGGCTTCGAATAAGGATACCATATAGTAGAATATCCTGCTACTTGTTGGATAGCCATTCTTAACCATTCCAGTGATATAATTCATCTTGGGTGTGCCTTTATATTCAGGATTCAGATCTAATCTTTTTATGTGTTATTAACCGAACACTCCCCATTCAATACTTAACTCATTCTCTTTTCTACGCCAAGCAATGATAAAGAATGTTGACCAGACCATAGTGAGTACTGCATAGAAACTGGCCACATTGGTGATTTTAAAGAGACTACTTTGATGATCTACAATTAATGTGATGATTGCAGCAACAGCCAAATACTTAAGCATAGATTAATAGAAGTTCATGAACTCGAAATAGACAGCTAAGTTGCCTCCAAAGTATCTCTCTATATCTGATACTGTGTTGAGTGAGACGATTTCATCATGAATCGGAGTAACTTATAATAAATATTCTTCCGTTTTTAGAAAATGAATCATGTCCAAATCTCCAATTTTAATAGTATGTAAATAATTGTATATTATAAGTAGAGTCTCAGAAGGACTGAATATTTTAATGACTTCTGAGTCTTCATTATGTAAACAGAAGTCATTTTTTAAGTGGTATTTAAATTTTTAATAATTTTCTAACTCCACTATTCTCTTATCAATTTAATTTAAAGCGATAACTAATCTCTCATCCAATATTTTCTTTACATTTATCTTCTCAGCTATCTTTCTATATACTTCGTGCATTTAAGTATGTGAACGGTCAATAACTAACTATTTAATGTTTTTGTATTTACTTTATAGAGTTGCATCTGCTCCGCCTATTCCAAAATGATCTTAGGATCCCAAATACAAATGAATAGGAGAATCTTATCATTCTATAGATTCCTGGTCTTATAAGATTGAAATCCATGATTGAATAGAATATTCACAATCTACTCAAGTTATTCCTGAGTTGTGGCTTTTGAGAATTACATAACAAATTGGAACTTCACATCTTAATAGGATTGCTCAAGGGACTATTTGGTTGGTAAAGTAAAGCTCTTGTTGTTGGTAATGTTATGTTGTTTGGCCAGCTGATGGAATACTTATTTCATCAATTAAATTAATTATAAAACACTAATACACAAATATGAATTAATTAGATGAAGTAGTCAAGTTCGCACTCTATTAATGTAGAGCTAGAAACAACCCTATCACTGAAACTCTTGCATCCTATGTTGCATAGACAATTCTCAATAAAAGTAAATATTTTTATACCATTGAAGGAACTAATAAATTTTATCTGGAAGAAAAACTCAATGAAAGCGAATTGAATGAATTGAAAAATGAGACACTCAATAAACTCAGCAATTAAAATGCTCCAGATCTCAAAACTATCCAATTACAAATATGTAACAATCTACCCTAGTAATCAAGAATATGATAGTGCGTACGTTGAAATGGAATTATAAAGACAAGAGAAAATCAAGAAGCAATCCAATGAGACTGGAAAATACATAGATGACGTTGTGACTCTGGAAATTAAAAACGCCAAAGATTTTGAAGGCTTGACCACCTTATATACCAAAATGTTTCATTATTTGATATACAAGAATAAAGAATTGATTGAAGATCCTATTAATTTTGATGCCCAAGCTCAATTCAATATGGACAAAGGTATTCCTCATTTTATTACTATTTACATTAGAAGTTGGAGCTGCCTTAGAAAGTGTTATTCCAAGAGCTGCCTTAGGACCTTTTGTGTCCTTGAATCCCTCGGAAAAAGTAACACAATTAGTGGAATTGGCCAACCTAGTCATTGGAATTAGATTGTTCAATAAGAAAATAGGAAAGGGAGGAGTTTCATTAAGTTCCTTAGAAGATCTTACCAAATATAATGCTAGAGAATTATCTGAATAAATCAAACAAATTGCTCTAGAAACAATAGAACAATGCGAAATATACACTACTTTCTTCATAAATCAAGACAAATTTCAAATGAACAATGAAGACATTGAAAAATATAAGGATGAATTGGCTTTCCTCAGATAATACTTATCTTATATCTTGTCATTACAAGAGGATATCGAATAAAGTGAAACCATGATTGAACAAAATCGAATCAGATTCATCAAAGAAATGGAAGACCTTAAAAAATTATTGGAACATAAATCCTCTGCTCCTAAAGAATAGGTCTATCCTAAATTTGCATTGTTAGCACAAAGTCACATCGGACTATTTGAAGACAAGTAAATATCAATTGAGAGAGTGGAACTCTCTCGATTGTTGGTAGATCTAAGAAAGATGATGAAACTTTCTATGCCCTTAGCAATATAAAAACAATGTAAATAGATGGAATCAACCTAACCTGATAATTTAGCCTTAATTAATTATCAACCAGAATCAGGAGTGTAAAGATTATTACCTTAAAATACTCCTGATTTTATGCAAACCTAATTAGATTATTTCGGTTTCTGTATTTGGTCAGTTGTAAAAAAGAATGGTTTACTAATCCCTGGGAAACCATCTTTGGGTGTGTTCAGATACAGAGACAAGAATTGTGTTTTTAGCAATGAAATAGCTATCAATGAATTTTTGTCTGAACCTCAGAGATATTTAACAGGAGTGATTGATATTTGTAGATAGAAACCACATCTAATCAGATTATTTAGAGTGGAAGAGAATTTCAAGAATCTCAATCTGAAACTAACATTTGAAAGTGGAAGTTTATTATCTAATAAATTAATGGTTGACAAAGATGTTCAAACCCCAGTTCATTTTATTGAAAAGAATCTTGATCCAAACTATTGTTGGAATGAATGGGAATTGAGAAGAAAAGTACTTATTCTCATCATTTTTAGGCTATACAAATGGCTAATATCAGAAAAAGATAGACTAAGGCGTCCTAAACTATTTTAAGTAATTTCAAAGTTGATAGTGAAGTAATTTCTATTTAATTTATCTTAATAGGCGTAAGTTTATGAAATGAAAGATCAATCTACTTCAACAGGATAAAATAAAGGATTGAATCCATTAAGACCAAGAAACTATATTGTTGGTCTTAGAGATAAAACATATAACCAGCAATGAAATTAACGTATTTTTTAGAAATATTTAACAATTACTCTATTCTTAAGACTGTCTATATCAATTATGTATATGATTTTATAATCTCAATTAATATATATGATGCAAACTTTATATTATTTTAATTAATTATTTACATTATGTCACATACTGAATAATCAGAAATGCATCCCGGAATGTAAATGATGGATATGAGAATGTATATGATTATAAATTGGGATTACAAAGTTCGATTTGTCTTTAATACGTACTTCATTCATTTATTACTATTAGTTGGAAATCAACTACATAAGGTGAATTTGTTGGCGGACTATTTGTCACTATGTTTTTCTGTGTTTTCCTTTGTTTATTGCCAGTTTTAAAAGGGTATGCAGAGAGATAGAAGTATGCATTCATATAACAAGATCTCTATTTTTGAAGATAGTATGGCAATTACTAGCTGCTACATAGTCATCCATTACAATGTTTTTGTTGATGACAGTTAATGGTAAATAATAAGGATATAATAAAAGGTTGGGTTTTTCTTGCAATGGCCCTTGGTATCGGATTTGGAAGTTTTATCTTCTATCCTCAAATGCCCATTAGCGAAAAACATTAAAGAGAAGACGATCAATAGGTATTGGAAAGAGTAAATTGATTTATTAACTATTAATTGAAATTTATTTTCATCATCATTAGATACAATATTACAATTAGTTCTAATTTTCATTCATTATTATATGATTTTCATGCGTATTCATATACAATACTTAGAATAAGTAGCAAAATCAAAGGCTAGTGCTTTTGGAATGTAAATTTTTGCAAGCATTTAGAATAAATATACATATACAAAATATTTATATTATTTCAATACTAATATATTAAAATCTAATAAATTAATCTCTTAAAAAAAAGTCCAAACTTTAGGGAATTCAAAGATAAAATTAGATTAATGTACAAACATTCATCATTTTCTTAAGATACACAGAATATCTTAAGCAAATTTGAAAACTCTATTAAATGGGATTCAGATATAATTTAGGGCAATGAATAATGTAAAAATGAACCGAATTATTTAAATTTAAAATTATTTCATTATTAATTATTAAATTAATCGAAATTTAGAAAGAATGCTAAAGAAGGTGATCTATATTCAGATTTAACTATTATTAGGATGATTGAATTTGTAATTTGAATACTGTATTTTGTGGTAGAATAAATAATAATATGTCTTTAGGATACAAATAATAATTAAAATAGCAAATGAAATTAGTAATTTGAATTTGCAGTGGCAATTAAAAATAAAAAGAAATAATATTCACTTAATTTTTGTTAATAGTTCTCTAGGAGCTAATGTCAATTTTGGAGGCTCTCTATATATGTTAAATTTTTCTGCATATTTATTGATTAAATCTTAATCAGGATTACCAAAGCGATTGATCACATCCTCTTTCATGCGACCATATTTGAATTCCATTTTAGTTTTTCTAAGTTCATCATCATTTTAAAAGAATTCATTCTATGTCATTTGAGGCTAGCAAAATAATCAATAATTTTATATACTCTAATAATTTTGTTCTGATTGAAGTCTTTGCTCATAGTTAAGTTTTAAGCAGGTGATCTTTCTAGTAGTTTATTATTTTTTATTTTTTTATCTGTTTTAATGCGAAAATTATTATTTTAAAGTGGAGGAGCACGTGGCTATGCTACTTATTGAATATCCAATTAATCTTCATTAATTTCCAGTACTCTAAAGTTGCTTCCTCGAAAGTATTGTTATAAAGTAATTCCATTGATTCTTGGAGCTTAACTTGATTCTTGTCTTTGATGACTTTGTGATACTAATCTACGCTTTTCCATTCGTGAGCATTTAGATGTTTCAGGACGCATACCTTATTCTTCCATTTTATTAATTATTAATATTATATAATAAATCAAGACAAGAACACTCAGACAAACAATTAAATATTGTATTGAATTTTGTCTAATTTTAGGTGTAATCAAATAAAATAATTTAAGAGTATTTTATTTTCGAAAGGATCGCAGTTACCAAAAATTAGATTTGAATGTTTTTGCAAAGTAAATTAAAATAATTTAGTTTCAAGGATTACAATGTAAAATAATTGATATCATATGAAGATTCAATGATATCAATTTATATTTGTGTTAATTCTATTATTAATTCTACCATTTAATTTGTTCTGCAATTTTATAATAAGCAAACAGAATTAATAATAATATTATTTTCTTTTTCATATTTAAATTTTAATTGAATTATGTTCTAGTAATTTTAAGGTTTCCTTATACTTTAAATCTATATTTATGCTATAAGTCATAACTTATGTTATTAGAAAGAAGCATTTTACAATCAAATTGATCATAATTTCTAATAATACTATCAAGCGATACCCTAACAGCTGTAATTATATCAATCTCTTTTATGAAAATGTTCAAAACTGCTTCAACAATTATTAATCTTTTCTTAATTAATCTAGTATTTTTAGAAAATTCTATATTTTTAATATATGGCTTAACCAAAATGGACAATTTAAATGCATTAAAATTATTTTAATTTTTATCTATGTTGAGAAATTCCTTTAAATTTAAAATATAATTCATGAATACACAAGTAATTCAGGATAAAACTATTTCTTATCATTAACTTCTTCATTTTAAAATTAGATATCTTTTGTATTATTCAAAAATAACACTTTCTTTGAGGATATGGAATTTAAGAGAATAATTCATAAAATTAAACTTCTTGAGTGTTTGAATGGTTATTATAATAGAATGGGTTTGTATGGTATTAAATAGTAAGGTTGATAAAATTAGATTGGGATAGAATTATACATAAGTACATATATGGGAAATATTATTATTTAGAGCAATAAATAAAAATAAAAAAAGATATTATAGAATGGCAACTCCAGAATCATTAAACCCTGCTCCACTTACTGGCCTTGGAGATCACTCTTACAAAAAGGTTTTGGAAGACGACTATTCAACAGGAAAGTTGAACCTCAAATTTAAGGGAAATACATAGAATTCGGGTACAGCCAACTACAAAGGATGGTTAGACATCAGCAAACAATAATCTAAATAAGAGACTAAGTTCCAATTCCCATATAAGAAGTAAGAATTCATAAAATAATCAAAGCTATTTCTTATAAATCGCCACAAGAGAAGATGGAGCAAAAGTCCACGTTGACTTTGGAGAAGTAGCCAAAGTAGGTGATAAAGGAAAAATTAATCTATTCGCCAATGCCAAGTTTGGTAGCTCCCATTTTGGATAAGCAATAGTTAGACTTGGTGGAGTGACCTAATGGAATTAATTAACTCATCATTTACGTAAATTAGATAACAATAAATTAGGTTTTGAATACAACCCAACATCAACTACTACTGTGAACGCTTTGAGTAGAACTTTCTGGAAGAATAAAGATTGGGTCATTGCTTCTGCCAAAGATTTTCAAGTTTTGAATGGGTTTGGAATAAGAAGATTTGATTTCATTGTTGGACGTCTTTCAAATAATTATGATTTCTTTTTCAGATACTTGACTAAAGAACCAACCAAAGCCAAATAATTAAATTAATTGGCAGATGGAAAAGTCACTTTAGATTTTGTTTTCAGACAGAATAAATAAACCTTTGGATTAGAAGGAGAGTATAACTTGGCTAATTCTTAATTGAATGCCTTGGTTGGAGTTACAACAAAGGTGGAAAAGGTTGATGTCAAAGCAAGAGTCAACTTGACACAATAGAAACTTGGTTTAAGTGGAAAAGGAAAATTAAATGACAGGTATATGAATAATACTATATGTGTAGATTCAATTGGACCTTATCAACTGAAGTACCACTGAATGGAACAATCCCAAGCAAATAAGGATTCTTCCCACTCCCAGTTGGATTCACATTAGATGCATCATTATGATCAATATAAAGTATATGTATAGAAATAAAATTTAATTGTGATTAATAAATGGTAAATATTTCTAATGAATATTTGTTATGTAAAATATAAAATCTAATCAATAATGGTTAGATTTGATATATTTGTTAATTAAATTAACCCACTGTTGAGCAGTAACATTATTTTCTCTTTATTTGAAAATGTATTTCTTTTTATTTCTATCTGCAACAATGAATTTCCCCTTCCCTAATAATTTGCATGAAGTAAATTAGTTTAAGGGTATTACAGTCTAACATATAAAATAACCTTAATACCTTTTTGTTATTTAATTAAGGATTAATATAAATGAAAAGGACTATTCTATCTTAACAAACAATGCTAGCATGTCTGAGAGAGAACTGAGTCATAAATAGAACTCCATGTTCCTTATCTAATTAACCTTATATGATTATTTAAGAAATTCCTTGATTATCATATTTATCACGCAATGCTCGGTTATTTTCAATAAATGTAGTCTGAATTCTACTTATCTTTCTCTTGTGTTGATCAGTAGTGTTTATAAAAGGGATATCTTATAACCACATTTATTTAAAACTAATTCCTCTAAAGAACTCGTGTTGTTTGAGACTTTCATAATTATATTAAGAATCTACTAATGATAAGTAAAGTTACCATCAAATTCTCCTAGAAATCTCTTTAAGGGATCCTTATCAAGCAATATCTTGATTAAATTCAAGGCATCATTGGGTATACTTGAATCTTATGACCATGAGCATTGACTTATATTATTAAATAACTCGAATTCGTTCTCTGAATAGAATGGTGTTTTATTTGTATATAATTGATAATTGAAACATCCCAATGCCCACAAATCAGCCTATGGTCCAATAACATTGTAATCATTTAACTCAGGACATAAGTATTCTGATGTGCCCACAAAACTAGAATCACGGCAATACCTAATTTAGGGTTTCTCAAAATCGTTTAAAGAAGGAGATCTTTACTTTTGATATTTAATCCTAATATCTTCTAATTTATCTCCGATATCAATTTATTATGATCATAAACAAATACTGTTCCAAAATCTATAAGTTTTAAATGATTATCCTTTGTTAATAGAATGTTTTCAGGTTTCACATCTCTGTGCACCAATCCATTCTAATGCAGATATTCAAGAATAAGCAACAATTCTGCTACATAGAACTTGATTATTGAATCATTCAAAATATGCCCTAAAGCATTATCAATGTCACTTACTGTTCATGTATTCTTATAAATTACCATCAGTTAACACTTCAAGGGAGTAAAATAGTTTATCGTGCTCTTCGAATGAATTGAATAACTTAATGATTCCTTAATGTCTCAATTTACTCAGCACTTCCCTCTCTATATATGCATGATGCATCTTTTTCTCCTATATTGTTAACATGATATGCTTACTTTAAGCAAGAAATTCTTGTCCACAATCTTAAGTGCAGATTCGTGTCCAGTGAATTTGTTCTTAGCTAAGAAGACTTCACTGTATGCACCTTTCCCTAAAGGTTTGATTATGTCAAAATCTACCAATTTAAGATCTACAAAAAATATAGTATTTAGTAATTACTTTACACATGGACAGGCATATCTGGATTCATAATAATTATTATTTAACTTATTTACTCATAATTTATAAATATGTAGCATTAATCAGTATTATTAATAGAAAATTCATCATTCAATGAACATCATCTTTTATTCTTGAATAGTCAATATCTAACAAATATAAATCATAGTTCTAAAATTTAATGTAATTATAATAAATCTTATCCTGAATATATCTAAGATTTCTGTAAATATAGGAAACTTCCTAAAATTTACCATTCAATTTTCTACATTATATCATACTTAATTATAACACTAATAAATATATGAAAAACAATTAAATGATTTCATAAAAATACATTTATATATTATATTTTCATATCAATAGGATTGTAATGAAAATCTGATTAAATAGTATTAAACTTGATGCAATGTTATTTTGTTAAAAGATTTTAATAATGAGTTACTTCATTAAAGTTAAAATTAATATTGTCTAATATAGTTATGTGTATTTTTTATAAGATATTCATCCACAATGAGGTGATATCCAAATCGAGATCTTTACAAAAGAATAAAGGAATATATGTCCATTCAAGTTGCAATGTAGCTTGCAGTCTAATTTTGATTTTTAATTGATATATCTTCAGATTCTACACAGAAAAGTCTCTACCTATTGTTATACAATTTTATTTCAAAAAGACTAATTTCCTATAATAGAATAGTATTCAGTTCTTATCCAAATTATATTTTAGGTTTTATTTAGATATGTAATACAAAGTTTATGTAAACAAGAGTGACTGAATGATTTGGAATATTAAGGATTGTTGTTTTATTTAGTTATTATGGAACTGATGAATGAATATAAATGAATATACTGGTGTTAGACAATTTAATTAAATAATTAATTAAAAAATGTCAAACTTGAATAAGCCACCTCTTGTAATTATCCATCCACTTGTATTGATCTCAGTAGTAGATCACTATAATCGTATAATTTCCAAAACGCAACAACCCAGAGTAGTTGGAGCATTGTTGGGTACATAATCCAATTTGAATCTTAGGTGAAAGAAAAGCTGATGGTGTGATTGATATCACCAATAGTTATGCTCTCCCTTTTGAAGAGGATCCAAAGGATTAGAATATTTGGTATTTAGATCACATTTACAATGAAACACTATTTGAATTACATAGAAAGGTATGATTATCTTCTCATAATGCTCTAGATTAATATAAATGAGAAGATAGTGGGCTGGTATTCTACAGGATCAAGATTCAAACCCAATGACATTCAAATCAATCAAATATTTTACAAGTACACATCTACTCCAATATTCGTGATCATCGATGTTCACTAATTTGATCCATTATCACTTCCAACAGAAGCATATACATCAGTTGATGAAATCTCTAAATCAGGAGAGATAGTCTAAAACTTTGTGCATATTCCCTCAACTGTATAAGCATTTGAACCTGAAGAAATCGGAGTTGAATAACTTTTAAGAGAAATCAATAATGTAGACACACAATCACTTTCAGCCAAAGCAGAATAAAAGATCAATGGAGTCAAAGGAATGAATAAGAAAATTGCTCAAATTTAATAATATTTAACTCTCATTTAATAAGGCAAAGTCAAACCTAATTAACTTATTATCAACAACCTTCAAGTAACTACTCATAATAACTCTAGGAAATTCTTAATTACTTACCAAATTTGGGTTCACAAGACGTGGTTCAAGCATTCACTACCAAAAATAATGACAATATGTTGACCATATATTTGGCCTCATTAATGAGAAGCATTATTGCCTATCACAATTTAATCAATAATTAAGCTTAATAAGAGAAAAAAGTAAAGTGATATTTAGTTCATATATATATTCCCATAAAATCAATAAGGTCAACCAAATGTTTCAAAATCCGCATATTTTAAATATAAATGGTTGTCTTCTTTATTTTGATATGTTTCATATAAGGTTCCAACACTTATATCAGCTAGCAATAAAATGAAATACTTACATTTCATCATGAGTAACTGATTATTGCAATACAAGAATATGCTTGTTGAAACATCGATTCCTGCATTTTATTTAACATATTGCATTAATTCAACCAGAGTTTTATTTTTATTTATCGCAAATCTAAAATGTAAATTGACTATTTATACAATTAAAATTGAGACAACTTGTCATTTTATTTTTAAATCTTAGCTTTTCTGTGCCTTTCCAAAACAACTAGGATTCTCTCTTCACCTGTATGCTTTATAACTTTTTCGTATTTTTCCAACCTTTATTCCTTAGTATATACTTTCTTATATTCGAATTCGTTGTCATTAACCATTCCCATTACATTGAGTTTTTTTTAAATCATACTTATAGAATTTTAATTATATAAAAAATATTTTAATTCAAAAGTACAAAATTTGATTTCATTCCATGTTCTTTTTATCTGTTATTCTCATGACATTATTAAATTTCATTGAAATTTCGGCAAATTTATCCTCATCCTCTAATTCTTTTAATTTACTAAATATAGTATAATTTTACTTCAATAAATAACCAGATGAAGAATATTTCAAATTAGATAATTCTCCAAATTATTAGAGAGTAGTCTTCTCAAACTTTGATCTTGAAATGTTTAAATAGGATCTCAATTATTCTTATTCTTCCTTGCTCTTCTTTAGTTTACTTTAAACAAATTAATGTTTCTCAAAATATTTCGTCGAATCTTTTTCCTAATAATAGAGAAATAAGATATTACTTAGCTTTTTCGATTAAATTACATATTCTCTAAATGCTCTTTGAAACTTTGGGATCTCTACTCCTTCTAAGTCTTCTAATCTTCATTCTTTTTAGACTTGAATTTCTCAATTCTTTCTTAAATACTGCTAACTTTCTACATCCACTCAGATACCTTCTCCTATTAACGTTCTTCAGATTCTTGATATCTTTTCTTATGTCTTGAGAATCGTTATTCCAATTGTTTTCTTTTATGAAACTAAAATCTTGATAGTTATTTGTCATGTTCCTCTTATTATTTTTCTGCTTTTTCCATTTTTTATCCAACTCTATTGAATAATTCAAATTCCTTCTCTTCCTAATGTTATTTTATCTTTTAATTTATCTAATTAAGTTTCTATTCAAAAATCTATTATTTCTCAATTTTATTTTTCTCCATCTATTCTGCTGTCATCTATCTGAAATCAAAAGATTGGTCCATCTCTGATTGTCTTTTAAAGAGTTCTTCAACCATACGATTTTCAAAATCATCCCTAACATGACTGATCTTCTCTTCTAATTTACGATTTCTATTCGCAATTTCAGATACCTATTTCGCTCTTTATTTTTATATCAAAATATCCCTAAGATTAATATCTCAATATAACCTAGCTTCTAATTTCTCTTGAAATGATTTAGATTTTCTCAATCCTTCCTCTAATTGATCACTCATATTATTCCTATAGTTCTTCAATTTCTAAGACACTTTACTATTCTCAATGGCTGCCTTCTTTCTTAGTTCTTGAAATATTTTCTTTCTGCTAGCCATAGTCTTCTCCTCTTTCAAATGACTCTCTTAGATTGATAATCTTCTTTCCAACTCTAACCTGATGGCTTCCTTGGCAAAACAATCTTGTATTTTCTGCTCTTTATTTCGTTCTTCCTCTATTTATTGCAATTTTTAATCATATGTTAACGCCTAATTTCGAAATTACTTTTTCTTTTAGACTGGTTCTGGCCACTTACTAAAGTATTATAATGATATTAATTACTATCCTCTAAGTTCATCCTCCTCTCTTTAACGTCTCTGAAGTTCCACCTTAATGCGCTTCCGTTCTGCATATAAATTCTAAAAATCACCTAAGTTTCAATTGGTAGCTTACTAACAAGCTCAACTAGATAATTCTGATACGTCTTCTGGAGATCACTTTCACTATAGGATTGCTTTTGACTGTCAAAGTTGAATCGCATCTCGAATTTATTCCTACTCATTAAAGTGCTATGTGAAACTTTCTTCTAAAGTGATAACGATCTTGCCCCAAACTTTCCATTGCTTTTTAAGTCAACGGAGATTCTGGGCGATACTTCAATTCGTAACCTTGGACAAGGGCAATCAGTTTACGAATTTCTGGAATGTTGTTAAATTTGGGTTCTGTGAAAAACATTTTAGAAGAAATGTTATAAATATAAATATATTTTATTTACTATCAATGTTCTCATGTGATATCGTAACTCTGCCCAACAAGTATCCTCGATATTTAGGATCTAGTGTCAGGTACCTATGAATATTATCTATATGATTAGTCAACCAGATCAGCCAAGCTCTAGTCGTATCAAGAAACCTAATAGTAAGTTTAAACTACTGAGTGTAAAAACACCTATATGATCATTAGTTACACACCATTAAAAAGGATGAGATCAAGAACTTTTACCATCACAGTTCCATCTACAATATTAAAGAGTATAAGGATTTGATCAAATCACCCGTCTTTTTGTATCACTGATTCTAAACTAAGTTTAGCTTTGAAAGCAACACTACTAAACTAACCGACTTATAGACTAGAGTCCTTATTACAGATTTCTAAAGGAAGGTTGCTGCTTATCTCCTCAATAAAAAACTATCCAATAGCAAGAACATGAAAAAGTACTATGCTGAACTCAAGGCAGCCTGCTCATAGAAGGAATACGAATCCTAATAAATCATACTCCACACTCAACCAGAAGATAATCATTCCAAGGCTGAATGTAATACTGTTATCCATAAGTAGAATAAGAAATAGGCATTGAAATTATGCTCATGGATAATAACAAGGTAATTGGGAGATAAGTCATTCCAAATGAACGAATCTAAAATAGACTACTAAAATATATGGAAAAATATCTGAATGATGATCAAATTGATTACGAAACTAAGTATTACATAATTATATTCAAGAATACATTTTATGACTCAATAATACTCAGAAATTGTGAAGAAAATTAAAACTAAAGCATTCAAAATAAAAGTACCTGAAAATTACACTCAATAAATGATTGATGAATATGCTCAAATTAGTGATAAAAAAAAGAGAGAATAGTTTGATCACTAATTTGATTAGTTGGCTGATCAAATTATACAAACTATTCATTAGAGTTCTGAGACTCTTTCATCTTAAAAGGTCTCCTAAACAGATCTACAAAATTTGGATGAAGATATTTAGATCAACATCAAAACCTAAGTATTGACAGAATAATTATAATAATCTGTTGAATATTAGGAAGATCTGGATGAAGAATTAGATAAAAATCACAGGAAATTTAAGAAGATCATCAAATTTGATAATTCCAATAAAAAATCAATAAAAAAACAATCAATTAGAATCTAAAACCAATCAGACACTGATTTAATCTCATCATTTCTTGATCAAAGAAGTTCAAATCCTTAATAGTAAGCACAAGACATGTCAGATCTTTCCCAAGAATTAAAAAGATCCAAAATTAAATACTTAGGACAATAGGACAATAATAAAAAAAAAAACAACTTTGATTATTAGTATACTGATTCTGATAATTTGGTTAACGAATCAAATTAAAAATAAACTAATGATGAGAGATATAAATTTAAAAACATTTCTCGAAATTAACCAGGCTAAGTAGAATAAACAGATTTAATAGAATTCGATCATTCACAAACAAAAACTGATTATTAAAAAGACAATTAAATTCCAAGAAAATTGTCTTAAATTGATAATTCATTAAATCGCTAAAGTGTAAGAAATTATTCTCATTAATAAAATTCTTCCTTAAATATTTATTCCAATTAGAGTTTGGATAAATTTGATAACTCAAAAAGTAACAAGAACCTTATTTAAGATGACATTAGCTAAAAAATTGAATAGTAATTGCAGTAGGTTCAATCAGTAATATAAAGAAAGAAATTTGGAGTGATCGAAAAATTACTGGATGCCCAATCAGTTTTTGATGTGGAGATATGTGTATGTTATATTTAATTTATTAAGAGCTAGCTGACTTCCCTTTGAATAAGTCAACTTCTAATAACGGATTGGAGGATAAATAAATTTTTCAATAATTGTAATTCTTCTAATAAATATAGATTTGCGTGGTAAAAAGAGATCACTTAGATCATTCCTATTCTGAATTAATTGAATCGAAAGTCCATGGATAATGAAAGCATCTTTGAGACTAAATCAGGAAGCAGTGATGATAATTGATGATATTTATTTTATTAAAATTCGTTTTACTTTCACATATTCAAGCCCAAGATGAATGAAGAAAATAACTTTATAAGTCAAAAATAAATGTAAAGTATGTACATTTACTTTCTTCCCCTAACAAACTCCCTTAACTCAATTTCAAAGAAAGAATGAGTAATACACAACAAGACTAGAAGTAAATGATTAGGATAACCATTTAATAAAAAGAGGCTTAATTGGATAATTTGAACAACTCTATACAATTACCATTAATGTTTAATTTAAAATCAGAGTTTTTTGAAAAAACAAGAATTTATTGTACATGACAGGTATAATCGAAAAATTTGCAAAATGCGTTTTCTTTCTCGACCATAATGTCTTAAACAATATGGTTGGGTACTTTTATGAAGGAGAATAATGGAGCGATAAATATTGCAATCAATTTGGTTGATATTGAAGTTAAAATATAATTGTATTCTATTACTATAAACATTTAGAATCATATTGAGTAAGTCAGTTTATTATTCAAATTTAATAGATATCTATCAACTCTCTCTTAATAGATTTTAATTATCAAAATTAACTGAAAATTGGAATAAAATTTTGGAAAATAGAGCATTTCAAAAAATATTAAAATCTATTATTCAAAATCTAATAGAATTATTGAAATTCTAATAGAATTATTATGGTTTATAATGTTGTGTTTAGATGATCAACTAATTGTGTAAATAAGAAATTCAATATAGTCTTCTTATAGATTAAACGAATGAATTTAGAGTCAGATATATTCAACCTTTTGCAATGCTAAGAATAAATGGCGGATGAAGGGTAAATAGTCTATACCAAAGAGTAATAATTGCAAAAAGTGAATGATCTAGTGGCTAATTTAAAATCATAATACAGTGGATTTGTAAATTAAATTGAATTAGAGGACTAGGTATATTTAATTACAATACCGCTGGAAATTCATAATTAAATATGCACATTCCAATTTGAATTACTGCTTGATTTTGAATATAACGAAAGTGTTTGTAGAGTTATTCTATCAGATTCAAGTGGTAGAATTATAGTGAAAGAAAAGGTAATTTTAAATTTAATTTTAATAGTCCATCAGAATCTCTTTAAGTAGGTACATGCTTAGGTTAAATACTGGATTAAGAGTAGGGAGTTTCTTTATCCATCCTCTAGAGGGTTATATTGGTTTAAAATTATCAACAGCACATGAATAGGGACATCTCTTTTATTAAAAAGAATCAAACTATTATGAATTCGTTAATTATCTTGATAGCTTAATCCAAACAGCCCTCTTTTCCATACGCTACCACTTCTTGAGAATAATGATATTAATCAATCGAGTCGACATAAAAAAAATTGAAAGATATGAAGAATACATGTCGACGAATCGATATCCCCAATCAGAAAAAAAGGGTTGGAGGAAATTTCCTTAAGATATCGTCCCTCTTTTGTAAAGACTAAAGAATACAACTAAAGAGTAATTTATTAATCTAAATAAGTAATTTAAATGAGACATTCAATAATGAATAATATTAATAATATGGCCCCATCATTTCTAAATAGATAACAAGTGAAATTAAAATAATAAACTAAATTAAGACCGACTCCCCTAGTGATTTGTAAGTAGAAGATAAACATGTAATAAACTCAGGTGGTTTTAGTATTATTTATGGAAAAGACATTACATATAAATTAGAAAAGAATGAGCAGAAAAACACCATGAAAAGGCATTTTGCAATTAAACTTGATAAAAACCCGGAAACTAAAAAAATTTAAAACGAAATAAAAATACTCCAAGCTTTGTCTCAAGATTTTTAATAGGATGAATAAAAATGTTAGAATTAAAAATAGAATTTTTTCAAATTCACAGGAAAATGTCCTTACATAGCCTAATTCTATTATGTACCTGAAAATAGTGATGTTTTATTAATGGAAAGATATTTCTATTCATCATTAGACCATTTTCAAAGAAGATAAGAAGAATTTCTAAGTATTTCCACAAGGATATATCTGGCTCATAGTATAGCCATGGGTCTCAGATACTGCCATAACTATAATATTATTCATATGGACATCAAACCAGCCAACATTCTCATATCAAAGACATTTTTAGCAAAAATTTCAGATTTTGGTGAGGCGATTTTAATGAAGGGAAACAAAAGAAATTAAAGATCAGGAAGAAGCATGCCATATTGTGCCCCAGAAATGTTGAATCCAAACTATAAGGAAAATTTCACCCAAGCTTATGATATCTTTTCATTTGGAGTTTTATTATTTGAATTGCTGTTTGAAAGACAACCTATTGTAATTAACAACCATTATTTTAGGATTTTAGACATTAAAATATTAAGTTATTGGAAGAAAAATACCAAAGACAAACATACTCAGTAAGGGTAAATTTGGAAGAAGATAAAAAAAAAGGACCTTAACTAATAATGAAATATCTATTGAAACTATGCCTAGCTTGTTTACAACCTGACCCAAAATATCGGCCAAACATTGATAAAATTATATTAATCCTAAAAGACTCTCTATCGTATATGGATAAGATGTATTGATAGATTGAATACTTGATTGAAATATATAAATTTACTTTACTCTTATAGATTAGAAAAATAAAAAATTTAGAAATATATAAAAATTATTATGAATTCTGAAGTTCATAATCAAATAAAAGATAAATTCTCTGAAGTTTTCAAAAGAGGATCTTCTATTAATTAGGCACATCCTTTTGAAGCATTTGCTATTCTATTCTTGCTAGTTGTTTGGCCATTTATGGAAAACCAAAAACAGCAAGAAGTTCATCTGACAATCAGAGTCTTACTTTTATCATCATTGATGGGGATAATGAAGAAATCAAAGAAATAAATTTAAATAAATGGTAATGTAGTGATGTGCTTTGGTATTATCATACAAATATTGAGTGGCATCTTATATATCTATCATAAGTAAAGGTAAATGAGTATCATAATATTACTAAAGCAACGAACATTGTCAAAACTACCTTGTTACAGTTGGTTTCTTGTTGTTTATTTGTAATCGATTTTCTTTAACTAATGTGCGGATCATCTCTTACTCAATTTCGTTACTCTCCTTAATCATTCAGGTACTGTTCCAAAACCAAGTCTTTATCATTCTCAAGTACAGTGCTCTGGCAGTCATAGGAATAGAAGGCTCGATTTGGAAAATGAATTATTGGAATAAAGAATAGAATAAGAAATTGCATGATTTTGGAATTGAATTGGAATTTTTGAAGGGGGAATACATTGAGTAAATTAATAAGATAAACGAGAAGGTAGAGTCTCCGATTTAGGAACAAATCTCTTCTAGGGCTAATGATTTATTAAGGAAACTGAGATTATTAAAATACCAGTAATTATTAATTAAAAGTAATAATGTTCAGAAAGGAATAACACGTAAGCCCAATAAATTAAACACTGATATTCATAAAAATTCATTTTCAGCTAGATAATTGCCAGATCAACATGATGATGATCGTAGTTCAATAGACGAGAGTCTAATTGAAGATGCTGGTAATCAAAATAACAATCACAATGATTCCAATAATAATGGCACTAATAAAAATCCTCCCATATTTATTAGAAAATCTTAAAGAATGATGACCAGTGCAACAGATTAAATTCAATATAGAAATATTGAAAATTCGCATAGTGCATCATTTTAAGAGAAGAATCAAGAAGAAGTTCAAATTACTATTGAGGATATTGATGATTTACTGAATTTACTATCGAGTAAAAAGGACACCATTTGGCTTCCTAAGTTTTTAAGAAGTAATCAATTGATCAATGAACAGGAAGGTTTCACTATAGATGCAAAATAGTAAGAATAGTCATTTATGAATATAGATTTCTACTTTCCCATTTTACATAAAGGTAGCCTTCATTTTAATTTATTGATGTTATAGAGGATTCAGATTCAGAAGATGTTTTTGATGAAATTGATTTTAATACAGATTACTTACAATTTTGGAAATTGTAGGATAATAGTTAAACCAGAGTGTTTATCGAAACATCCATTAATTTATTTAAAAGGTTTAGAATAGCTTAAACATTAAAGATTACAAAATAAGATATTATTGGTGATTTTGCCCTTAAATTGTTTACATAATATCATAACAATTTGTACCATAATTCATTGCACGCATTGGATGTTGCCAATTCAACCGCTTTCTTTTTAAATAATGGACTAAATGCATAATTAGATGAATTTGAATTTGCTTGTTTAATAGTCTCTTCCCTCGCTCATGATTTAGGTCATCCTGGATTAAATAATGGATTTATGACCACCAATAGATGTAAATTAGCACTTTTATGTATGAATATCCTTAAACTAAAATAGACAATGATTAAAGTGTATTGGAAAATTACCATTCATTCCTTCTATTTTAAATTTTACAATAGGAACAGTTTAATTTAATTTAAAATCTTGGGTTGCCAGAGTAGAAGGGATTTAGAAAGTATTGTTTGAATCTAATTTTGGACACGGATCTCACAAAACACTTCTAATTGATGAATAGATTTTAGAACTACTTGGACTTATCAGAATCTCAAGTTACTGATAAATCATTAGTGATGTCTATTTGTATAAAGTGTGCAGGTATTCTTTATTTTGATTCAAGATGTTGGTCATGGGGCAAAATAACTAAAAATGCACAAGTTATGGAGTCGTAGAATAATTGAAGAATTCTTTTTGTAGGGAGACTTGGAAGATTATTTGAAAGTTCCTATATCTCCTATGTGTGATAGAAAACAGAGTGTCGCAAAGTCATAGGAAGGGTTTCTTAAGGCAATTGTATTACCAATGTTTAATGCTTTTGCTAAATTATTATAAAAGTATCTTATGTGATATTATGTATTTAGTGAGAAAGTGAATTCAATATGTTTGTCATAGATCCATTAAAATTTATAATATTGGCAACAGCAGATAAATGATGAAGAATTTATGAAGGAGACTTACGTTGAATCTTAAGGTGTAGAAAACTTAAAGAAATTTTTGAATTAGCCCCTATAACTTAATTTATGAATATAAAAATAATATTAGAATTGATATGGATTCTATTTTAATTTAAGATGACAGAAATAATAAATTTAGAGATTTATAATATTTGTTTGAGTTCAAAATTTATCTTGTAACAGATTGATGAACTCTTCTTCTGAAATCTTGCCATCATTATCTTGATCACATTCAGCTAAGAATTACTTCCAAATATCATCGTCCACTCCCTCCATGATTTATGATAATTCTTCCTTAGAAATGTATTGATCACCATCCTAATATAATATGTATGAATTACAAGATCGAATATTCTGAAGGTTTGTTTGATTTTCTCAATAGTCAACAATTTCTCATATTTTAAACAGGCCATAATAAACTCTGTATAATCAATATATCCAGATAAATTGACATCGATTTCAGTTACAATTTTATTGATTTTTGTCTCCATGTTTTCAATCAATCTATCCTTACTCTGCACTTTCTATTGAAATGCGGCTACTAATTCCTCCTTTGATAGTTTTCCATCATTGTTTTTGTCCATTTATTTGAATAGCTCTTAAATTTGCTCAACTTCCTTTGGCTAAATCATTTGACTAGCCATAAAGGTGAGCAATGCTTATTTGAGTTTGCTCTTGGCACTAAATTCAGTGAGATTTTTTAAGAAATTGTCATCAACCAAATTTTGCTCTTATCCTTATTGCATCCAAGGGTCATCCAAAACTTATTAAGCAGAATATCTCTTTTCGACATCTTAACACAACATATTAGTAATTAGGTTCTTAGCTTCTTTTGATATCTTATTCCATTCAGTAGTATGAAATGGGATTTTGCCTTTCAAGATTCTATCAAAGATTTCAGTTTCATTGCGACCATAGAAGGGAGGATATCCAGCTAAGAGAATGTAGAGAATGACACCACAAGACCACACATCACATTTTTCATTATACTTCTTTTATAAGACTTCAGGTGCAATATAATATGGCTAAAGAATAAGAGTGTAAATTACAGTTCCTAATCGTTTTGACATATTTTAATTTTTATCAAATTTGCGTGATGTACCAAAATCAATGACTTTCAAAGTTGAATATTGATCTTCGGATGCAAAAATGATATTTTCTGGTTTTAGATCTCTGTGTACAATATTGTTTGAATGACAATATGCAACTGCAGAGATCACTTATTTCATGTATCGAGCAGCATCTGCCTCACTGAAGCTTTTGGCCTTCTGAATACGATCGAAGAGTTCGCCTCCTTGTAAATATCTACAATATGGGTTACACAGTTACTCTGTTATTAAATAATAAAACTTTTCGTCTTCAAACAATTCAAAAAGATTAACAATGTGAGGATGATTTAGATTTTTCAATATTGTCATTTCTGAAAAAAGCTTGGCTTATTCTTCTTCAAACAGACAATCCTTCCTGATTGCCTTCATTGCCCTTTGCATCCCAGTTACTCTATGCGTTACAATAGAGACCTATCCATAGGCGCCTAATAAGAATATCTCTAAAATTTCAACCTTCTCCCAACAACTTCCCCACCTAATAAGTACTATAGATAGTCTCTCTTTTCATTTGTATGAATAACGAAGGCTACACTGACAAAGTTGGATATGCTATTCTAAATTTATCTAACTTACAAATTATTTATTTGATAGGCTCCTCGACATTATTAGGCTCCTAATCTGTTTTTTTTCCTGGGTCCTCTGGTCGCTCCTCTATTTACTTCTCTACATGATGTATAAATCCTAAAAATACCTGTCTCAATTGGTTGATTACTACAGCATGTATTCCCCATTTATTATTTAATTTAATATGTACAGGAATCTGTTTATTCAGACCCCTTTGATTTAATCCCCTCCTTCCATGTTTGTACCAAACCATTCCTAAATGAGGAATTTATCTCCTACTAATTCGTATCTCTTTACTTAAGGTTCTCCCACATAGCCACTATTCTATGATCGATGTTCTTCTCAAAACCCACGAAACTCCAATATTTACTGTAGATATTTAAATTTCACACTCCTAGTTAAATCCAACGAACCTGCCCATAGTTCTTACTTCCCAGAATAATCCAATATCATTCAACAAAAGAATTATTTTTTGAACCCTAATCAAAACCTTAAACACAGCAAAAGTCCCCCTGCAGGTCAAGATTTCTCCACTACTCATAAGATAGTCTATCATGATGGATCCATATATTATGGTGAAATTAAGAATTAAATGAGACATGGCAAAGGGACACTCTACAGTTCTGACAATCATTTAATATATATCGGAGAATGGAAAGACGATAAATACCATGGACTGGGAATTTTAAATAAAGGAAATTTAAGATACAAAGGCTACTTCGAAGAGGGTTTGGTTAGTGGAGAAGCTATCGAGGAAAGTAAAACATTCAAATTCTATGGTTTCTTCAAGAAGGGTAAGCGCAATGGTCCAGGGTCTTTGCATAGTAAAAATCAAGTCACACAAGGCTTCTGGAAGGACAACCTTATTTAAGTTATTTGTTGAAATCTATAATAATAGTATTTTTCTACAATTTTTATTTATATAACTTTATGAAACACATTGAATGCCCTATCAAATTGGCTTCAGCTTCGGTACAATTCCCAAGTTCACAATTCTTCAACACAAACAAAGCCAGAAACTAGATATTGTGTAGAATCTATGGCCATTTCATATTTGGATTCACTCAGTAGAGTCCCAAAGATTACTACTAGAAATATAGCATCTAAGTGGAAGGTAAATAAATTCACCTATGAATTGAGGAAGACTCCTAGATAAAATTCAGGAATGGGCTGAATATATGAGGTACCAAAACCTACCCAAAGTGATCCTCAATAAAAAGGATGAGAATGACAATCCCATCATTTAATACTTTTTCCCAGATGATGATAATATTGGATGGATCTACAATGATTAAAATATCCATTTGAATATCCTTAGCACAAACCTCATTTCTGGAGTCTGCATAGATCGTTCAAAAAACCTTGAAAAAAAGAATTACTCCATGTTCCAAGAAAAAACTACCTTCACCTATAAATTCTCAGTACATTTTCAACAATAAACTAGGCCAAACACATTCCTGAAGCTCCACCAAGCCAAACTTTCATGCAGCATCAAATTGAATTCATTTCAAATCGATTCCCACAATTAGAGGGCAATCCTGAAGAAGGATATCGTCGCCATATACTGCAAATTGAAACACTGGCAGGACGCAAATGGTTTGAAAAAATTGGAGATTATTATATTACAGATGTAGATAATTGTTTAGAAGGAAATCCACATTTAATTTAATGAATTATTATAAAAATGACAAAAGACATTAATCACAGCCTTCACTATGGAGCTTAAATTAGCCCTAACCTAAAATTAAATCTATACCAAAGATCAATCACAAACGTCTTGTTTTACCAGTTATCACTCAGAATCCTGGAGTAGGCTATTACTCTCCCAATCTTTAAAGCATTTACTCAAACCCAAAAATTACTCGATTAAGAAGCGTCACTAAAATACCAACTCTCCATGATGTCTCTAATGATAAGATAAATATCCAAAAAAGCCATAAAAAAAACTCTCAGAAATATACAATATTGGAAATGCTTCTCAAAGAGGTAGATGAAGAGGTGGACTAGGATATGAGAGACAATCCTGTATTTATATATATATATCTTATAAGAAATGTGTTAAAACTCCACTCTAGCTTTAACCATTAAACGACAACTTTATCGAATAATTAAAGCACATCAAGGCCAACTTGTAAAAGGTGTTAAGGAAGAAATTATGAATTCATATATATTACTATATTCATATGTCACAGTATTGCTTCACAATAGATATAAATCAAACTTCATAATAGAGTAATGTATTATGTTATATGATTTTTTAATAGATCATTCTCCTTTTTCATCTTTCTTTTACAATTATTACTTCTCCTATTAAAGTTCTTTTCCTTTCTCAATATAATCTTCAAGATCAGAATATGCTTCAATCCAATCAATTAATAAACAAAAGAAGGCTTAGGCAATATCAGGTGTTCTAATATATGATACTTAATTCTAAAATTTATGGTACTCTTTTTTCTATCATTATAATACTGACTGTAATACCAAATAACTATTCATTTAAGACAAGACTTCCTTCTTTAGATCAGTGTCATTCTGTTTATCGATTTTGCAATATTCTTATTGCTTTTTGCGTTAATCGTCATGTTATGCATCGTTTTAATCTAATGACATCAAATCTAGTTTTCCCTCTGTGTTAACCTCCTGAGATTTTAAAGATTGGTAATTTTAGAAGAAATATGCTGTGATAATACTAATTATTGATATGTCCTAATAAGCATTCTTTTTTAGATGTCTACTAAGCCAGCCCATAAAAATGGCAATTACATTAATGACATTTAATTATCCATCAAGTTAATGAAATATGCCCTTAAGATTAGAAAAAGTAAATTCCTCCAATTCATTTGTTAAAGTAAGAGGATCTTTGAAATCCCAAATTGCTTCCTGATCAAGTACCTTTTTATTTAATTCTTCCAATTCCTTCAAAACTTTGTTATAAATGGTAAGATAATTTGTTCCTTAAAATAGGTCATCATTTAAGGATTTAATTGGGTCAATGGGTTATTTCAAATAATGTCTGATGCAATTATTCGAAGAATCTTCCTCTTCATTACTCTACCCTAATTTACCCAAAAACTCAAAGATTTAATCCTCCTTTTCATGCTATTTTTATTCATCCATATTTGTCTATTATTTTCAATTACAATTTACTCTTGGTTTTGTTTTATCACGCTTAATTTCTTCTAAAGGTCTTGGTGTACTATATTACTTAGGCCATTTAGAATCATGTTTAGTTTTGCAATGAGTATAAAATGCAGGATACGAAAGATAGGATTTACAACACTCTAAGCATTTCCATTCTCCATCTTCTTTATCGTTTTATTTTCTCTTTTGCTTTTTCTCACTCATTAATTATAAATATATGTAATTAAATCTTATACCAACGCTACTCAATAACACGAATTTTAATATAAAGATCAAATCCTTTTTATTTAATTTATTATTCATTAAAATAATCAAAAAACAGATTTATTATAAATGTTAACAAATAGGTAGATTATATTATCAACTATTCTCCTTTTCAAATTATAATATATATTATAATATATTTTATATTATAAATAATATTTTTTATCATAACTAATAATTCTTATTTTATTATTTTATAGTATCCACTCCAGCCTTAACATTGTTCAATTTCAGTAATTTGATATTTTCATTTTAATGATTCAAAATATTTTGCAACACAAGCAAACTTTAAACCTTGTTGTTTTTTGTTAAAATTTAAATAAAAATGTATATAAAATTTAAACTATTCACAACTTTGTTTCAGAGTATACATTATTCATTGAATTTATGGTTTATGACTCTTGAAATAAGAGAATCTAATAAGATTATGTTTTTTATTTTATCATTTACAAAATTCGAAAAGATAGAAAAAAAAAGATAGAAATTGATATTTGGTATATAGAGATTGATTTTTGATAATCATTATTAAAAATAATAAACACATGGTTAAATAGACAAAGCGCCAATAAGACAGTCAGTCATAAAGCCCATACTTTAATAATTACAATATAGATAGACATAGATATAAAATTTTTGAACCACATCAAATTAGAACAAACTTAGAATTATTGGGCCATCTTTATGGTTATTCAAAAGTATTCCACAAGGAAAAATTTGGCTTCTTGATTTCATAAATCATTAAAAATAGTAAATCAGATGAAGAATTATCAAGAGGCCGCAATAGTCTAAGGAATATTGTAAATAAGAAGATGAAAAATAATCAAAATTGTATACCTAAGGATTTGTATTTTAATAAATAGGATTTTAAAGAATTTTTGAAAGATATCAATAACAAATAACTTATTTCTGATGCCATAGATTCGGTTCAGAACAGCATAGGTCAATACACTATAAAGGAAGATAATATAGATAGCTCGAATTTAATCCAAAATTTGCTCCAACGATTCTAAGATGTATTAATGTAAGGCCTCTTGAAATGTAAAAACGAAGACTTAAAACAAATCAGAGAAGAGATCTTAATATTGTATGGGAATCTTGAAGGTACCACAAAAAAACTAATAAACTATACTCGTAAGGAAAAATCAAATCTTAATGGAGGTATAGAATTGGAAGAATACTAATTTCATTTGACAGAAGCTGAAGAGTAAGAAGACTAAGGGTAGTAAATGAGTCATTAATAAGATGAATAAAAATAAATGTAAACTTAACAAGTTGATAATATGATTAATAATACTTTAAAGTTAGATTAAACTGATAATATGATAATTGTTGGAACTGGTATAGTTTTATCTGGCAATGAAAATATTCAAGGGTTGGATTAGACTTATAATGAGATAAATTTTGGAACTGGTATTGTTTTATCTGGTAATGAAAATATTAAAGGGTTGGATTAGACTGATAATATGATAATTGTTGGAACTGGTATTGTTTTATCTGGTAATGAAAATATTATAGGGTTGGATTAGACTGATAATGAGATAAATGTTAGAACTGGTATAGCTTTATCAAGTAATGAAAATATTATAGGACTGAATTAGACTGATAATGAGATAAATTTTAGAACTGGTATAGGTTTATCTAGTAATGAAAATATTATAGGGATGGATTAGACTGATAATGAGATAAATTTTGGAACTGGTGTAATTTACTATGATGCTGAGTAGACTTAAACGTTTTAGTATACTTAAGAGATGAGAAATGATGGAACTCAGATTTTTTTATATGATTGTGACAATACTGGTCCATATTATTATATCAATGAGATACAAATGTTTTGAAAAATGATATTTATAAAATCAATATTCAATATTTTGATCTATATAATTTAGAATATGAAAAAATCATATTATTATTAACTTTTTGAATTCTTCTCTCAATAACTTTTTAAATTTTTCAACTAACATTTAAATAGATGATTTATATATAATCAAATTATAGCATACAATAAAAGTGAAGTTCTATTGGAATCTTGAGAAAAAGAGAAATCTATTTAACTTATATTTATTGGTTTATAATTATATATTTATTAAAATAATTTAATGAGTAATAATTTGAACACTTCCGAAATATATAATAATGCTGCTGCTCTCTAGATGCTTTTGCATGCTTTATGCAAGTCAGTATCCCATACAGATGAAGAATTCAATCTGAAATACGACGTTTATGAGGCAAATCAAATTTTTTATTTTAGAGATTGATGAGAACCTATAATAGATGGGGATATGGTGCCTAGATGACTACTTTTGGAGGACTAACATATTATTGTTTGAAGGCAAATGGAGCCAAGAGCAAATTAACCCTAGGTTTTTTGTATATATACTGGATAAATCATTTCTTCACTTTCGGCAGTTTTATTGGAGTGACCTTCTCTTTACCTTGGGCTATGAGACATCTGCAACAAGCAGATTAGAAATCCAATCTATATTAATAATTAGCACAAATTTAAAATCTAATAAGAAATCGTAAAGATGAATCAGATAGTGAATTAAACAACATGTTTTATGCATTAAGAGTAATCAACAATGAAGTAAATTTATATTAATACAATATTCCTATAGAAAGTTTAAGATCAGAAGAGAACTTAATTAGTGGAAAATGATTTTTTCGATAAACATCCAGAATATGTACCATAGGTAATGTAAGAAAATCTTCGACTTCCTTATTTGGATTATTTCTTGGTGCGATTTGCTTATTTTACATTTACAAGATGGATTACAAGAGTCGGACAATTTGCAGGATTTATACAATGATAATTTTATTGTATATAACATTAATACTCACAATAAATGCTAAAAAGAAGTTCGATCCTGTCTCTGTGAGACCTAGAACTTTCGATAAACATATCTATTGCATGGGGTGCTAAGCTATTATTAGGGAGACTCTGAAAGAGATAAAGTAAAGCAAAAGTGAAATTTTGATTGAGGATGCATTGAGTGCAGTTTGTGAGAAGGAATTCATAGGATATGCATATATCAGCAGAACAGTTCAATCTGGATGCAATGTATTTATCGGTGGTTGGAGAGACTAATTGACTGAATATCTCATGAAGAGAGAATCAAATGAAACAATCGAGGATGAATTTTGCGTATAACATACCAAGGCTTGTTATGAAATTAATCCTTTAGAAATATAAGAGTATAGAAAGAAAATGCATAAAGAAAAGAAACCAGTTTATATGGACGGGTAGTATTTTATGCCAGATGAGAATGGATATGTGGATAAAGCAAGGGATTTGGTTGAGTTGTGATTATATAGTAAAAAAGGGTTTATTTGAATTATGTACATTGTTTTCAAGTTTATTAATATTAATAAATGTCTACGAAGTCTTTGGAGGAGGAAATCAAATCTCTAGAATCAAAGGTACTTTTTGAAACTAAGCAAAGATTGGTAGGATGTAGGAAGATATAGAGGGATTGGATAAATATTATGCAGATAAAAGTCATCAGCTTTTTCATTTGAATACTCAAATTGAAGGGCTTTCTAAATCTCTGAAATAACGAAAGGAATTAGGCACAGATAAAATTAAAGAACAATTAGAACAAGAACAAGTTGTTTTGAAGAAGAGTTAAGAATAAACTGATGTCAAACTAAGAAAAACATTTTAGAATTTCTTTACCCAACAGAAAACGAGAATGTATTTATTAGCGAACAAATCAAACTAAAAAATGGATGTTAATTCTGTAGCTGTCTTTTTATTAGAGAATCCTCATAAGTTTGTGTTAACCAGATGGAATGAGGATGAAACCTAAGATTTTAACGATGGATTTGCAGTCACCTATAGATGTGTTACATTCCTAATTAAGAAAACAACAACACTCTAATAGATCTTCGAGTGGAGTGTCTAATATTGGGAACTATCCAGAAGTGAGTACACAATGGTCGATAAGAATTGCAATTGCATGGATCTATTGATGAATTATTCAGCTGAAAACTTCTTCTCTGCTCATAAAGAATAAGTCCAATTTGCATGTCTTTATGTATATCGTAAATAATTGGCTACTAACTTTTTACTGGATGAGTAAAAGATCAATATCTCACTTCCAAATAGGAATCAATAAGCAAGTTAGGATGATGAAAACATAAAATAGATTAGAAAAGAACTGGATGAATTTGTAGATGTTTAACCTGGTTTGAAACTTTATGAAAACCAAAATTAAGAAGAAAACAAAGAAAGCACTGATATCAGTATAGGCTGGAAAATATTTCTATTGATCTTATCAGCCACTCTTCTTATCTTAATCTATATAAATTCTAAAAATATCATGGATTATGAAACTACTTCTTAAGTTAGATTAACCTTGCATAATTATCTACTTGAAGTTAAATATGGGCTAAATACTGTTTCCACTATAGATGATCTGTACAAAAAAATCAATTTGATTACTATTGTAGACAAGTTTAATGTGACTCAATCGGATGGATCTGTTTAAGAAGAAATCAAAATTCAATTCTAATTCATCCAAATGGGACCTAAGTTTAAGGTGTTTCAGGTTTAGAGTAGTAATTATACGTGTAATGAAATCGAACTAGCATCAGGATATAATGAATGTTATTATTCAATATATAGTGATACGAATGCCTTAAAAAGTTAAATTACAGCTTCTGATGGGAATACTTATCCTTGGGGTGAATACAAAACAGAATCTGATTCTGGTGTATTTCCTTTTAGTGGCATACTCTCAAATTATGATGGAGGTGGTTTTGATGAATCTTATGACTCTTATGAGTATGTTGATGACAAAGTTTAAACACACAAATCTTAGGGTATGTTCAATATCTATACCACTAAAATGGTACTCTTCAATATCGTAATTTATGATGACAGCAGAGAATAATTCTATGTCATTTACTATTTTTTCGAGATTGCTCCTAGCTATGAAATTGTTCAATAATTGCATATTTAAAGTTTCAGATGTTTGAAACCAGATGAATCAGCCAATTTCTGGCTTACTGAATATATAATGTTAACCATATCTGGAATTTTAAATTCTATTATGATATTTGTTGCTGTGAAAGAAACTCTTAATCAAATTCAAAAAAAATATTAAAACTTCTAGCTGAGAAGAGATTTCACTGCCTTCATATAGGTGGGCATTATGTATCAATTGACAATATTCATTTTGTAATTGGTAAGTTTCTTAATGTTTTCATCAATTCCTTCTGATTCATTGGATATTCTATAACATTCTGCTGAATCCTCTATCATGTATTACGCAAATCAATTTAATAATGGATTAATTATTAGAGGAGTTCTTATCATTTTAGTAGGTTTCAACACTCTTAAATTATTTTAAATTTCAGAATCAGTTGCATTTGTTTAAGCAATGGCTGCCAAAGGAGCTGAAAACATCATTATGATTAGTACATCAACATTTTATTTTAATTAGTTATCTTTGCAATTACCATCTTAGCTTCCTATGCATTCATCTTCTATTAGCTATTCTCCTAAAGATTTGACGAGTTTACAACTTACTATAGATCATTTATATCTACTTGTGGGATGTTCTTCCTTGGAAATTATAAAATTTGGTTTAAAATAGTAGATTACGAAGTTTAAACAATGATAATTATAACATCGCTAGTCTTTGTTACTTACACTTACGGAGCAACTGTTTTAGTCAATGCAGTCCTGTAAGAAGTTTATAGAACCATCAGGTAATTAAAGAGAATATTTTTAGTTATCGTACTGATCATTTACAAACAATTAAGGAATTTTATGCTAAGATTGATGAAATAAAGAATAAGATCCATTTGGCCATTTCATAATTGATTGATAAACTAAGAAAGAAAAATTAATGAATTTAGTTATATAAATTTAATGAAATCATAATGCTACTTACATGGTTACCCTCTAGAATGTTAGAACTAGTTGCAAGATCTATTCAATAAGATACGTGAAGGAGAAGAGTTTATAACACTCGAGAGAATCTTTAAGTTATTGCGAGTATTAGCACCTTCAATATATTATATATTAGACATGGCAATATGATGTTCCATTCTCCAATCTATGTAAATTGCTTAGGAAGGCTAATTAAGCGTGTCATCAGGATGCTAAGAATCATTTAAATGAGTAGGCATTCCATCAATTACTTCATAACCCAGACATACAGATGACTTACAAACCAAAGAAGGATGAAACTGTAAATACTCCTCCAACACTAGATGGATTGTTTAAAAGAATAGGAGAATAGATCGAGAGGAAAAGATTGTAGGAGAAAATGAATGACGAGAACATCACCAATAAGGAGAAGTTTAATTTTATGTTGCAATTGCTGCAAGTAGGTTCCCCTAGAAATGATAGAGAAAGTTCCGTTGTAATTGAAAAGGTGAAGAGCGTTAGGAAGTTTAAAGATGAGGAATTCAAACTATTGATTAAGCCCAAGAAACCAAAGAGAAAGGGGGAGAGTATGTAGGAACCTCCTTAGATAATTGCAGAGCCCAAGTTTACCAAACTACCGAATGCTACTTTACATTTTCCAACTAGTAGAATTAGGAAATTACATGATCACATGATGTAGTAGATGGATGAAATTAGGATGGATCCAAATGTGCAGAAATTGAGCAATATAATTCATAAATCATAGGGGAACCTGTCAATCAGGTTACCATAAATTTAATATATATGAAACCACAACGATATTAAATGGATTTTAATCTCTCAAAGTCATATTTGCCATAGAAAATACAAGCCAATCGTGATTCATCAGCCAAAAAGCTCAGCAACTCAGAAGTTAATGCAGCTATGCAAAAATACTTCTAATTGCTCAAAAAGAAAGAGGGAAAAGTTTAGCATCCAATAATCACTCCAACTCAATCCTCCAAGATCTTAAGCTAACTGGTGACAAAAGTATCCCCTTAACTGGATATTCATTTGCCTGTAAAGCCCCCAACTCCAACTGGAACATAATCATATCGACCATCGACTGAAAAGAAACCACATCATCGTCCTCAGCAATCTGTTGGTTAAAACAAGGATCTTATCCTGAAGAAACTGCAGAGTGCTTTGTTTCAAAAGCCAAAAACACAATCACAACAGGTTACTCCTAAAAGTGCTGGGAAGGGCAGTCTAAGTGTTAATAAATATTTTGAGAGCACCAAGAAATTAGGTACGGATCAACAACAATATTACATAACCAAAGTGAAGAATGCATTTAGCAAATCTATTCATGATGACTACTTTAGTAGAATGTACAGAGAGCATTTTCTTTAAACCTATTAAGGAATATATGTTGCCTCGTATTTATAGCCAGCCGATCCAAAAGATCTTAAAAACAAATAAGTACGTCTGAAACAAAAGGACATTTACAAAAGTATCAATCTAATTGTTCATATTTATAGATAAAATTAGCATCGTTTTTGATCTTGATGAGACTCTGGTTCATTGCAATGAGAGTCTAGCCATTCCCAGTGATGTGATCCTTACTATTCAGGTTTCTCCTCAAGAAACGATCAAAGCTGGAATCAACATCAGGCCTGGAGCAGTTAAATTGCTAGAATTATTGGTCAATGATTTTGAATTGATAGTTTTCACCGCTTCGCATCCTTGCTACGCTTAAAAGGTGATTGAGTATCTGGATCCCAATAAGACCCTCATCTCCCATAGTTTGTATCGCGATAATTGCATAATGACCACTGGAGGCATGTACACGAAGGATCTGAGAATCTTTGATCGGCCATTGAGTCAATTGGTGTTAGTTGACAATGCTTCCTATTCTTATGCATGGCAATTGGACAACGGGATTCCCATCATCCCATTCTACGACAACAAGGAGGACAAAGAATTGGAATCATTACTGAAGTACCTAAGAGGTATGCAGGGTTGCAAGGATGTCCGAGATTACAACAAGTTTATTATAGATTTTAATAATGTAGAGAAAACCTTAAATTGTACAACTTCTAGGATCCATCCGGGCCTGGGGCGGTGTTTGAGAAATTGTTTCAATAGAAGATGGAAATCTAATGATATTTTTATTAAAATGAATAACACTTTACTCCCAAATTTAGATGATAAGCCTTATTACCATATCTACGAGCCTTCGCTGAAAGAGACACTCAATGCCAGTAGAGTTATTTACATTATTGTGTTAGTCCATGTGGAATCACAAACCGAGTCTCTCTCTCCAAGTGATGAGAAATCTATTTACATTCAAAATCTTATCATGAGGATGTTCCCTGAAATCCAGTTACGATAACACAGTATCCTGATCTGCCAACATTTGTATACCAAAACATACACGATCTTCTTCATGAATTCAAAATAAGTACCATATAGCTATTGTTGCAATCGTCCACTCTAAGTTCGTTGTTATCCGATCGGCTTTGGTTTGGTATTGTGTTCAGGAGAGAAATGTCCCAAACCTGAATTGAAGGCGTTTAAATTCAGTGACAATACTCCGAGATTGGAGGAGAAATTGAACAACAAATTGTCCAAACTTATTTCCATGGGGAAACACAAACATGTCAATCTGATCTAACAGAAACAGCGTTTCGGGTTGGAAGAGTTCAAGAAACATGTAACTGAGGCTCCAGAAACAGTTATTGTGAAACCTCGTTCACAATCATATTATAAGGGAAGTTCAAATTTCTTGAAACGACCCTATAAATTATAAAAATGGATCCATAATTGAGTCACTACACATAATTCTTCATCGTTGTCACCAATCTTTGTAAGACCAACCAAATCACATCTGAACAGAAGACTCTCCTCAAAACTAGTCTCACACACAAAGAGGACAAAATATGTCGTGTTCTCATTCAAAATAGTGGTCCTGGAAAGTATGCGTGAACCTTCACATTAATTAGGGAAATGCAATTACGATAGGCAATACTGGAATATTTGGATGAATAAAATAAGGCATTACAACGACGACGATAACATAAATCCAAGACTGTGCATTTTATGAAGGATGTTACAGACGAAGCCAAACAACAGAATACGACGAACCATATGGAATAATCAATCCCACAGCCCTTGGTTGGAGTTGGTGCAATGATTGATAAACTTACAGAATTGTTGAATAGACATAGTGACAAGCATAATCAACTTGTGCCAGAAGATAAGGATAAGTTATTGCAATTATGCAATTTGATACTACAACTTACAGCTGAATAAGATGATCCCAATGGCTAGCATGCATTAAATATACGCGACAATAATAAATTGACAGAAATAAGTGAGAAGGATGCTGATTCTTGCGAAGAAGATGTGTATGACAAAATGAAAAGACAGATCAATGACATCTATAAGGAATTAAAGAATATATTTACTGGCAACTTGCATACCCATCTACTCCTCATGCAAGAAGACATTTCATATGAAAATTTGTATTAAGTGCTCAAATTCCTTCTTAAGATTCTTGTCGATGCTGATGAGTTTACTTTTTTCATTCATCGAGACAAGGATTGGGAAGTATACACTTCAGCCAATGATTCAATCAAAGATATCACTACTGAAGAAGCCTAAAAAGTAACCGATGAATTGACATACATCAGACCATGTTATATCCACAGAGTCGATCAAAAATAGAATCAATACCCTCAAATCCAAGAGACTTGCAAATCTAACACTTATGCACAAACATCCCTCGTTAAATTCTAATTGCACATTAAGAATTATGAAGTGCTCTTCTGTTTCCATTGGACAGACAAGGACAAGAAGAACATCAAACGAAATTTCATCAAGTAATCATCATCATCATACTTTAGTTATGCAAACATCCATGGATTTAATACAGATGTCACTCATTTGGCATAGTTCTTGGTTGAAACTATCATAACTGCTAAAGTATAATTTTTCAATCCCTTGCGCTTCGCTGATCAAGTACAAGACATAGGAATTACCTTTATGAGGGTTTCAAGATTTTTATTGATAGAAGGCATTAAAAAGGTTTTGAGTCAAAAATATGATGTCGAAAAAGCATAATAGAATTAACCTGAAGGTGTTGTGAAGAAAGACAAAGATCTGCCTTCATTAAAAATAGAACTAAAAGATTCAAATCAACTTACCTTAAGAATCAATAACATGGATCTGAAAAATGAACAAGATCAAAATCTGTACTCACTTGTAAATATTATTTGCCATATCCTTTAGATAATCCAAGTGTTAGAGAGGTATGATGGATACGTGAAGTTATGTTATGAAAAGTCAGCATTTTACAAGTATTTCCTCAGAACCACTGACTCCCTATTGTTTGACTTTAATAAGCAAGGAGAATTAATATTCCTAAGTCGACCGATTTCCAAGTCTTTGAAGTAATAGATATATCAAATAACAATAGACAAAAGCACAATATCAACTTTGATCCAAAAGCAATTCTATACAATAAAATTACGTATCAGGATATTTTCGCTTAAAACAGTATTATCTCCAATATTGAGGTGAATATTTAGAATATTCATGAAAATAGGCAAAATCAATATTTGAGCAATCTCGAAATCCCTCAATTTGAAATATTTCTTAAAGTGATTGATAATGACTTCAAAGGATTCACAGTTATATTCCACGAAAATGAGGCCAGAAGACTTAAACATTACTTTATGACTCTGAAAATGGACAGCATGACTAATGATGTGTAGAAGGAAGCTGAAGTCAATAAATCATTTGAGGAGGATATCCAAAGACAAATATTAATACAATACAACAAACACCAAACCTTTAAGTTTCTAAATTAGTTAGACGAAACACAAGATGTAGCGAATTCGATGATTGCTCTATTCATTCCTGAAAATGAGTTGCAATAAATTAGACATCGTAAACCTGATGTAAAGGGTACTGAATCGTAAACTAAAGATATGCTAATTGGCTAATGGGTTATTCCTCCATAAAAAAAGAAGAAGATTAGTTCAAGTGTGTATATCAAATATCAGCAACAATTAGAGTAAGTTGATGTAAATTAATTTAAAATCCTTGAGAGAGATTCTCAATTGGATTTGTTTGAATTCAATATTTTGGCTTTGGATTCCTCACAAGAAAAGCATAGATTAGTCTACAGTATTCTGGAGAAGAACGGATTCATAGCCTAATATCAAATGAATAATTTGTGTCTAGCTTAGTTTCTAAGTGTTCTCTAAAAGAAGTACAATAAGAAAAATAATTCATTTCACAATTATGATCATGGTATATCTGTTATGTAGAGTGCTCATTTCATGTTATAATGCGGAAAGGCCAAATAATTTATTGATGATTTCAGAAGGATGGCCACCATTATCTCTGGTCTGTGTCATGATGTTTCACACACTGGCAGAACCAATATGTTCATGATCAACAGCTAGTCTAAATTGGCCACCAGATACCATGATGCTAGTGTAAGAATCGAACTATTCTTTAGCCTCTTGAACAACATCATGCAGCCACCACAATATTCATGTTGAAAGATTAATCACTCAATTTCTTAAGCAACCTAACCAAAGAATAGCATCAACAATTCAGACGCATTCTCATCGACAACATTCTATACACAGATATCAAGGTCCATTTTACTCTCTTGAAAGATTTTGAAAGCAGAATCAAGGAAGATGTGGCAAAGCCATTTGGAACTGGAGATGATGATCTTAAACTATTAACTGGTATGATTATTCATACCGCTGATTTCAATGGAGGAGCAAAAGTTTTTGAAATCTCAAGAATTTGGTCTGAAAGAGTGAACAAAGAATTTAGTGCTCAATATGAAGAAGAGGGCAGATTGGGCATTCCATAAACACCTTTCTTAAAAGATTTGGATAAAATATACATCATGGCCAAATCTGAAATGGGATTCTTTAAAGTTATAGTACGACCTTTGTGGTTTACTCTAAATGCCTTTTTTGTAAATTATTAATATTATTCTAATAGGATGGTCATTTGCACCAGAGTATAACCAATCTTGATAATACTATAATTAGTTGGGAAAAGATCTATCACGCCAATCTACCAAAAGAAGAAAGACTATAATAATCATGAATATTATCATTGTTTATTTGTTAAGCATTCTATCATTAAATAATTATAAAGATTATGTCCATAAATTATTAAAATTATTAGAATTATTAAATTTATGTGTTGAATAATTTCTTAATTTATAAGTACTAATGATATCAAATGGATACTTCTGTATTTTAATTAGATGTATTTCAGATAGATATCTAGTAATCATCGTTTTAGTAATTTTCAATATATATATCTATGATTATATTACTACTAAATAAGGGTATTTAATGTATATAGTTAAAGTTCAGTTTTCGATATATTGAAATACTTTTCAATAAAATAAACTTTATTAGATAATCTTAATTTGTAAAATACATAATGCGAAGGACAAAGGTTTTTTTAATTTGAATCATAATGAAAATTTATTTAAGGAATGAAAACTTTGATTTTTACTCATAATATTTTATTTCAAATAATATTTCAATTAAGTTTCTGTTTTGGAACAAAGTACATAGGTAAATGGTTCTAATTTTGTCTGATAAATTCGATTGTACCTTCCTAAAGAATAATGATATATGACTTACTTGTATATTTTCTACAATATCTCTAGTGATGAGTTTTTTAATTTCTTCAAAGAAATTATCATCCATGTAACGACCATCTCTTGCATACTCTTAGGATTTCTCAAGGACTTGATCAATAAGTTCATTTTTTAGCATTTCACTTTTAGTAATGTGTCTAAATTCACTAAACCATTCATGATATAGAGCTATGGCCCAATTTTCAGATAGAAATTCTGAAACATTGTTTATGAGTTTGCCTCTTTAATCCAATTTGTTCAAATATCGTACTGACAATTCAATGAAGTGAATCAAACTTGGAATGTGAACAGCCTCAGAACCGAAGTAAGTGAGACTCTCAATAAGTCCATTGGGATCAACATCAAATTATAAGAAATGGCCTTGAGAATCTTTGAAGTTATCAGACACTATGGGTTTAGAAGGTTATTATTGTAATTGTCTTGGTTTTGAAAAGTCATTCTTTTTAATATAATAGTAATAAAGTTTGTAAGGAACTATGCCTCCTTGTCCTATAGGCATATACAACTAAGGTAATTCATCAACCGAATAGGTTTGGGATGTTAAATAACCCAAATTTAATTATTCCAGAATGCACTTACTAAGTTTCTACCCAAGTTCCCTACCATTATATTTATCTAATCTTAGACTCTTGCCAACTGAATGGTGCTTGTATCTTTGAGAGAACTCACAAATCTTGCCACAAGCAAAAATATTTTCTTGGGTGGTTTGAAAATTGCTCTTGACAATCAATCTGCCATTGTAGACCAAACCATTTTCATGAATGATATTGAAGATTTCCTTGTCAATATCAATCAAACCACTTGTAATAAAGAATCTTGAATCCAATTGCAAATAATCATATTCACTTGCCTTGAGTTACTCAATTTCTCGAGCAAGTACTTCTAACTAATTCTCACCTTCCTCCTACTCTCCATACATATCTTTGCTCATATTGTTTTCAGAATTGTCTTTTAACTCTTAAAGTTCTTACTCCTTCCTTTGAATCTCAATTTTTAACTCTTCGTAATTGTCTGCCTATTTTCTGAAGATGACTTCCTACAATACATCTTCGCTATTTAATCCAAATCCCTCTTTACCTACCTTCAATTCATACAGAGTGAATCCTTAATGGATTTTTATGCCTAGTTCTAGCATTATGGCAAATACTTTGTTTTTAACTTCCTCATTTTCAAACTAATCGGGATCAAATATCATTTTATCCTCTTATTCAAGTCTTTGTTTATTGTTCTCAAATTTGGTTTATTTTTAAAAGGTTTTGGGTGGCATAACATAATGAATACGGGATGGATGGACACCTCTATTGAGCAATCCATTCATAAAGGTGATAGTAGTCAAGGTGTTGCCATAAATAGTTATGTTTTGTGGTTTTTTCTTTCTGGTTAACAAATCAATGTTACTACCTTTGAATCCAGTTCTTTTGAAATGGGAGTAGAGATATGGATCATCTATGCTATATACTCCATTTATAAATTATGAATTTTTGTAATATGGAGACTTGGATAGACCAAAACTGATCTTTTCTCTTGATTGCAATTCAGTATCAATCAACCCAACAGTGATTATGAGATAATCAAAAGGAATGAATGCATTCTTATCAATTTTAATTCGATTTCCTTTTTTATCCAACTTTACCATTTTAGCATCTACTACTTACACTCGAGCATCCAACATCAAAGCTCTTAATTCTTCCAATGTATAATTTGTACTCATAGCCTTCAACATTTCAAATTCATGTTTAACGTGCATAGTTATCAACCCTCCAGGAGCCAATAAGATAATATTAGTAAAATTGATATCCTTTATCGTAAGCAAGGATTCAATGAAAGACAATCCAGTATCAGATGCTCCAACGACGACTATACGGGAGTTATTAGAGATTTTAACATTTGATAATTACTTTTTTGTAAGCATTGCCAAAGAGAAGGGGGATTGAGTTTAATCATAGGGGTCACGATCATCCAGAATTGTGCCCATACGTTCCTTTTGATCATCATCAAGAGTCCAATCCCATTTCTATTTCAAGAAATGAGGAAATGCACGACTTCTCACAAAATTGAATTCATGGAATATGTCAGGCAAAAGCGTACGATCATGAATCTCTAACATTATACATGTCTTATCCATCAATCTGCAAATTTCTCTTAAAATAAACCTTGTTTACTTAGCAAACAAAGGATTCAATATTCCATGCAATAATCGAGTATGCAAATGTTTGGGATGTTCCTTAATTAGGATATGATCTTGAATACAGAAATGAGATTTCAAATATTGCAGATTGACATACTTCTTCATGCAATACAATCCAATTATTTCATCTTTGCAATAGACAATAAATGTCTCATTGTCATTTATATTTCTGACATCTTTTTCAATGCTATCTTTTCCTAAGAGATTCTCTACTAAAAATGAACATTAGTTCCATTCATTTTGATTGAACTTTCTTAATTCAATCAGATGAGAATCTAAACTGTTCCTATGGAAGATATACAACACATGTTCAAAGGTGGAATGTTTTTTTCTTGATACCTATAGAAAGTGTGATAGCAGAGTAGTTTCTTAGACAGTGTATGGTTATGTTAGGATGAGATACTCACGATCAGGGAAAAGTTCGAAGGCTCTTTCAACAAAATCAAGTGATCTTGATTCAAATCTTTCATCTATGCAAAACAAATTGATAACAACAGCATTTTGAGCTGCCTTAGGGACTTCTGGGAGTTAATCAATAGATTGGATCTAGGAAACATGTTCATCAAATTAAGTTTAATTCCTTTCAACACTCTTAGCTTTTTCGAGGTTATTAATTTTATTTTACTCATCTTATATGATTTCTTCTACTTCATTCTGTAATGTATTTGCTCGCACTAACTGTAATCTGCACATCATTTAATCATATCTTTTTAATTTTTAGATGGCTCCAATGAATTCACTATAAGAAGTCATTTTCTACAAAACATCAACAGGTTTAGGTGCATCATCTCCAACTTTCTTAAGATTGGCATCCTTCTTTTTGGCATCCTTTTCTTCCTTTATTTTTTACACAATCCTATTGTCCACTTCTAATTCACCAAAACATTCTAATATGAATGCCAGATTCTCTCCCATAGGGGCTCCAATGTCAAACCCTTTATTTCTCAAGACATCTGGAAATTCAATTAAATCTATGTGACGACTAGGATCCATTTCTCCGTTTTCAGTACAGAATTCCATGATTAACTCTTTGACTCTTGATTCTATTTATTTTCTGAATTGTGTTCTGGTTTCAGCTGACACTGATGTGAATTTGGTAAAAGCTTATAAGAATGGTCCCAAATCAAAATAGGGAGGTGGTTTGAAGATGTCCTCATCCTTATCTTCCTTCTTCGCCTTTTTGTTAGTTTTCTTCTGCTATCTTTTTGGTCTTTTGAGAGAGAGAGCCTTTTATTCTTCCTCTTTCTTCTTGGCCCAATCTTTCCAATGGCCTTCTCCATTCATGTATCCTTTGGGTAATCCAAAGAATTCAAGGGCTTCCAATAATACCTGGATAGGTTTGATGGTGATGCATTCTAAATCCTTGAATGAATCAGGATATTCAAGAAATAGATCACTGGGTTTGAATACTTGATAATCCTTCAACCACCCATTGATCATATTAGTCACAACCTATTATGTAAGTGTTTTAGCTAAGTCCTCTTACCCATAATCATCAATCTTTTGCTTAATCTCCTAGTCTCTATCAAAACAGTACTATTGTAAATAGAGTCTTTGTCCAATCATATGACATTTCATGGCTTCTTTGGTTAATTCAATGTGCTTCTTGTAAGTAATGATCTGCTTGTTGATTTGTTCCTCAAGTGCCAATTAATCCAATCTATTTCTAATGGCTTCCATATATTCTGACTTGTAGAGATTGTCAAACACTTCTAAATCGAAACACTATCCAAGTAGACGATAACTACTTTAGACTATTCTCTTACTCAATATCACTTGAAATACTCATCAATCCCACTGCCTTGTCTCCAACTTAGCCAACAATTGCCTTTCCATCACTCCTATAATTCCTAGCTTATCTCCTGGTTTGATTCTGAGTTGCAATTAAATCAGCAATAAAAAATTCACCAAACTCTTCAGTATGCACATCTGATTGACGATTAAAGATGGCCGCCAAATCATCGTGATCCTCTTCACGAGCCATACGAATTTCCAACAATTCAGTTACCATAGAGGATGCTGAGTAGTAGATCTCGCAATTCTGATTCACCCCTTGCATGAACTATTAATTTTGGACTTTAAACATACTTTCAACTTGAAATCCTGTCTTTTTGGCAGAATTTCAAACAAATTCTCCAATGCGATATCCAATTCTTATTGAGTGGCTTCAATTGCTTCACTCCTTCTCAAAAAGAAGATCCCATTGACAACATTCAAATAATCATAGACCTTTTGGAAGATTTGTTTGGTGATCTGTAACTGTTGGTCTTCAGTCAATTGGAATCGCTTCTTCGCTAGATCTAGATATAGAAAGCATACCAAGAAAAAAGAAAGTCATCCAAAGACAGTTGAAGGAACTCACATGAAAGCCAATGTCCCATCCATCATGAATCCATTATTCCCACAAATTCTCATGTTTGAAGTCGACTTATCCAGTAACACCTTAAGGACAATCATCAAAGACTGCACTGCCTATAATATTATTCTATGAATCAAGCACTGTCACTGACAAGTAGGATCTCTCAAATAATGTAAGGATCTTAGGATATGCGTAGAGTTATTATAAGTCCTCTTCTCCCTCTTCCTGCATCAACTACATAATCTCGTCGTAATCATCCAAATCTGCCTTCCTAATCTGCAGCTCTTAACCTTATTATTCAGAAAATGACATTAATTAATTTAATAATCATTTGGAGTAACCGTTGCTTACGTTCTCGAATTCAAACAACGTTCGTCCAACCTAAACTTGTACATTCTAAAACTCCTTCAACAACGGCATCGATTACTTCAACTTAAGGAGGGTGCCAAATTTAGAATTGTTGTCTTGAATATAAAACTCTTTATTGTGCTACATGATACAATTTACATTTGTACCAAAGTTAATTTGCAATGAAACCTACTCACACTAATATCGCATAATCGAATATGATTATCATTGGCTCTCCCAATCTTGAATTAGTCAAGTTTTTCCAAATTGAGAATATAGGTCAATCTTTCCTTTGATTTTAACAACGGCTTCTTCATTTCCAATACTGCATAACTCTGGAACTACCTCTTGCTTAATTCCACCAAATCTACTGTTTCACCATTGAGTTGTAATTTTCTTTTGAAATTACTTCGACACAATTCGCATTTCATCAAATCCCACAGAAACACAATTGCATTGCTACTTTCCATGCTGTATTTAGTTACAATCCAATGTTATAGACACTTCAAATGAATCAAAGCCATAGTTCCAGAACAATTACAAGGTTCAATTTTAGGGTCATCCATGCTTTCAGAACTTAAGAGACAAATTCTACAACGCTTATCATCAACACTTTGACTGAGTATCGTTTCCCTTTCATCTAATTTCTTCTCACTCACATCGAAATGAAGTTCCTTCAATTTTATTTCGACCTTCCCCACTCGTATCACATCATTATATTGCAATTTAACACCATTTTCTTGTTATGAAATTGATTTTATAACTAACCAAACATGATGGTCGTCGTTTTTGGCTTGCTAACTCTTAAATACAAATACATACTCTTGGTTCGATCCAAAAACAGTTTTGTCTATTTTCAATTCTGATCAAGGTTTTCCCTTATTGAGCCGATTGAATTTTTCCACTCGTTTTGTCTCTATACAATCTAATAGAAGAATTAATTGTCAGAGATTAAGCTATTCGATTAGTGTTCTCGTAATCAAAAAGATCATGAGAATCTTTGATCCAAGTAACCATCTTGATCTAAAGAGAAGTCTGATTATAAACTGGATTTTAAAGTTGCTGGAATTTAAACATTCAATTTACTTGCAATTACTCAAGAAGAAGAGATTTTCTTTACAAGAGGTCATTGAGTTGAATTGAAGAGAAATTCTTTTCACCAGTTTATTTACAACAATTGCCCATTNGTAGAGTTATTATAAGTCCTCTTCTCCCTCTTCCTGCATCAACTACATAATCTCGTCGTAATCATCCAAATCTGCCTTCCTAATCTGCAGCTCTTAACCTTATTATTCAGAAAATGACATTAATTAATTTAATAATCATTTGGAGTAACCGTTGCTTACGTTCTCGAATTCAAACAACGTTCGTCCAACCTAAACTTGTACATTCTAAAACTCCTTCAACAACGGCATCGATTACTTCAACTTAAGGAGGGTGCCAAATTTAGAATTGTTGTCTTGAATATAAAACTCTTTATTGTGCTACATGATACAATTTACATTTGTACCAAAGTTAATTTGCAATGAAACCTACTCACACTAATATCGCATAATCGAATATGATTATCATTGGCTCTCCCAATCTTGAATTAGTCAAGTTTTTCCAAATTGAGAATATAGGTCAATCTTTCCTTTGATTTTAACAACGGCTTCTTCATTTCCAATACTGCATAACTCTGGAACTACCTCTTGCTTAATTCCACCAAATCTACTGTTTCACCATTGAGTTGTAATTTTCTTTTGAAATTACTTCGACACAATTCGCATTTCATCAAATCCCACAGAAACACAATTGCATTGCTACTTTCCATGCTGTATTTAGTTACAATCCAATGTTATAGACACTTCAAATGAATCAAAGCCATAGTTCCAGAACAATTACAAGGTTCAATTTTAGGGTCATCCATGCTTTCAGAACTTAAGAGACAAATTCTACAACGCTTATCATCAACACTTTGACTGAGTATCGTTTCCCTTTCATCTAATTTCTTCTCACTCACATCGAAATGAAGTTCCTTCAATTTTATTTCGACCTTCCCCACTCGTATCACATCATTATATTGCAATTTAACACCATTTTCTTGTTATGAAATTGATTTTATAACTAACCAAACATGATGGTCGTCGTTTTTGGCTTGCTAACTCTTAAATACAAATACATACTCTTGGTTCGATCCAAAAACAGTTTTGTCTATTTTCAATTCTGATCAAGGTTTTCCCTTATTGAGCCGATTGAATTTTTCCACTCGTTTTGTCTCTATACAATCTAATAGAAGAATTAATTGTCAGAGATTAAGCTATTCGATTAGTGTTCTCGTAATCAAAAAGATCATGAGAATCTTTGATCCAAGTAACCATCTTGATCTAAAGAGAAGTCTGATTATAAACTGGATTTTAAAGTTGCTGGAATTTAAACATTCAATTTACTTGCAATTACTCAAGAAGAAGAGATTTTCTTTACAAGAGGTCATTGAGTTGAATTGAAGAGAAATTCTTTTCACCAGTTTATTTACAACAATTGCCCATTAGTTATTTAAATTAACATGTAATTATATTCAATCTAACTAATTTTTACAAAATTAATATGAGTACAAAGAGGACAACAAACACTCCCCCCCAACTAATTGGAGGTGCTCCATTCTATCTAGGTCCTCATCACCCTCCTTTGCCTGCTGCCAAGACTCTGCATTACCCCTTACCAAATGATCGTCACCTTAAACCAAAGTAATGGAGTCCCTCTTAATTAGATTATTGAATATTCACATCGAATAGAGTGCTCCAATGATAGTTTTCAGCGATTTGGGAGTTGGAATAGAAGACATGGGATGGGGAGGTTGGAAAGCCGAGGAAGGAGAATTGGATCCATGGGACGAAGCTTTGTTAAATGATGATGTGAAGAAACTGGAGGAGTTGGACAAAAAAGCCTCATGATAAGTATGATAAAGTGGATTTTTAATTATATTACTTCATACTGTCCTTTGCAAAACTATTCGTCTCTCTCTAGAATTTAATACAGTTTTGCATTGATTTGCAGAATATTAATAATTTATGAGTATATTATAATATATACTCATCTCTGTGAACTAATAAATATTTCAATATATAATTATAATCATCCGAGATGAATATCTAAGAAACAAAAAATATCCCTGAAGAAGTAGCAAAAGGATTGGGCCAATTAGCTAAAGATCCATTCACTTAGTAACATTTCGACAAACTATCTAAATGTGTGTTCATGAATTTGGCTGGAGAAGAAAACAATACAAAAATATTGGATCAATTGAATTCAGAACCTTTGACCAATGAGCTATTCAATTTAATTTTGCTATTCACAGTTCAATGCATTAAGTTACAATTAATGGAAATTGAAATCTCTACCAATTTATATGATTATGGATTTGATCAGACTATCGTAGATGGATATTTAAAGAAATTTACTTAGTTCAAACAATTCGTCAACGATCCTGACAATGCTATCATAGCAGCCAATTTCGAATCGAAAATCGGCTTCAATTACTTAGTAGATGTCGATTGGCAATAAGAAATAGTGGTGTCTTCCAAATATGCTAATAAAGTGTATTAGGAAATATATAAAATATAATTGCACACTAAATCGACAGACAACAAAGACAAAGATATTGTGTTCAAGTGCACCTTGCCTCAATTAATTGAGATAAACAATCAATTGGGAATGATGGTCAAGAATATAGAATCAAGTTCAGATTTGAAACATCTCAAATGATGTATTTATAATCTTAAATCATTAATTAATGTTAAGCCAACCTTCTAAGTATTGTAGACTCACATCTTCATATTGTTTAATGAAAGGGTGTTCCTAGAATAAATACAAATTCGAATATACCAGCAATTCTGCAGCACTCCTCCTTTTCCTTGGATCCTTTTATAAACAACAGGCTATGAAGTCAGCTCCAATTTAGGAAAAATCAGGAGGTGATGGAGGAGCTGGTCTTGAAACTATGTATTCTTTGATTTCCCAAAACCCAAGTGAGTGAGTTGTATCGTTGGTTCCAGGATGAGGATAAGGAAAAACTCCCCAGGCGCATTCAAGTAAAGAGAGTCCTAAAGACCAGACATCTGTATTAGAAGAGTAGGGCTCGCACAGAAATCTCTCAGGTGACATATAAGTAACTGTACCAACCCAAGTACATCGCTGATCTTGGGTGTTCAATAATTAGCCACTCACACCGAAATCAGAGATTTTAACTTCCCCTTAACTATTTATCAATAAATTGGAAGGCTTGATGTCTCGATGGATGATTTTCTTAGTTCGATGTAAATAGTCCAAACCTTTGAGAAGTTGAAAGGCAATGAGTCCTAACATGCCTTCAGGGATTTTTCCTGACTTCTTAATTACATCCTGCAAAGTGCCTAAATTCATGAACTCTAAAGCAATGGCTACCTAAGCGCCTTCTAAAAATGCTCCATAACATCTGATGATGTTTGAATGATTGCAACTGACCAAAGTTTCCAGTTCCAAATTGATTTATTTGGTGAATTTTTCATCATTCACTATTTGGATTGTCTACTATTTACAATGAATACTTTAAGTGCTACAAGTAAATTAGTGGGTCTATGTAATGCTTTGATCACTCTTCCACTTGTGCCTTGGCCCAAGTCATCAATAGATATTAAATCCTGCAATTGAATTTAATATCTTTCATTTTGAAATTGATGCTATTGTTATAGTTTTTTCTTAGGATCCTCCTTAGGCAAGGGTATGAAAAAACCATCTGCATCTTTCATGTGTTATTGGGCTGGGAATCTCTTTAGGATCAAACAATATATACTAATGGAACAAAGAATTCCTGAGGACTTGATCTGGGGTCGATGATTTTGTTAATTAGATCACCATGAGGTATTTTGATGGTGAGTTCTTCTTCCATATCAGTATCCTTCCAATTGACTTTGGGTAGAGGTTAAGAAATTTTAATTTTTTTGCTCATGAGTCTAAATATTAAATTAAGTAATGGATTGAGTTGATGATAACAAAATCTTTTTAATATTGGAAATATTGATAATTCATTGTTTATAATGAATATTAATGGATGTTCCTTCAATTGAGAACACTTTTCTAAGCTTCTTGGCAGGAGATAATTTAAAAGTGGTTTGGGATGTTTTCGTCATAATTGTACTGGATGCCCTATTGAGTTTCTCGAGGGGAGGTTCTGAAACAATAACACTTTCACATTGTTTCTTCAGCATCATTTCAGCTTATTGTTGCTTTTACTTTTTCCTTCTCTTTTCAGTGAATGTCAGACCTAATTTGAAGAATTCAATTTTGCGTTAAGAAACGACTAAATTCTGTTTTTCCAAGATTTCTTTATGTTTAAGTTTCTTCTCTTCAAAATCCATAGTATCTTGAATATTAGTGACTCTCTTAACACAAGGAGAGAGACGTATCTTCTAATACTTAGGTTTAATCAATAAATCCAGCAATTGCATTTTGATCGATTGAGTCCTCTTGCATTTAGTCTTCTCCTCATGACCTTCAATGAGATTGTTCAATCTGTCCTATCTCCAATTGGCTTTGTGTTCTAAAACTATAAGAGAAATGGCAATACATAATTATTGTCTATACAATTATTTGGATTCAGGATGCCAATCCAACATCCGACTTAACACTTGTCTTCCAATCACAAGTACTTCCGCTCTGGCTGATACGCATTTGGCATTGCATGTGTGATAGTCAGCATCATCACCAAAGAGTGCACCCACATCCAAAGAACTCAGATGATATGTCTGATTATCTCGAGTTGATGTCATCTCAATCTGTCCATCCATTATTAAGAACACTTGAACATTCCTTTAGCCTTCTTAATACAGGAACTCCTCCTGATGATATGTTCTGTTCTTGAATTCATAACTTAAGGCTCTCAACTCTCCGTCGGTCCAAGAATTAAAAATCGATTATTCTTCTAGTATTTTGAGTTTCTACAACACTGGCACTGATCTCCCTATAAACTTCACAAACTATTGCTTATCCATACAGACGAATTAACAAAAGGTCTTACATATGATTGTACATGACACTTGTCCATTATCCAACAATGACATATCCCCGAAATGGTCCCCTGGATTCAGGTCCTTAAAACTGAAAGCACTAAATAAAGAGTCATCCTCATAATTTGGGATCGTTTCCTTTTAATAACCATGACTACCTTACTTTTTCTTAATCCATCATCATCTAGGCTTTGCGACTCTTAGGTTTGTAGCTGACCAATGAAACCTACCCCTGCAAGATCATGTAAAACCGCACTCCTTGCTATCCTTTTCGAATTACTCTCTCCCCCGTCCGACAGTAGATGGTGTACAAGAATTCACAAAATTTATTGTACTTTTCGAATCCTTCCTTTGTGATCATGTCTCTACAGTATTGAAATCGTTGCATCAGTGCACTTACTTGCAAAACCTCCAGTTGCGACCGTTATTTGGATCTCATTTAGGTGAGGGACATTACGACTTCAACAATGCAATTCTTCCAGGTACATTTTTACGAATCACCCAAAGTAAGAATCGCACCGATTAACGAAATTTAGTTGACATTAATATTTATAATAATTATTCAATATTTTACCTAAATAAATAAATTAAACAATATGAATCTGTTTCTACATGTATAAAATCAAGTAATTGAAATTCCCCTCGCATTTGTGATTCTCCCATCGCCTTTATAATCATATCAAACTTGATCAGAAAATTAAGATTTTTTTATTAATTAATAAACTAATTATGCTACGTCTAGCCTTCAAGCAATTATCACGTCAATCTTTCTTATAAAAAAAGAAAATCTATGAACTATTTTTTGAAAGGGGTTTGAAATTCTTTTATCAAAGTATCAAACAAAACTATTTTACCCTAGATCAATATCGACATGCAATTGATTAATTTGAGATTTGCATGTCGGTCTTTGCTGAAGCCAAACAACCCAAACGATGGCAGGACACTAAATTCGAAGATTTGAATTGCAGACATTACCCTGAATAACAATAAATCAAAGGTATGCATTTTTAATTAAGTTTGCTTTTAAGACCTTTGGAAAAAGTTATTCGAACTGATGGGTAAATGTTATTACATATTGCATGAACAGGAAGCGTGCACCAAAATGTGCGATTACTGGCAATAATTAAATCCTCTCTGTCCAGGGGCCTTCATTCTAAGAGCTTAGGTAACCAAATTTGTTTTAACCCATAAGTCTCGATTCTTATCCGAGCAAGTGACCCAAATAGACTGCCAAATGATTTGCAAAGATCTCTAATTTGCTCAGCAATTGGACCCTCTCAATGAAAGCATCACCAAAGTCTACGATATGGTCTAAGCTCAATTATCCAAGTTCGAAGAGGAGGACAGCGACAAAGAACAGTACGTTTAATAAGACACTTCTCAATACAGTGTCCAGGAGGATGAAGATTTGCCTTAGGATTTCATGGCCTAATTTGCATATCAAGATAATGACTAGGAGCTTAGTTATGAATAAGATCCAAAGAAACCTATACCCATGGAAGTCTAAGAGTTAGGCCGATTTATTGAATCCAGAGGAATGGACATGGTTAAGACCTTCCTACAGAATGGCTAGTTGAAAGAAGCAGTAGATTTGAAGGACAAACTACAAAAAGCTTTGATAGCCAAGTAACAACTAGAGAAGATATCTCAATTAGATTTTAATAGACCCAAGAAAGTAAAGTATAAATTGATATAGAAATTACAATTATATGCTCAATAGTTTGGCATAGATTTATTGGATCCACAAGTACAAAACGAGTTTAAGAGAATTTAAGAGTAAAACCTAGAGGACATTCGACAATGGCTGAAATAGAATCAGTGGAGTTACGTTGACAAAGCAACTTAGATATAACAGTAAGAGAAAGCCAGATAAGAATTGGCTAAGTTGTAATTTAAGAGGAAAATGATCCCTTAAAAAGTAATTCAATATAAATTACCTCAATTTAGCATGCTAAACACAAGGTTGTTAAGAAGGCTTAAATTGGACTATCCTAAAACAGTCCTAGTTCACCTTCGAGTAACACAAATATCTCAACTAAAGAGTTTTAATAAAGCAATTCTGCATTGAATAACGAAAGTAATTAATTATGTAAGTTTACATAGCTTAAGTTGAAGCAGAACAAAATTGTGATTTGAATTGCATTATTAACTTCTCTATTTTACTCCTAGCGACAATCACAATAATATCAACAATCTATTATTCATTCTTAGGATGATCAAATAATAATTTAAATTTATAATTTCTTGATATTTCAATAATTAAATTAAAGAAAGTAGTATTTTGAATAATTCATTTACAAATTTTAATAATATTTTTAGTCTCACAAATTGTATTCATAAAGTGGTTTTTATTCAAGTTTAAGACCTTTCCTAAAGAATTTAAGACTTCTTCAACAAGTATTATTATTACACCTACGTTATTAATGATATCAAAGAAGTGCTTAATTCATTGAGATAGAAAAATTCAAGAAAATATATATAGATATGTCTTTTAGTTAAATTATTCATTTTGTTGATTGAAAATACAATATGATAATACTTATAAGTAATAGCAATAATCACTGGTAGTATTCTATGGAAATCTGTAAAGCAAAGCATTTTATATGATAATGATTTTATTGTGAAAGAGAGATAATAGAAGCCAGAATAACAGCGGTGTACTTTTTATTTAAGGGCTTAAATTTACGTAACTGCTTCGAATTGATTCTTTGGTAAATGCATTATTATAAATGTAATTGTAATTTAAAATAATATTCATATTAATTAACTATATTATTATGAATATTTAAAATAATGGAATTTTATGAAATAGTCAAATCTATCGGCTCTGGTTCATTTGGTTAGGTATACTTGGCCAGGAATAAAAGAGAAGATCGTCTTTATGTAATAAAGCGTATCAAAATCAGAGACATGAATCAGAAGGATCGTGAAAATACTGAAAATGAAGTCANTTGAAAGAAGCAGTAGATTTGAAGGACAAACTACAAAAAGCTTTGATAGCCAAGTAACAACTAGAGAAGATATCTCAATTAGATTTTAATAGACCCAAGAAAGTAAAGTATAAATTGATATAGAAATTACAATTATATGCTCAATAGTTTGGCATAGATTTATTGGATCCACAAGTACAAAACGAGTTTAAGAGAATTTAAGAGTAAAACCTAGAGGACATTCGACAATGGCTGAAATAGAATCAGTGGAGTTACGTTGACAAAGCAACTTAGATATAACAGTAAGAGAAAGCCAGATAAGAATTGGCTAAGTTGTAATTTAAGAGGAAAATGATCCCTTAAAAAGTAATTCAATATAAATTACCTCAATTTAGCATGCTAAACACAAGGTTGTTAAGAAGGCTTAAATTGGACTATCCTAAAACAGTCCTAGTTCACCTTCGAGTAACACAAATATCTCAACTAAAGAGTTTTAATAAAGCAATTCTGCATTGAATAACGAAAGTAATTAATTATGTAAGTTTACATAGCTTAAGTTGAAGCAGAACAAAATTGTGATTTGAATTGCATTATTAACTTCTCTATTTTACTCCTAGCGACAATCACAATAATATCAACAATCTATTATTCATTCTTAGGATGATCAAATAATAATTTAAATTTATAATTTCTTGATATTTCAATAATTAAATTAAAGAAAGTAGTATTTTGAATAATTCATTTACAAATTTTAATAATATTTTTAGTCTCACAAATTGTATTCATAAAGTGGTTTTTATTCAAGTTTAAGACCTTTCCTAAAGAATTTAAGACTTCTTCAACAAGTATTATTATTACACCTACGTTATTAATGATATCAAAGAAGTGCTTAATTCATTGAGATAGAAAAATTCAAGAAAATATATATAGATATGTCTTTTAGTTAAATTATTCATTTTGTTGATTGAAAATACAATATGATAATACTTATAAGTAATAGCAATAATCACTGGTAGTATTCTATGGAAATCTGTAAAGCAAAGCATTTTATATGATAATGATTTTATTGTGAAAGAGAGATAATAGAAGCCAGAATAACAGCGGTGTACTTTTTATTTAAGGGCTTAAATTTACGTAACTGCTTCGAATTGATTCTTTGGTAAATGCATTATTATAAATGTAATTGTAATTTAAAATAATATTCATATTAATTAACTATATTATTATGAATATTTAAAATAATGGAATTTTATGAAATAGTCAAATCTATCGGCTCTGGTTCATTTGGTTAGGTATACTTGGCCAGGAATAAAAGAGAAGATCGTCTTTATGTAATAAAGCGTATCAAAATCAGAGACATGAATCAGAAGGATCGTGAAAATACTGAAAATGAAGTCAGGTTATTATAGAAATTGAGACATCCAAACATCGTAGCCTACAAGGATTCATATTTAGATAGAGAACAATACTTAAATATTGTGATGATTCATTGTGAAGGTGGAGATATTTATTAAAAGATTCGAAACAAGAAAAGTTTCCCTGAATCTCAAATTTTGGATTGGTTTGCATAGATGACATTGGCCTTGTGTTATTTACATGAACAGAAAATCTTACATCGAGATTTGAAGACTTAAAATATATTTCTCAAAAATGGCAGAGTTAGATTGGGAGATTTTGGAATTGCAAAAGTGCTTGACTCAACTCGTGATTTGGCCAACACTTGCATAGGAACTCCCTATTATATGAGTCCAGAGTTATTTAAATATAAACCATATTCATATAAAAGTGATGTATGGGCACTTGGATGTTGTCTCTATGAAATGTGCAATCTGAGACACGCCTTCGATGCACAGTCAATGAATGGATTGGCATTGAAAATATTGAAAGGATCCTATTCATCCATCAGTCCAACCTATTCCAAGGCATTGAGAGATCTCATCAATAAGATGCTTAATACTAACCCTAAGGCTCGACCTACCATCTAGGAAATAGTTCATAAGCCAATCATCAAATTAAGGATTATTTATTACATGCTTGAAGTTTTTAGCGGTATTTGTATTATCAATCCCCTTAGAACCATAATCAGCTGATTTAGATGACATGTATGTGGATACATTATATGAATAGGCTGAGTAAATTGGGGTCCTACCTCTGATATAACATTACCAGAAACAAATTGCATAAGGAGCCACCATTGCAGACATTAAAAACGAATTAGAGAAGGGAGGACGAGCTGAATAAAGAATGCTCATTTAAATTTAGGAACAGGAAGCTCTTAAATTAAAACAATTGAAAAAGGAATAAGTTGAGAAGAAGAAATTAGAAGAGGAAATCAAAAGGTTAGAACAAAAGAAATAGCAAAAAGTGCCTATTCAAAATACTAAATAAACCGAAACTAATTCAAATTCTAAAACTACAACAGAAAACATAACCAATAAATCAGAAAACACTTAAAAAACAGATACCTAATAAAGACCAGATTATCTTAGGGTAAATTAGAGAAAAGTGTCTTTGGAAAGAGACAAGAGACCAAATGAGATAAGATAAAAATAAAAAGAAAGAAGTTTATCCCTTGAGAAAGATAGACTTAGAGATGACAGTACTATTAGTGCTAAAGAAAGAGTTATTTAGAAGAAGCAGAGAAGAGACGAAGAAAAAACTATTCAAGAAGAAAAAGAGAGGCAATAAATTTATAAAGAAAGTTACTAAAATAGAAAAATAGCTTAGGAAAGGAAATAGGCATAGTATCGTTAATCGAAAGATAGTTCTTTGAAGGTTCAAGAAGAATATGATGATTCGGAAGATAGTGACGGAGTTATGGCCATTCAGGAAATTGAAAATGAAGAAGAATATGAGGAAGAAGGGGATGTTGAATAAAGGCTTGATTTAATGAAAACAAAACTTAAAGATAAGACTCTGAAAATATAAGAAATTAGTCAGTCCCTTTAATAAAATAGATAAGTATAAAACATGCAGATCAAAGCACTAGAAAGTAATAATATTCTATAATCATAGCTGGACAAGTTATTCCATTAGTTGAAGAAGAATTAGAGAATGAAGATTTAGAAGATGATGAATAAGGAGACTATGATGAAGTGGATCAAGATGAAACAAAACCAATTAATTCAATAGTGGCTAGAATATAGGATAGGATTAAACTATTAAGACATAGATGTGAAGGAGGATTAGGCAATAATCTCGTTGAGAAGTCTTTGCAATTGATGAAAACTAAATGTAAAATTTGAAAGGTATCACTTTAGAACTCTCTACTCAAGACTTAAGGAAACAACTCATATAGTTATTAGGAGAAGAAAACATTGGCTATTGGCAACTCTTTGATTAAATCTTATATATGGAGGAACTTCTCACAAAATATTGATTGAATAATTCATTGCTATTAAATACATACATACAAAGATTAATCAACAATCAGTACTTTCGAGAGAAGTATTCTTTAACTCCAAAGGAAGAGCTGTTCTGTCTATTCATCTCAGTATTGATAGATTTTATTGGAGAATTATATTAGGTTCGATCACTATGCAGGTTCAAGTAACTTTTAAGAATTTGCTTCTGACTTTTTAATATAGCAATGTCAGATTGAATTTAACTTTTTTCATTTTCCACTTTTTGAGCGAATTCTGATGTCTGAATTCTAATCCTACTCAGTTCTTTCTAATATTTATTTGCAATCTCTTTTCTACTTGAATTCTGAGATCTCGTCGGCATCTTTAATTGCCCATGTTTCCTAGAACTTACAGAATTTGGGTATTCATTAATTATGTAATTTCTCTGCTATTCTTAGGATGAAAACTATCTTTTGCCTAACTTATTCAAATTATTTTATTATAATTATAAATTGAGACTGCATATTTCTTCATCCTTTATTTTTAACTCAGAATTTAGATCTTCTATTTACATTTAATATTTGAATTTCATTAAATTCATGGCTTTTTCAAAATTTTTTTGTGCCTTTAATATCTCCTCCTATAAAAACAACTCTTTTTTAATGAATTTTTTTTCAGAATTTCGTACTTTTTATTGAAGTTGAAATAATTAGTAAACTAATTAATTTTGATTTGGAATAGATGAATCATTCTGAAATTAACGATTTATTAATTTTTATTTTAGTAATTCAATTGAATGCTCATTATTATTAAATATCGTTTACTTTTGTTTGGGTCTACATCTAAGAATTTGTGGATTCATTTTCTCTTTTTGTATTGAATTATGAATAAATTAAGTCCTCTGGAGTTTAATATCGAATTTGTTATTATGAATTATATTACATTTTATTAATATAAATTAATTAAAGCTTATTTATATATTTTTTATTAATTATCAATTAAAATAGGATTTATAAACTTATTAAATGTGTTTTGTGAGCATGATATAAGGAATATAGAATTTGTTGATAATAATTATTAAATGCAATAAACAAAAATTTGGCATTACATACATATTATTACATTTATTATATTTAATTTAAATAGTGAGATTTTATATTTTTGAATTTATATTATCATTCTGAAAAATATTATGCCTTAATCCATAGATTTAACAATTTAAAGCTTGAACTATTTAATGATAATCATTATTAATTTAAATGTCAAAAACAATTATGCTTTGCTTCATGCTCTTAAGTGCTTTTCAGGCTCTTTCAACTAAGAATAGATGTGATTGTACATTATTTGGCGGTTAGACTGAATGCGAAAATGTCCCTTATTGTTCTTGGAGTAATAATGCTTGTGGGCTAAAGAATTGCTCAAACATCATTCTTGAAAGATGTGAAACATTCTTTAGATGTTCTATCAATCCAGAAGGAAATTGTGAAACTACTGGAGATTGCTCAAAATACACAGCTACAACTTAAATAGATTGTATGTTTAAGAGAGGAAATTGTGCAGCCGAAGCCACCTAAACTAATGGTGTTTATAAGTGTAAATCATACACTGCAGTAACTTGCGCATCATAAACCGCAGAAAATTGCAAAAATAGTTTTGAAAATGAGAATTCATTTTGCTGGCTCAATTCACAAGGAAAATGTTAGAGTTATGACCCAAACACTTGTGCTGGAATTCCTTTAGAAATTTGTTCCAATCTTGGATGTGATGCTTCGGGTTCTGAATGCAAGGCTTATACTTGTGCATCCAATCTAACTGTGAATACTTGTATTCTTGCAAATGATGGATATTTTGGAGCCAAAACACTTTGCAAGTGGAATACCACAACCTAAAAGTGCGAAGAGAGAGCAGATATAACAGAGTTAACATAAAATTAATGTTCATTATTAACAGATGGTGGATATTATTGGTTGGATAATAAATGTACAGTGTGCCCAACTGAAGACGATACAGATGATACAAGCAATGCCATCTTGTTATCATCATTGCTAATTATCCATCTATTAGTGTAATGAGATATGTATTTTTATGATTTGCCATATTTAAAAATTTATTAATTAATTTGAAGCAATATAGATTGTCTAGTTTGATAAAGATAGACTTTCTTATAAGGTTGAGGGTACATATTAGGATTTAAAATCTAATTAAAAATCAATGAGTATTTAAAAATAATATTCTGGTTTGTTGCCTTATTCATTTGTCACTGATAAATTTAGTATTTTAATCTTTATTAAAAGAGAGCATCTAATCTAAAAAAAATATATTTAAATTAGTTAAATATTTCTAATAATAACCTTACTTAAAATTTTTGGTACTATTAAAGAATAATTAATTAATCTACATGAATTAAAAAATACTAAAAAAATCTTATGAAAGGATTAATTTATCAGTTAAAATTAGAAAATTAAATGAGAGATTGCAGCTTATCAAAATATTCTTTTAATTAGTTCTTTTATTATTAATAATATTTAAATGATAAATATTAATATATGATTAATTTCGTAGTATGAGCATCCCAAATATCTATGCATCTGATGAGAATATAATAATATTGCTTAAAAACTTTAGATTTTACAAGTCCACTATGGCTAAATAAATTTTTTATATTACAAAATTTCAATATAAATTACAGCAATCTCCTTATTTCAATATCAAATATAATTAACCTTCATCTTAATTATTTGATGATTAATATTATAAAATTGCGTTGTTTGATTGAAAAATTGCTTAAAAAAACTGATTTGGAATTTATTAGTTATAGAATTATACATTGCTTTATTATGCGTTCAACTTTCTATCAATTTCAATTATTATAATATGGTGTAAACAATCAATGGATCACAACTTGCTTAAACTGTAACAACAATTGAAGTTGTTTGTCGACCTTTACAAAAGTCTTCAGGTTAATCATAGGTGGAATAAAATGAAAATTCTCTAATTAAAAAAATCAAAGAACTTTTTAGTGAGGCTTTCTTTCACCATTACGCAATAATTTTGAATACAACTGAGAATGAATAAATGATATTGCATTACTTATAGGAAGGTTTCACTAGTTCCTTAATTAACAATGAAGAAAGAAAAGGCTACACAGTAATTGAGAGGTATGATTCATCATAATTCAATAAATTGTTCATAGTATAAGAACTATATAATTTAAGATAATTAAATAGTTAAGATTCATTAGAATATAATCTCCTTAAGAATAGTTGTATTCATTATGTCAATCATGTTAAAGAGTATATAAATAAATATCTCATTGATATAAATTTACATGCAGTTTAGAAAGTAGAATTGCCTAGCTTAATCTCTGCTACAAAAATTTTAATCTAAAAGATTTTTGAGAATATTTTAGCATTTGTTAGAGAAAAGAAACCACTTAAAAGTTTAATGAAATTCACTAGAGAAAACTTTTTAAATCCAAACTTATATTATCATATACTTTATGAAGCTATCTGATGTGGAAAAAATCAAAGTAAGATGTAAATATTAGGTAGTTCGATCATTATTGCATTTATATATCTTATAAATTAGATACCTTGTTTTAACTTAGTTTTATCAATACCAGTAATGATACTATATTTATAATTTATTTGGATCTAAAATGATGAGACCATTTTCAAAAAATGCCTCAAAACATTGACTCTATTTTTTGTAATTTGGTTAGGAATGTTGCCAGAAACTTAAATACTACGATATCTTATTGATTTAGTCTCAGATCTTATTAAAATGTTTTCAATTATAAAAATTAAAACCAAGGAAGTTGTAATTATTGGAGGTTGTACAATTGTGGTATTTATCGGAGGAGCTGCTCTTGCTTCATAGCCATTAGCTATTCCTCTTATCGCTGCATCTTGTAACCAAGTTGCCATTAAATCTTGTGTATTGATAATAACAGGACTATTAAGTCGAGGAGAACCTGCTGCAATATCTAGTGGAGCATTTTTGTTAGAGCTTGGATCAAATTCTGCTAAAGCTGTCGTAAACTGTGTGTCAGATGCAGTAGTTACCACATCAATAAGTGTACAAAGAAAAGCTATATCTAAAATCTGCTCTATGAATGTCGCTCTTGGTATTGGAGTCTTAGTTGCGTTAGCTGCTGGTTTAGAAATATGTAAATGGCTAAGACAGAAGAAATCTGAATGATTTTTTTATCAATTATTGATAACTATTCATTTTTTTAAGATTTTTAAATCTTATTGCTACATTTAAAATAATATGTAAATAAAATCAGAAATACAGAGTTGTTTTTTAATTATAATTGTCTAAATTCTTTTGAATCATTTGGTAAAAATATCAGTATTATTATGATTCAAATTTTTGTAAAGGTTTGATTATCACTCTATCGGAATATATTGAGTGTTTAAATTATTGTAATTTTCAATTTCCTTATGATTTATCATTTAAATACTAATTCAAAATTTATTTTCACCCAAAATTTAGTAATAAAATTATAAATTTTGTAATATTTCAAAATGTTAAGCTACTGTAAATTTAGATTCCTTCTCCATTTTAGATTATCAAATTTTGTAATACTTTTACTATTTAGAAAAAAAATCAATTATTAAAAACTGTTCATTGTCACAAACAGCAAGAAAAAAGCGTATGTAGCAATAGAAATAGTAAGGTTTAATTATAATAATATAATTGAATTCTCAAGATAGAATAATCTTTTACATTTATTATTAACTAAACTTGTTAGAACATGAAACTTGAAGATGGTATATTTATTCAAACATGCAGTATTAAAATTTTTGAATGNTATACTTTATGAAGCTATCTGATGTGGAAAAAATCAAAGTAAGATGTAAATATTAGGTAGTTCGATCATTATTGCATTTATATATCTTATAAATTAGATACCTTGTTTTAACTTAGTTTTATCAATACCAGTAATGATACTATATTTATAATTTATTTGGATCTAAAATGATGAGACCATTTTCAAAAAATGCCTCAAAACATTGACTCTATTTTTTGTAATTTGGTTAGGAATGTTGCCAGAAACTTAAATACTACGATATCTTATTGATTTAGTCTCAGATCTTATTAAAATGTTTTCAATTATAAAAATTAAAACCAAGGAAGTTGTAATTATTGGAGGTTGTACAATTGTGGTATTTATCGGAGGAGCTGCTCTTGCTTCATAGCCATTAGCTATTCCTCTTATCGCTGCATCTTGTAACCAAGTTGCCATTAAATCTTGTGTATTGATAATAACAGGACTATTAAGTCGAGGAGAACCTGCTGCAATATCTAGTGGAGCATTTTTGTTAGAGCTTGGATCAAATTCTGCTAAAGCTGTCGTAAACTGTGTGTCAGATGCAGTAGTTACCACATCAATAAGTGTACAAAGAAAAGCTATATCTAAAATCTGCTCTATGAATGTCGCTCTTGGTATTGGAGTCTTAGTTGCGTTAGCTGCTGGTTTAGAAATATGTAAATGGCTAAGACAGAAGAAATCTGAATGATTTTTTTATCAATTATTGATAACTATTCATTTTTTTAAGATTTTTAAATCTTATTGCTACATTTAAAATAATATGTAAATAAAATCAGAAATACAGAGTTGTTTTTTAATTATAATTGTCTAAATTCTTTTGAATCATTTGGTAAAAATATCAGTATTATTATGATTCAAATTTTTGTAAAGGTTTGATTATCACTCTATCGGAATATATTGAGTGTTTAAATTATTGTAATTTTCAATTTCCTTATGATTTATCATTTAAATACTAATTCAAAATTTATTTTCACCCAAAATTTAGTAATAAAATTATAAATTTTGTAATATTTCAAAATGTTAAGCTACTGTAAATTTAGATTCCTTCTCCATTTTAGATTATCAAATTTTGTAATACTTTTACTATTTAGAAAAAAAATCAATTATTAAAAACTGTTCATTGTCACAAACAGCAAGAAAAAAGCGTATGTAGCAATAGAAATAGTAAGGTTTAATTATAATAATATAATTGAATTCTCAAGATAGAATAATCTTTTACATTTATTATTAACTAAACTTGTTAGAACATGAAACTTGAAGATGGTATATTTATTCAAACATGCAGTATTAAAATTTTTGAATGATATAATAAAACAATATATTATTTCTTTTATAAATCTCTTATAACAGAAGCATGTTAAATGAAAAATATTCCATAACAAATAATTTTTTGTATTTCTATTGTGTTTTTCTAAAATCAAAAATGCCAACAAATTTTTACTCACTTATCCTATTCTTTAGCATAATTTCAAATTTGAAAATTAAATATTAAAAATTTCTAGTGTGGAATTTGAAATTAAAAAAACAATAATTTAATATTCTCTATATAACTCTATTATTCATTAATATATAAGTAAATGAATTTCCTTTTTAAATTTACACAACTCACATTTTTAAAAATATATTTTATAATAATACCTATAATTATTAATTATTTTTAATTCATATTGCATATTAATTTTATTTATCTTATTGAATATAATTACATAGTATAGTATATAAAATTTAAATATCATGACTCATTCAGCTACTGGAAGCTAAGATAACCATAAATAGAATTGGTCTTCATTACGACTCGTTTATGCCTCAGGTTGCTCAAAATAAATCGGAAAATAACTGAAAAGCTAAGTAGAAATGGGACTTCAAAAGAAAGTCTAATTTATAAATTATAACAATTTAAAAAAAGGACCAACTCATTTAAGCTATGCAAAACCATAGATTTATTCTCAATGAATACATGAATCTCATACTAAATAAAAGAGTATGCGCGAATTAGGATGTTAACAATCAGCATATTTTGAACTAGACCCTCAACTCGAAATCTAATGAAGTTAGCTTGTGTATATCGATTTACTTAGAGCACACTCTGAGTCACAGGAAAATTTTAGCAGAATAGTGGATTTTGTAATTTAAAAGTGAAAACAACCGAAATCTGCCATGTGGCAAATAGTGCACATTTGAAAAAAAGTCACTTTGCTGTATGTTCACAAAGAGTTCTTTGTATTAAAACTTCTTAATTAAGTAAGAGTGTTATTAAAACTACTTACTTTAAATCGTTATTGAGCACAATGGTAAAAATTAGAATTTGGAATTATATAAATGCTATCATTTAAACATGGAGTAAGATGTGTCAATAATTGCTCGTTTCCATTAACATCTGAATTTGACTCAGGAAGTGGGAAAACCCAGATCTTTGTCATTTTAGGAGTAGACAATGATCCCCAAGTAGAATAATAGGTTGGTGAGATTCAATTCTGAGTAGGTGAGAACACCTGAAAGGAAGGTGCTCATGTACTCAGTGGATGAGGAAGTCACTTTCTTGATTGATGAGGATTAAATAGAGAGGGTGATGAGTCACAATTCTGATTCAGATTACATGATATAAACAATAGAGGAGGAGACTGATGTAAGTGAATGGTAAGTTATCGATCATAAGCATTTGCTTACAAGGGATTAAAAGAAATTACTCAATTCGTTATAAGAGATGAGAAATCTTTTCAATTCTAAATCCAAACATAGTCATTAGATAAAATAGGCTTTAGAATTGTTCTTTTGAAAAAAACAAGAGAATTTGCTTGATATTTATAATCATAAATAAACCATTTATCTGGTATTCTCAGGTTTAGGTGCATAGTAAGGTCGATCTCCGATCTATTGTTATATCTATTATAATATTAATTTTGATTATCTTTAGGTGAATCAAAATTAAATTAAAAATCATACAGGAATGGAAAAATAGATGGTCTAAAATTTAGGAAAAGGAAGGAGAATATACACAGTAAATTAGGTTGTGAGTCATGTGTTTCAAAATTGATCTGATTTGGAATAATTTGACAGTATACAAAAAGGAGAGGAGTTTGATTAATTTTTGGTTGATAATTGGAAGAATTCGTTTTTATGTGATTAATAATTAAATAAAATGAAATCAATTATTCTGATTGCCCTCATTGCTGTGGCCTTTACAGCCAGAGTCCAAGAGAGAAATATGGCCAAGGTTTAAGCTGATTTGGCTAAAAGCACCTATGGAAAAGCCTTACTTCATTTGGTTGAATTGCACTCAATGGCTGGAGGACCAGTCTAAGAATTGATTGATGCTATTGAAGAGCTCATCAACGATTTGGAAGAGGAATTGGAAGAATTAGAATTCAACTTCTAAGTGAGAACAAACGAGCACAATGCCTTAGTAGTCAGTTTGGAATAAGACATCCAAGATGCTGTAATTGGTATTGAGTATTTTGAATAATCAAGATGTCAATAACACACAAGACACTTTGGACAATCTCCTTTACCCAAGAAGAGCCTAAATCTAAAGCAAGATTGATTCTGTCATTGGATATCAAGAGGACAACAGAAAGAATTATGATGAAGCAATCTTAGTTAGAGAATAAGAACACGAGGCCTTCGAAGCATAAATTGCTGAATTGAATGATGCTACTGCTTCAGTCGATGATGCCTTGGCTCTTCTTGCCTCACTCACAAACCCATCATTGTTGTAGATCAGAAGATTCTAAAATACACTCAAGAACATTGAAAACAAGATCAGATCAAGATCAAGAATGGCACCCATGATCAAAGCTTTGATTAATTTGGCTTCCAATCAAAACTTCTCAAATCAAGACGTATTGAAGAACATTGTTGATGCTCTCAACGAATTCAGAAATGCAGTCGTCGATCAAATCAATGATTTGACAGCCTAAGAAGCTTAAGACGTTATTGATCACGAGGCTTATCTTGAATAATTAGATGATGAATACAGTGAATTCTAAAGATAAATTAACAGAGCAACTGTCGATTTGACTGCCACCAATGGTAAACACATTTGATTTATCTTCCATAGAGAAAATCGATTCAATGACTGAATTCAGAGACTAAAGAGCTGCTGATTAAAAACAATACACTGCTGAATTAGAATTAGAGAACAACACCTATGCTGAAGAAACTGACATCTATACCAACACCAAGAACGAATTCACCAGAGAATTGGGAGTTAGTGAACAAGCTTTAGCCCTCGTTTAAAGCGTAGATTTCTCAAACATCAAAGTTTGATATTCATCCAAAATATAATCATATCATTAAATTTTATTATCATTTAAAGTCTCTATCAAATACAATAATGAGTGATTTGATTGTTTTCAGATTATAAAAATATGATTTAATCTTTCAGTTTCCTTAACATCAATGGATTAATTAATACGTGTCAAATTATTACATAATCTTAACATTGAGATTATGCTATAATTTTATAATTATATTAATGTAATTTATTATTACTAAAAAGTATATTTTATATTCCATCAAAGAAATAGATTATTTTCCCAATATACTTACCTAAAAGTAAATCATTATTCATTAATTTCAATTTCCACATGTAATAACTAATTTTGATATTCTTTACATTCTAACCTCTTGTAATCTAGGTGCACTGAGGAATCTTTCAACATTCACTTTTATGAGTCTCAATTTAGAATCAAGTCCTTTGTAATATATTCAGTTTATTGATCAAACCCAAAGTCAAATAAAATTTAAGAAATCAATCAGATTTTTTTATGAAAAAGTCAAATCAAAGTTGGCTCTCCTCTAATTAGTATTGTTTGATACCTACATAGCTCTATCTAATTAGTGTAAGTTGGATGCTTAGAAATTTGATCGAATAATTGATGGTTTTTTTCTTAATAACTTGAATAATGATATTGATTCACTTATCTTTTGAGTGTGATCATCTATTTCATTTCTGTCACTATAAGATTATGAAATGGTTATTCAAAGGAATGTTTGATTTGATTGACTTAATAAATCGGATTTATATCTATTCCTCAAGGAAAACAACATTTTGAGAATACTTTTAGGTTCAAACTATTAATATATGGGAATAGGCATCTTGAGATCAGAATGGAATGAAACATTTAATGAAAATTTTGTATTCCTGAAACTCACTGTTAGGTTTACTCAGCATTTTGAAATATTGTAAATTGGAATGATCCACATTTAGAAGGTTAATGGAATGAATATCATTGGAATATAATTGAGCTTTGTTTTTGGGAAGGAGTGTCTCGATATAAATTAATTAATTGAGATAGTTGGAATGAAGGTAAGAGAATTAAAAAAATAATATTTTATCATTTTGATACGTAGCATTGAAAATAGTAACAATTATGAATTACAAATTAGATGACACAAATCTACAGGATTTATCATTTAAAAAATTATAGCAATGCTTACCTTCTAAATACAATACCCTTTGGCATTTGGTGAGGCTATGTACATGTGTGGTAACTTTGAGCAGTTAGGCAATTGGAATCCTGTGTAAGCCAAAAGAATGCAATGGTGTGAAGTACGTATCATCTTTAATTAATAGGGAGACACATGGGTGTTAACAGTGGATACAGGTGTGGCTGCTGCGGAGGAACAGGATTTCGAATACAAATACTTCTTCGGCGAGTATGATAGACCCACAAATATTGAATGGGAAATGGGACCCAATCGAATAGTGAGGACAACTGAAAATACAGGTATTTCTAATTGTTATTTTTAGTTATAACTGATATCTGGAATCACAGGAAGATTTTGTTTCAGTGTTACAACCCTAAAAAGTACGCAATGTTCATTTCTGGATCATCCTACGATTTAGGAATGTTCAAGAGAAGAATCAGCATGAAACAGAAAGAAGATATATCCTATTTAAGAATACTTGTGAATGTTCTGGAAGAAAAAGAAATTCGTTATTAGTTTCATCTCATCAACAAGAGACATTATACAAGTCCACTCTAGTAATTGAATCTCCTTACGAATACAAGTAAGTTGATTAATAAATGATTTAGATGGCTATTACAAAAATTACCTAGTAGTCTTTTGTGAAGGATTGGAACAAATTAAGAGATCAATTTATCAATTAGATAACCATATCTGTTACGGTTATGTTCCTGCTAATTAAAACGACTTTAATTCTCTGAAAATGGCTAATCTGAATACAATCATTGAATTCCAGAATTCTCAAGGATTATCCAGCAATTCGATCAAAAAGGATGACTTTACTTATTTCACTGTGAACATTTGCGGTAATCAAGATTCCAACTATCTCCAAAGACTCTACTCGTTCATCTAACTATTAATTCAAAAATATAATGTAATAATTATTAAATTATTCATAGATTATATATGTCTGCAATAACTCCTTGTCACATCTCAGAAAATATTTACAAGCATACCAAAAGATAATTATTTCACAGTGATTAATTTACTTCTTTATTAATTATTTTTATCAATTAACTAACAATGACTAACAATGATGCACTTTCATACTAAAATAAACACACCCGTAACAGTGTTTAATGGTAGAGATAATCAGAAAGGACAAACAATCAAATATATATTTTTAATTAATCTATCTTTTATCATAATTGCTGTTAAGATAGTTAATTCCTTTTGGCACTCTGATAACAATACAATAATATCTATCAAAGTGTGATTTAAAACTAAAAACAATTTAATAAGCATCCAAATACTATTATTGGATTACATAATTAATAAAATATTGTACAATATTTATTACTCAATTTCATTCTCCTTCTTTGGAATTCATCGGATATGTCCTAATATAGATCAAGATTAACACATTTGTTTAATAATATAAAGCTGCTTTAAAACAATTTATTTGCAAAACTTCATTTGATACTCATACTCCATGCTAATATTTTAATGTCAATTTTAAGTTAGTGTTAAGAGATTTGTTGTATTCTTTGTATACTATGTTTGGAGAATAAAGGTTTTAAAGAATTCTCAGACTAAGCTCAAAATAAATGAATTAACCTTTTTTAAAATTCAATTTTATTTTTGTAAAAATAATAGTATCGATTAATCAGTGATTAATCATTAAATTACGAAATATTTTATTTAATAATTATTAATGTTCAGTTCTGTAGCAATAATTTCTCAAATTATTTTATTGTTTTTACACAAATTGTCTTGAAAAAATTGTATGGATTATTTACAATACATGGTAGATGATATGTTAAATCTAATTGAAACAATATATAATCATATAACATTCTATTTTCAAGTTCTTCTATCATATGAAAAACCGTCTCTTATTTGGTACAATTTAAAACTCCTTTGGCAGTCTTTTTTGAGACCGAGTCATGGGTTGACTCTGGATTTCTTTTTCTTCATTCTCTTCGTCGACATTACAAAAAGTGAAACCGAGAGGTGAATTTGATCTCTTGTCACAGGTGTTTTGCTGCAACTTTTTTCTAGATGTTCTTGTTGAATTAAATACGTAGTCATGCATTTCTCAGGAGTCCTCTGGGTATTCGACGTATTTGCTCTTTATAAAATGACTGGTTTTTTGTTAGTGATGAGTCTGGAAATAATGGTGTCCTTGTCTGAGTTTTGCTTTTGCAATTCCAAATTTTCTTGAATCAGCAATTAAATTAGTGATGATTGATCTGGTTCAAGTGCTTATGATTAATTATGATAACTTACATTTCTTGTCCCCCTCAGAAATTACTGATGGATTGGCTGTTGACTGGTTGTCCTGGAATTTGAAACACAACTACTTGGATGAAGTCGTGGTCTAAATCATTCATATACACCACATTTCTTACCTTTCCATTTGAAGATGCTGTCTTCTAAGAACATTTCGAACTTGGAGGTTTATCAGAATTCACCAATTGTGTCATCGATTTCTTATTGAGTGTAATCTTCAGATTAGGTTTTTTAGAATTCTAAGATTTCATGCACTAAGAAGAAGCAAATTATAAATAAATATCTTAATTATTTTAAACACTCGTTGTGTTCATATACACCTGTCCTTCATACTTAATTCATTAATACATTTATAGCAATACCCATTATTGCAATTCACTTTTTGATTAAATATTTGAATTATGAATTTGTACCTATTTATCTCTACTTTTACTCAAGAAACACTTTCATGAGTAATTCATAATATAAATAAATATTTTCAATTTCTTTTCAAATTTAAATAGTTTGGATTTTATTATACCTTACCTGGAGTCTGTTTGCCAATATTGCAATTTATGAAATACTTTCAAATTCTCCAAAAGTAATCTTTTTCGAATTCACTTAATATTAATCACAAATAATCTAATGATTTTGTAACTTTGAATTATGATTTTATGATACATTAGAGTAATAGATAATTGAACAGATGTATGAATTGGATGTTCTTGACATTAGTATATATTTACAAGGAGGATTTAGATCAATATTCAAAGAAACCAATAAAGTAATCAGGAAAAAAGAGTTGGAAATATTCACAATTAAAAAATGGATTAATCTCATATTTCAAATTAAATTTTTAAAGGTGATATATAAACATAGGAAGGGTGGATGATTATCAGGCTGGACTTGACTATTAAATTAGAATCTGCAATCTAATTGAAACTAATGAAAGAAATTTTATTTAAACTATCATCTGTTTGATTGCAATATAGGTATTAAAGTTATGATAAATAAATATTGATCTAAATACAAGAGAGAAATGAATATATTACAGAAGGATATCAAGACAAAAATTTAGAGGTTACTTGAAGGTTTCGAATAAATAACAGTCAAAATTCATCCTAGATTTTGGAAATTAATCATAAATAAAGTTGACTATAATTTATTACTACATAATGATGAAGTTAAACCATATGATTAATCATAAATCTATGATTTTCAATTAATAATCTGTATTTGATTAGAAGAGGAATATCTTTAATATGATCATTAAATTAATTGGCATTAACTTCAAACAAAGATTTTGAACTAGCAATCCATATGATTACAATTATAAAAGTTCCTTATTTTTACAAAAAGCTTCTTTGAATTCTTTTTACTTTTTTGAAATTCTTAATATAGAATTTAGAGTCTCCTAAATATCTTCAGGGGTCATTATATAAATTATTGATTAGGATAATTATATTTTGGAACAAAAACAATAGAATATTCAACCATGTCGATCAGAATTTGTAAGTCATTTATTTATAATCCTGGGCCTATTGATTGATGTATATCATTGGATTTGAACTTCTGCATACTTGTCGTTGCTTTGGACAGTATGCAATTATTTCTCATACTAGTATGAATTAAACATTAGGTTTGTGTATAAATTTATATATTTTAATTAATGGGTGTTCCTAATTTCTATTCATGGTTAATGAGAAGGTATCCTCTATGTCTATATGAACACACTCGAGCATAGAGAGTGGATTATTTTTATCTAGATATGAACCAAATCATTTATAAGTGTGCAACTGATCCCACCGTATTATTCAAGGATCAATTGAGGGAAAGGGATTTTGATGATGTTTGGGTTTCAATCATAAACTACTTGGATATGATTATTAATTTGGTTAATCCTCAGCAATTACTATTTTTGGCTTTTGATGGAGTTGCACCACGTGCTAAAATGAATTAATAGCGTCAAAGACGGTTTCAATCATAGAAGAGATATAAGTATTTAAGTGCTCATCTTCAATAAATTGGTTTGTTTCAAAAGAATGAAACCTATAAAAACAATCAATTCAGTCCTGGTACTGAATTCATGACTCAATTGTATTCATATTCAAATATTAAGAAATCAATAGATTAAATTTTACATTGAGAGAAAATATTCTGAAGATCCCAAATTCAAGAATCTCAAAATCATTTTCTCTGGATGTGATGTACCAGGAGAAGGAGAACATAAACTTCTTAGTTTCATTCGTAATATGCAATTCGATCCCAATAGTGTTCATATGATTTACGGTGCTGATGCGGACTTAATTATGTTAGGTTTGCTTACTTAGTTGAAGAATGTTCTCATTATTAGAGAAGATCTGAAATTCAAATAAACAGCTAGTGCAGCTGCAAACAGAGTCATCAAGATTCCAGAATTTCTAGTCATCAACATCTCTATTGTAAGAGAATACTTGGATTTGGAATTTGCAGTGTTAAAGGATAAAATGAAGGTTGCTTATGACATCCATCGCATTATTGATGATTTTATTTTGCTCTGCTTCTTTGTTGGTAATGATTTTCTACCCAGAATCTATTGTTTCGATATCCGAATAGGAACCATTGAACCTCTTGTTGACTTATTCAAAAAACATCTAACAATGGCCAATGATTACATAGTTCAAAGAGGAGATATCAATTACAAAGAATTGTTAAATCTTCTTGAACTCCTGTAAGGATTTGAAAAATTGTGCATTAATGATAGACAACAAGAGATGCTCAATTATTTAAACACCAGAAGTGAGAACAAGTAAATGATCACGAAGGAGAAGGAATTGATCGATAATATTTTGAAATACTTCTCGCTCCAAGAATAGACTGAGGGAAGAAAGTTTTATTATAAAGCCAAATGTTAAATTGCACAAGGTGATGATTTAGATCTTGAGAAACTGGAAGATATGTGCATTAATTATATGGAAGGAATTTACTTTGTTTTATAGTATTATTTCAAAGGAGTACCTTCATGGGAGTGGTACTATCAATATTATTATGCTCCTCTGTGTGGAGACATTGTGGGAGTCGTATCACATATAGTACAACAATTATCAGATCAGGAATAGCCAATAATATTTACAAAGGGCAAACCATACCCACCCTTTAAACAACTTCTGAGTATCTTAACTCCAGAAAATGCTATGTTGTTGCCTGAACCATATGGTAGGCTGTTAACAGACAAGGAGAATTCCATCCTCAGGACTCCTATTGACTATTATCCTGAAAATTTTGAAACTGATTCATATGGTACAATGTATGAACATCAACATATTACAAAAATTCCTTTTTTGGATTGCAACCTTGTTGAGTAAGCATATAATTCAATCCCTGATACACATGATTCAAGAAATGAAGAGGCTCTTTCAATTTTCTATCAATATGATTCAAACCAATAATAAATCTACGAGTCTACACTTCCCAAACTTTTCAGCAATTTCAAATCATGTTGTAAGAAGTAGTTCATTGACATTGAGGATAAAGAATAGTTCTAAATTGCTTATGGACAATAATAAATACTTGAGCAATAAGAGGACTCGTTCTAAATTCCCTCATTAAAAGTAGTGAGCATTAGGTCATCAAAATTGATAAACATACAATAACATGAAGATGACATTAAGAAGTTTGAGAATTAATTCTTATTGATAGAATTACAATCAACTAAATTTGAGTTTGATTAATTCATTTAGGATGTGATCAAAAATAAGAATTTCGTCTATTGTGGATTCCCTATCCAATAACAATGTGAGGTAATGGCAATTCTGAGACCTGATCATCTAAACCTACTGGAAGGAGTTAAACTCTAATCCATTCAGTTGCTTAAAGACTACAGCAAAAAGGATCATAACAAGATCTATAAGGAAATAAGGAACAAAACCTTAAATTAATATGAGAAATGCATGAAATTAGATTGCTCAACATTTTTGATTGTCAAACAATACAAACATTACCTCAGAGATAATAATAATCAATTGAGTTACCCATAAGAACAATACAGAGAATTAGTGTACCCCTTTGAGTTTGTGTTTCCAGATCAGAAGGTTAAGTTCAACGTTCCCAACTTCGAAGATTTTCAAATTGATAGATCAGTTGTGATATTCCACGAAAAGAAAAATGGAGCAACAGGAACCATCAAATAAATTGATAAAAAATTAACTGTTCAAATTACAGCATATCCAACTCTATTGGGATATGATTATATTCACTCCGACATCTATTACTCTTTGCAAATTGTTAGCGAGAAACTTCAATGTTCAGTTAAAACATTGTTGAATTTACTTGGCAGTGTTGTTGTGAATATGGAAGACAAGGAATCAAAGATTGCTGACCAATTAGATATTGGATTGAATATCATCAATAGAACTAACAATCAATTAGTGCCTGAACTAGTTCGATTGCCTTAGGCTGATTAATATGCAACCGGATCATCAAAGTACCAAAAATTCTTAGATCTAGAACTCTCTGAAAAGTGTGTTACAATTCTATGCAAATACAGAAATCAATGTGCACGAGTCTAGTAATATTTGAACTCATTGAATGATAATCAAAGAAACTGTCCAATCAATGCTAAGGATCTATTTCCTAATTCAATTGACCCTAACATCGATCTGCTTAAGATATATATATGGATTCTGTAATTGCCTGAATCTTAGTATTTATTATAGGGCAGTTCCTCAAAAGTGGCTTAAATCAAAATCCATAAAAAACCCATCCTCAATAACAACATCAATACCACAAAAAAAGTAGATCCAGGTTACGCTGTGTAATAAACCACACAAACTTTCCTCCCACCCTTCTTTATCAAACACCCCACAATACATAAAATTGGAGATAGAGTCGTGAACTTAAATTATCCCTTTGGAATCTATGGCACTGTGGTTGGATTGTTGGAATAAAAAGAGATTATGGTTTAAGTCTTATGGGATCAGAAGTATATTGGGTTCACCAATCTTGGTGGAAGATATGACCTATTGTCTTGTTCAACCTGTAAGTTTACAGAAATCTTTAATCTGTCTAATGAAGATTGGAGAATGAACCTTGCTAAGAAAGGATGTCATTAAGGGGAATTTTGGGATTTATGGACAAAAGTGTATAAACCTGACTTTAAATCAAGGGCAATTGAATTCAATGACCAATTAAAAGAATAAAATCCATTCAAGTAATTAGTTGAATTACCAGTTGAAGTAAAACCCAAAGTCGTAGTAAAGGATAAAGAGGCTCCTCAAGGGTTAGAATTACTCTAAAAACTAGCCCAAGAACAACCCAGCTTAATCACAAATTAGCCTTTGTAAGGAATCAAGGAGGAACAAATTGAGCAGAATGAGGATGAGGCTTAGAAAGAAATCAAAAAGCTGTTTTAATTGTATTAACTAAAAGATTAACAATCCCAAGTGGAATAACAAAACAAATCATAGAGATAAAGTGATGAAGAAGGTTCAAAGGTGTTGCCTTAATAGGTAGAAGAGAATGATGACAAATAGCAGCCCTAATCACAGATCAAACAATAAGTTTAAACGTAATAAATCAAAAAAGTATTAACTAAAAAAAAAGATTAATAATAATAATAATGATAGTATAAGAAAATCACATATTATATAAAGTTATTTAACTTTAAATAAATTATTTCCATTTTGCCTGAGGTATTTATCTTTATTGAACCTCATAATACAGTGGTTCCATCCAATACATGTAGGCATCTTTAGTCATTTCTCTAACCAATTCTTAAAATAACAGTTTCTCCTCTTGCTTAAATATGCAATTAATTATCTCTTCAAATTGGATTTTATACAAAATTTCCAGGTTTGATAGAGCTCTTATTTAAAATATGATCCCATTAAATTCTGAATCTAAAATCATTTAGCTTATCCCCTTGAACTATTATGAAGATATTATTGATAGTAACTAAATAAATAAATATCTTAAATACTTTTTCTAATAGTTCTTAAAATTACTTACCAGAAGGCTAACTTATGGTTTTTGCAATTTCAATTTATTTCCTCAGATTGAGTTGAATAGACCCTAAATCCAACCACTAACCTGTAGTAGATTTCATTTGCTAATTTTCCCTACTAATTTCTTACACTAATAGCGAATCTCCAAGCGAGTATCCTACATGAGAAATTCTCTGAGGATTTTCGATTGTTTATTTTTTATCCATTATTTCCTACTCATTGAGAAGATTTTAGAAGGTATAATCATTCTTAGATGTTTGGGTTTATTCTCTTTGGTTGGCAAGTGATTCTGGAAGATATGGAATCGCATCGACTTTAGTGTTGTAAGAATATCCGAATGGAAAAGGCAAGGGAGGGTCAGGCAACTAAAAATGAACTGACTTCATTAATTTATTATTAAATCAAATATTTAATTTCAGATTAACCTTGAATTGATCTAGAGTGGTAATGCAAGGAGGATCAGAATTAACAGAATCGCATTAAAACTCGTCATCTAATGGTTCACTGTTGATTTGTTTGTTGTTGTTGCCTTCCCATTGAATAAACTGAGAGACCTCGAAAATATCTCTAACTTCCTGTCCCAATTTTCCAATCAATTTTTCATTGATTTTATCGTTCTATTGCAAAGATTGATGAATTCGATCATAAGCCTATATTTAAAATAAGCTATCACCTTGAAGAGTTTGTAATATGTACTTATAGTTTGATTAGACTTATTTTATTCGTCCTTACTGCTAATGGAATTTTACTTTGAGTTAAAGTTTCTTAGAGTATTCCTGGCCAAATTCCGCACTTTGACCTACTTTTCCGCTTCTAAATTGATGACTTCTTTTGGAGCAAAATCAAATAGTACTAATTGATCTTCAGTCAGTAATAGATCCTTCAGGAGATTAATTTCTTTGACCTTATCAATGATAACACAAAGATCTAAGTCCTTATTGATGTTTTTGCTAAAATGCATAGAGGTGATAACATTTACATAGCCTTTTATAATAAAATACTATTCCTATCATAGAAGAACCTTTAACAAAACAACTGATACAAAATATATCTACAATTAAAAAAGATAGGGCAGCTTCTATTTAGAATCTTTTCAATCTATTGAGTCAAATAGCTCCTTCTATCAGTTATGCCTAATTAGGAGATGATCTTTTCTTATTCTTCTTAGAAGATCCTCTACTCATTCTACTTGGTCATCAATTGCTCATCTTATTTAGTGGTGTCATTCATGATCAATTATTAATTTTGATTATATTTTGGTGACAACAATTAAGAAGGGCGGTTATTTGGTTTTTGAATAATTGTCCTACTCTTGGCTCTGGCAATCGTTTTTTTAATTTCCTTTCTTTACTGAGTATCCATTGTATTTGCATTTTGAATTGGGAAATCATACACTTGATTTGCTAATTCAATCATGACTATGTTTATAGATATATGAGTAATTTACATTAGGACTTATTGTAGAATGTAATCAAAAATCCGAAAATCATGACCACAATGTTGGCAAAGCCTCCAAGATAGGAGAGCAAATCAGCTAGATCCTGGAAATCTCTCTTGACTTCATAAGTGTATGGACTTCTTCTCATATAAATGGCAGAGTATTATGAACCACTGTTTTAAACATTGCTGACTCTAAAGTCTCCTTGCTATTTGATGTTAAATAATTGTTCCTAATTGTCTTCGATATAGGGGAATATGTTGTTATTGGTGGTGACATTATACTTTTAGTAAAATACGTCAGTTTCGGTTCCAGTGAGCAAGAGGAAGGAGAAAAATAGTTCATCATCTAAGAAGACTTAGGATATGTTCCTTGGTTATAATGGATTAATGATGGTGTTGGTCATATACCTAAATTCAGGAAATGGTGAGAAGTACATTTTTAATCGAAAGGATCTGTCATTTTATAGATGATTGTCTCTGTCTTGAATGCTGGCACACTAAGGCTTCCAAGTTAGGATTTGGTTGCTCTAACTATCATTTGAACATTCAGTGACAGTTATTTTGGTGAATTCAAACACTTCGCTAGTATAACCTCCTGATAATTTAATTGAATAATTGTATTGAGGACATAGCCATTCTGACAATCCGAGAGAGTTAAATTGATCTGAGAAATTTTAAGTATTAAATATGTTTTAAAATCTGTCAATTGTGCAAGGTATCAGATCTATAAATTAATCTTGTTTAATTATGGTTCCATTGCTTAGTCTAGTGTAGATTCTCTGTTTCAGAGTTATGTTGAAATAAGGGTTGGTGTTAAATTACTTTTATTCGATGGCCAATGCAAACATGTAATTGTCGTCGTTAAAGACAATGTCATCAGGATTAGCATCAAACAAAGTCTGGACATTCAGATTCACATAATTCTTATTCATGAAATCTATGATATTTTGTTAGAAGAAGAATGCAATGACAGCAATTATGGTCATCGAAAAAATTCCGCCCATTGCTGTTTGATATGAATCATCACCATTGAAGTTCAATTGGATATTTTGCCCAAAAATATCGAAATTCTTAAAAACTTTAAATGCTATTGATTATTACATCCTATAGATTTTTTGAACATTCAATTTTAATATATATTAATATTAATGCTCAAAAGATTAATAATTCTAAACATCAAAAATGGATACAATCATAAGACAATTATGTTAATGGTGAGTGAATATGAAATTTATGTATACAATTTTATTATAATAATTATAATGAGCAATAGTGTAAATGGGGATGACTTTTCTGAAAGAGAGGATTGCGATCTCGAAGACGATGATCAAATGCCCTAATTAAACATGGAACAAGTAACTGAAATTAAAACAAAAGGTTTACACATCAATGACATCTGAACACAATGGAATCTTTGCCCAATCATTTCTCATCTCGAAATAAATTACATCCAACCTCATCAAACAATCATTAAAAATCGCAGAAGAACAAGTATTACCATCGTTTCTAAGTAGTTTATACAAAAGCAAATTCCCCTAAGTTCCAATGCATAAGTGATGACCATAATGGAATTGATTGTAGCCAGTTATTACAATGAAGATGGATTGCCCATCAATGGATGTAATATGACTGAAGATGGCGAACCTGTATATATGCCTATCTATTAAAGAATGTAATACATTATGATCGTTGGAGGAGAAATAGAGTCAACATTGAAGAAATGAATTAGTCATTTTCTGATAATGAAGAGGAATATGTTGAAAATGAATTGCCATCGCAACACAATAGCTAAAAAAATAACAAGTTACGATTTTCTGTTTTGGAAAAGAAAAAAACACCAGTTGTTGCACCACCAAAATCAAGTCATTCAGAAATAAGATTGATAGAATTTTAAGTGGCAGAGGATGAAGATGAATATATTGATAAATTAAGATAGAAGAAATTGTATGATATTAAGAAGAAGATTGAAATTGAACAGAAAATGAAAGAAGACATTATTCAAAATTAAGTACCAATTTAATTATTACCTTTTAGAAAAAAGAATAATCCTCCAATAAATACACCTATGATTACGATGGCAAAATTTTACTATCAAGAGGAGTCAAATACGATAAATTATAGCCAACTGTAACGAAGTTAAAGGTAGAGATGAAGGATCTTCCAAAAACAACCAATTAATAGAATATTCAGCAAAGCAACTCAAAAAAGGGAAGCAAATAAGTTATCTAAACTTAATAGCCAGTGCTCATTCCACCTAAAGCCAGTGCAGACATACCGAACAAAGTAAAATCATGAATTATATTAGAATATCATAGATCGAAAGGACGTAGCTAAAGATGCAACTGGAGATAAAGGACTTCGTATTGACAGAGGAGCCTAATTACCTTATGATACCTTCTCTATGACAAATGGTGTTAAATTGATCTACGATTCGAGATACAAGGAAGGAATCAGGTATTAGATTAGTGATTCAGCTGAGTAATTACAATATAGATTGTCAGGACAAAACTTTTTACCTGGTGATGACATAAGTAAATAAATGCAACAAATTCGGCTAACTCGAGCAGAGTATAAGATGTTGACTGACAATGGTAATCCATTTCAATAATAAACTAAATCTTAATTTATACCTTAGGAGAGTGTTGAAACAAAAAAGACCTTAGAAAATACTAAACTTGAAAAGACAGTTCAATTCAATGAGAGTCATCTTGTTATGAATAAGTTTTAGACCAACAAACCTTAATTATAGAAAATTGAGACTCAATCGGAGAAGATATTGACAAAAAATGCCAAATTACTTGAAAATCTGTTGGTCCAACCTCATAAGCCTGATACTCCGAGTCAACCAGTTAAGCAAAGTGAACCATAGATTAAGTTAGTAATTTTCATCTTAATTAGAAATCCTATTGACACTTTTAATCAATCCTTGCTCAACTCTAAGGAATGGGGCAAGGCTAATGCCAAGATTGGGTACTTTCCACCTGTGCGTGTGTCGTAGCATCGAGGACACAATGGGTCATTAGAATAACTGTATTGTTTTTGATCCATGAATCTAGTTACAAGCTGCCCAGGGATAGAATCAATGTGCAATAATAGAGAACTCAAAGTGAGTTCTATAAATTGTTACCGAAGAGATCTGCGCATTAATCAATGAGTGAAGGGATGTTGTAGACATTTTACACTACACATTCCAAGTTTGATGAAAAACTTAGATAATTTTGATTTATATGAATTATGTATTTAAAGTTTTCGTGGCTAAATTTCTCAATCTTTACATTGAGGGATTTGGAGGCTCGTAAGTGTAATTGTATTAAGGAGCCTTGAATCTATAAAAGGTTTAGCTCAAATTGTAAACTCTGAACAAGTTACTCAAAGAATTATTGATTCCTTTTACAATACTCAAAGCTGACATAGAGATGCTCAAAATAGATATTCCTTGGGCATCCCTAACTACTCAGCCCATCAAAACGCATATAAGTGGTTTGAATGTAATCATACAATATAATGAATAAGAAGACATCGAAAATCTGATCTAGGATTTATCAAAAAAATAAAATAATGAAAGCAAGATCTCTATTCAAGACGAAATTCGAAAACACAAAGAAATTGATGAGTAAGTACTAAAACGATTTGTAAAAAAATTGCTACTCAATCTCTCCTTTGAAATCAAAGATATTCAAGTCGAGTTGCTAATTAAGCAGCAATATAGACTATAGGTTGTATGCCAATAATTCAGTACGTCATGTCAAGAGAATTTAAGAATAAATCCTGAAGACGTTGATCAATTCCATAGAGAATTAAAAGTGGAGACATTCTTCATCAAATTGATTCGTTTTAAGGATGATGACATTTCAAATTAGCAATTGCTGGCTCTGGATCAATGCAATTCATACCTAGAAAGATCCAAAGATTCTATCTATTGTCATGTTGAATTCAACAACTTCAATATCATCTTGGATAAAGACATTGTGTTGTTGGCAAATGATGCTATGGACAAACACACTTAGTTAGAATAGTTGGTTCAAACCAAACTAAATGAATTCAAAATCCAGCCCATCCATGAGAATTTCATCTTCAGGGACATTACTACCGTTAGCAAGGGAATACACCTGTCCATATTTTCAAACAACCTCTTCATTCAATCCTAATAATTGACATTATTTATATAGTAGTGCAACATTTGTGCCAAGTCATTCCTATAGTAAATGCTATACAAATTAAGTTTCGAGGAAATCCATGTAAACAACCATTTATATTCATTAGATCAAATATAATGGACTCAAGATCCTTTAATTGACCAAATAAGATAGCAATGAGTTTAGTATATGGCCGGAATTGCACAATCAAGATGCTGATAAAGTAAGCTTTCTTCTAATTGTAGTAACAAATTATTTTGGAAATCGCCCAAAACTAAAGCGATAGAATGAAATTGATAGAGCAAAAATTATTTCTGTAAATAGAATTTATTCATCTGGAACTAGATATCCAGCATCTGCTATAAAATTCATAAGCCATCTTAAATCATGTTCAAAGTTATTAATGTTTCATCCCTCCCCAATAAAAATAATAGTCCTTATAGAAAAGCAGTCAAACTCACATCAAATCCCATTAAAAAAAGTTGACTTTCAAAATGAACATTATGAAAAATAAACTAACTCTAAATGTATCTGGCATTACACAATTCTAACTACTATTCCAAAGTTAGACTCATATTGGAATGTATTAAAAGAAAGAGAAAATCAAGAATATTGAATTGAAACACAATCAATTGCAGTTTCATTTGTTTGATCAAAATTAGCATCTTTTGGTATCTCTCAATGGATTTAATGCCATTTTTGACTATTTCAAATAAATTGAATTAAATATTCATCTTTCATAAGTTTAAATCAGAATCCAAAAAAATACATTTGCATAACTAATAGCGTTGCAGAAGATTATAGAAACAGAAAAATTCGTGTAAAATGAACCCATCTAAAACAAATCAGTACAACAAAATGAATTGAATCAAAAAAAAAACATAAAATTTACAGCCTTAATGGAGAGATGCTCAATCGATTTTGGTTAATGTGTCAAGATTAATAACTACGTATCCTTCATAACTCTAAATATAAAATAATTGAATTTGTAAATATTATTAATCGAAAACACTGCACATCATTTAGAAGTGAAATCCAACTTTAATCTATGGACTACTCATCCCTTATAGAAAAAAAGCTGTAAAATCACAAATGTAAATATTATTAATCTATTTCAAGACTATCAAGTGTAAGTTATTATGGAACAAAATAATTGATCCTAATTAGCAAGATCCTCAAAACATCCTTTAAATTTAAAATGCTGTCGAAATCAAATTGTCTTAATTAACCATTTCAAATTTGCTCAACACAGTCAATTTATTAAGTGGATTGGACGTTGTTAGTGTGATAAGAAACAAAACAAAAAAGAAAGTGCTTCTTAAGGTCATTAATGTTCAAACCAAAAATATTCAATCATTCACACTCGAACCAGAAGATTCCACTCTGCTCTCATCACTATATGACAATCTTTAAGGTAATTGATATTGTTATAATTTTATCCAGACCCTAAAGATTATCCTACGTATTAGATCTAATTAGGCTTAGAAATCAATGAATCCTTGTAATTCTGGTCCCAAGCCTATCCATTTCATTTATCCAAGTAGTATTTTAATAAGTTCGTGTTAATTGATGAGATAGATCAACAAGAACATGATATTTTTCTTAAGGCACTCAATAACGAGTTTATTCTAACTCAATAGGATAGACAAAATACTGATTTGCAGACAGTTGCTGAACCAACCATAGAAAATTAGTCTGATTATTTGTTAACATTTAAAACTGGGAGTGTAGAGTGTTTTTAGATAGAGGGTAATTCTAAGAAGGTTTTCCATACTAAGTTGACTGAGTAGAATACAATCACATTAGTCCTAAGTATCAATATGATAATATATTCTAAGTGACTGAAAATCAATAAGAAATTAAATTTAATTTGAAAGAAGTGATCCAACAAAAGACTGTTTTGTCATTTAATTTTGTGAAGATAGATAACAATTTTTATAATGTGCTTCTTTCATTTGAATTAATCAAAGATCCAAAGGGATAATACTTTTAAAAGGTGATAATTAAACCCTTCCTTATCATAGTCAACCTACTTCCCTGGAATTTCAGCATAGGAAATGCGTAATTTATCAATTTACCAATAAGTGTTGATGTCAATATGAATAACACTCTAATCAATAATTTTGATTAATAATTAGATTTGTTTTATGCCAATTTATTGAACAATAGAAAGCATGCATCCAATTAATCTTAATAAATCATTATTAATGGATAAGTAACAAACTTGTATTATTTAAACTTCTTAAAAGAGGGGAAGTATGCAATAGAGATCAACAAGAGACATCATATGATAATGATATTCAGAAATAATGTCTTAGTGTAGAATTAAATGTGTTTTGTTATTTGCCGTAATATTTATTAACAGCAAATAAAATATCTACTATTGAAAAATAAGACTCAATTTAATTTTATTTTGATGAAAAATAAGTCCCGAATCCACATTTATCCATTTTCAGACAATTGTCTGGAATACAATATATAGAAAGGGGATAAGTATCGAATTTTTGTAACTAATCAGGATTACGAATTGATGTAACTGTTGGACTCTGAAACTATGACTAAGCACAATCTTAAGGTAAACAAAATCTAAATTTAAAACATCCATATTATTGAAATAATTATTAATGAAGAAAAGATTATAGGGAAGGAATTCAAGATCTCAATTCCAAATGTCAAAATAGATATATAGGTGTGTGATAGATAGGAGATCAACATATTTTTTGATTTAAATTTGAGATTCTTCTCAGATACTCATTTGGATATTTTAATTTAGAATTTTATACTGCAATTTGAGAACATTAACGTGATTAATATAACTGATTGCTTCTCAATTATTGAGATGTCTAAATCAAATGATTTAAATTTAATAATGATCAATAATATTTTCTTCAAAATAAAAGACATCAAACTAAATATCCAATAACAATTCCTGAATTCAATTAAGCTATTAATTTCATTATTAAGATTGGACCCTTTATTTTTGAGATAAGAATAATAACAATAGATACAATCTACTAAATGTTAATGGGAATCATTGATACAACCAACCTTCATCATTTTGAATATGATTATAGATCCAATAGCATTAGAGATTAATATCTTAACAAACATGATAAATATGAACAATAATCTACTCTTGCCATAATAATAAATTAAGATGAGAAAGTTCAAACCCAATCAATTGAAATCAGAGATCGTATCCTTCTATCTGGCATTTCTAATTACCAAAATTCCAACCATCCAATTGTTAATTCAGAATTTACCAAATCCATTGCAATTGCTGCAATCTAAAAAGAATGAACCTGATGTAGTCAAATTGCCGTATTTTTTCATCCACTCGCCAATACAAACGAGGATCAATTAAATAGAATATGTTTATTTAAATAAGAGTTGTAAAGTGGCAGTTTCAAATGAAAAGTTAGCAAGATGCCAGATTGTGTTAAGTAATGATAAGCTTGAAATATTTGTGCAAGATGAAAAATAGACAATTTTTTTGGATTCAATATCATCGATTAGATTGAACAAGTAGAATTTCAGCATCTATGTAAATAAGAACTTGAAATTGAGATTTTATTCAAAACAGTCAACCTTGATTGTAAATCTAATCAAAAACTTATTATATTGATTCATTATAGTTTTATATATTATTCATAAAGATTCATAAATATGTCTCTGCAATTAACCTTAGTTTTTAGTCTCATATTCATTAAGTATGCTCCTGACAACTTCCTGTGCAATGAGTAGATCTCAGGAGGTGGAGGTCTCATTCGATACTTGAGCATAACTGGCATAAGTTCATATATCTTTTTGGTCATCTATTGTTCTCCAAAATCGAACTCCCCTTGATGTCTGAATGGTTCTCCAACACATATGATAGAATCTACATGGGCTTCCTTCATTCGGATGCTTTCCTCTCCTGTCAAAAACCCTAAATCAACAGATCTTTGCAAACACTCCTTTCGATCCTAAATGGTGGCAGCATAAATGACTCCAATGTAATTGTCCATAAAGGGTTTAGTGTATTCATGAACTAGAATTACTAAATAATTGAACTACCTGCTCCAAAATCAAGTAGAATCAACTTATTATTGTGTCTATCAAAATAGAAATTGGAAGGATTTGGATCTGTCTGCATGGTTCTAAATTTAAAGAGTTCTTAGAGTGTCAGACTCATCACTCTTCTCCCGATTTCATTTCTCAAATGCTAAGGGTAATTTTCAGCTGCAAAATCAATTGTGTCTCCATACAAGTAGTCAGCAGTCAAGATCCTGGTCGTTGACAAGTCGCTAATCACTTCAGGAATGGCAAATTCAGGTTGATTTCCAAATAACTTCCTATAATTCATTTATTTTGCAGCTTCTATCTTATAATCGCATTCCTCATGCAATTCCCTTCTGGTATTGGCTATCAATTTATCTAAGAACATGGTCTTTGGGAACAAGTTGGTATATTCCATAAGTCTTTTCAGATTGTTTAAATCACTATCTATGGCTTCCTTCACTCCTGGATATTGAATTTTGACAGCCACACGTTACCCTTATGATGTAATGGCTTCATGCACTTGTCCAATCGAAGCAGCAGCAAAGGGTTTGAGTTCGAATTCTTTGAATTTGCTCATCCAATCACTGCCTAACTCTTGTTTGAGCATCTATTCTTTAACAATATTTCTTGTACTTTCTCTAGTTACTTTTAGGGCATGATGTCAGCATTCTACCTAGCCTATTCAAAAGCCTATCGAATGTGTTTTGGAATGACTTCATCCTCTTGAATACTTAAAGCTTGAGCGAGTTTCAAGGGGGCGCCTCTCATTTTGCAAAGACCCTTGGCCAAGAGAGAAGCATTCTCCTCACTTACCAACGCCTATCTAAAAGACACCTATTATTCTCAATTAATTTGTACATTTTATTAAGTGACCATCGTTTTCATCGCATTAGTTGCCAAACTAACGCCCAAGGCTCCAAATTCATACACTCTTCCAATTGCTGTTTAAGGCACTTTATTTTCAGTAAATTATTTATTGATAGGAGGAGGAGAAGGAATTTAAGATTACTAATCATTGCTTTATTGATCTTATTCAATACCTTTCCTTTGATGGGTATCTTTAATCTACTCATTTATTTTGTTGTTGATTTGTTGAGGTGGTTACTATTATTCTTATACTCCATATATGGGCTAAGGAGTTTAATTCTATATTGAACTATATTCTGGCTTTTTGATTGTTTCACTTTTTTCATTTATGGTGGTGGTCTATTTTTCCTATTTGAATTGATCTATTAGATTATCTTTAATTAATTAAGGTTAAGTGACTCCATCAATTACTCTGTAGATGCCTCTACAAACTCCGGCAAAATCTTAAAATTCCTTTTTTCTAATTAAGCTTGATATGAAGGGTAACATACCAGAATTAATTTTATATTTAATAAAATAAACTCNTTTGGATCTGTCTGCATGGTTCTAAATTTAAAGAGTTCTTAGAGTGTCAGACTCATCACTCTTCTCCCGATTTCATTTCTCAAATGCTAAGGGTAATTTTCAGCTGCAAAATCAATTGTGTCTCCATACAAGTAGTCAGCAGTCAAGATCCTGGTCGTTGACAAGTCGCTAATCACTTCAGGAATGGCAAATTCAGGTTGATTTCCAAATAACTTCCTATAATTCATTTATTTTGCAGCTTCTATCTTATAATCGCATTCCTCATGCAATTCCCTTCTGGTATTGGCTATCAATTTATCTAAGAACATGGTCTTTGGGAACAAGTTGGTATATTCCATAAGTCTTTTCAGATTGTTTAAATCACTATCTATGGCTTCCTTCACTCCTGGATATTGAATTTTGACAGCCACACGTTACCCTTATGATGTAATGGCTTCATGCACTTGTCCAATCGAAGCAGCAGCAAAGGGTTTGAGTTCGAATTCTTTGAATTTGCTCATCCAATCACTGCCTAACTCTTGTTTGAGCATCTATTCTTTAACAATATTTCTTGTACTTTCTCTAGTTACTTTTAGGGCATGATGTCAGCATTCTACCTAGCCTATTCAAAAGCCTATCGAATGTGTTTTGGAATGACTTCATCCTCTTGAATACTTAAAGCTTGAGCGAGTTTCAAGGGGGCGCCTCTCATTTTGCAAAGACCCTTGGCCAAGAGAGAAGCATTCTCCTCACTTACCAACGCCTATCTAAAAGACACCTATTATTCTCAATTAATTTGTACATTTTATTAAGTGACCATCGTTTTCATCGCATTAGTTGCCAAACTAACGCCCAAGGCTCCAAATTCATACACTCTTCCAATTGCTGTTTAAGGCACTTTATTTTCAGTAAATTATTTATTGATAGGAGGAGGAGAAGGAATTTAAGATTACTAATCATTGCTTTATTGATCTTATTCAATACCTTTCCTTTGATGGGTATCTTTAATCTACTCATTTATTTTGTTGTTGATTTGTTGAGGTGGTTACTATTATTCTTATACTCCATATATGGGCTAAGGAGTTTAATTCTATATTGAACTATATTCTGGCTTTTTGATTGTTTCACTTTTTTCATTTATGGTGGTGGTCTATTTTTCCTATTTGAATTGATCTATTAGATTATCTTTAATTAATTAAGGTTAAGTGACTCCATCAATTACTCTGTAGATGCCTCTACAAACTCCGGCAAAATCTTAAAATTCCTTTTTTCTAATTAAGCTTGATATGAAGGGTAACATACCAGAATTAATTTTATATTTAATAAAATAAACTCATATGTATTCTTTCTTTATAATCAATATGACTTGTATAAGAGTAGGAATTCTAGTTAGGGAAGGTAAAGGAGGGTAATATAAAATATCTAAACACATTCGATTGATGAAAAGATTTGTAGAGAGAAAACTAAAATTTGGGAAAACAATGTAGGATACGAATCGGATGGATTTGCAATGTTGTTAATTGGGATTGTATTTAAAATTTTATAAATTTATAAAGTTTAATAGGTAGTTAGATTCGGTGTATTTGAAAAAAAGGGTCTTTTGGGTGGAGTGCGTTGAGGGAGTGCAATGGAAAAAGATATTGGAGTATGGATTGTGATTTAAATTAGCGAAATGATATAATATTTATATATAATAATTAAGTTAAATGTACGGTTTGAATCACTAAATAAATAGAAGTTTTGATGATAATGATGAAACCTAAACTCTGGAGGAGGAGATCATGGATGATTACTCGCCCACGAAACAAGGTTTCATTAAAAGTAATATTTAGAAATTCGGGAATATGCAATTCATTTGGGAATGAAGTTACCTGAAGACAATTAGTATTTGGATATTGCAAAAGCTGGTCTAAAGGCCAAACTGCCTGAAGAATGGAAGATTTGTTCCAAGAAGATTAATGGGAACGAGGAAGTTTTCTACAAGAACAGAGTGACATAGGAAATAGTTTATGAACATCCTTGCGATATTATATACTCAAAGAAATATGAGGAGGCTAAGTCGATTGACTTTCAGAATCAGAAGAAAAAAGTATTTAGAATATTTTATTCCAGAAATCGACTGGGATCAACAAGTTCAAAAAGGATATTGAAAAATATAGGGAACCAAACTATTTGGAGGGGAATGAGGAGGCTGAATCCTTTATGGTGGATTCCAACGTGTATTACGAGAATCGATAAAATCAGGGTTACGTAGTGTAGAATCCAATTCAGGCCTCAGCAACTCAAAATCTATTATCCCAAGTTGATTAGGAATTCGCAAAGCAAGCTCAAGATTACGAGGACGAGAAGAAGAAGGATGTTATTAAGTAGAAGGAGGAAAACAAATAGAAGTTGAACAAAATGGAATTGATATTGATGAATGAGGCCGATCCTGAGTTATTCGAATTGAAGGAAGAGTATGAAAGGCAGAAGGAATCCTTGTCCAAGAGTGAGGAAGAGAAGAAGAGGAAGGCCAAAAGAAAGGCTGAGGAGGAAATGGAGTAGAGCATTATAAATCAGAAGAACGTATTGTAAAAGTAATTGGAACGGAATTTGGAGAATTATGAATATGAGCAGGAGAAAACTATGAAGAATAAATTGAGAACTTTGGAGCAAGAATTGCAGGGGCAATAGAAAGATATAGTTAAAAGAATCAATCAAAGATAGAAGGAACTGTCAGATTCCGATTAGAAATGGATGAAACAAATATAGGAGAAGAAGAAGAATGTGGAGAATCTGTTAAACAAGTACAAAAAGGAATTGTCTTAAGAAATATATTCAAAGATTTAATAAGTGGACTAGGAGAACATCAAAAGATTGAGAACAGAGTAGGAGGCTATTAAAAAGAAATTGCTCAATGAGTTTGACAAGGTCAAGAGGGAATATAAATTTGAGATAGTAGATCTATAAGAAGAGAATCAGAGGATGATAAGATCGATAAAGGAGGAGATGAAGAGTCAATTCGATCCAAAGTTTAATCAAATCTAGTAGGTATTTAGTGATTAATTGTAAAATATCGAATTGAGTGAATCTCAAATGTTGTAGTCCCAGATTTATGATTACAGAAATTCAGATATCGAATAAAGAAAGTCAGAAAATGTCAAGAAGATCACCTAATAAAAGGAGAAATTATACTAGCAACTTTAAAATTAACTAGCAAATTTAGAGAGACAAACTAATGAGAAATATCAGGAGATGAAGAGGAAGTTAGAGGAAACCCAGAGGTTGAAATTGGAGAAGATATAGAAGGATTTCGAGAAGAAGACAGGGAAAATCTTGGGAAATGGAAAGGAGATTGATATGTGTATGGACATCAATCAGACCAGGAGTCTTATACATGAATTGAGGGAGGAAATAAAGCAATTTAAAAGAAAGAAGACTGAAGCTGAAGAGAAATTGTCAAGCATGAACATCGTAGTTTCAAAGTATGATTTGTAAAATGAATTGAAATAGAAGGATGTTATCAAATTTGAATTGGATCGTTTGCAATATTTGGTCAATTAATATAAGTAGGATGACAAGATAGCAGACAAGGAATTAGAGTTATTGGAATAACAATATTAATAGATGATAAGGAAACATTAGGAGTTTTAATAGAAACAGCAGACGATGCAAAATATGATATAGAGCGTGAATGAGTTGAGAGAATAATTGGCAGCCAATCAAAGCAGTGACAATTCCAAGTTTCAGAGCAACCTATTCAGATAGGCAGGGAATAGGAACTATGGCACTGAGATCAATATTCAAAATAATCTCTCAATGAATCAAAGTGTAGTAATCGAGGAGAATGCAGTGCAAATGTAATTAATGTCTTTAATAAAATCATAGGCGTAAATGGAAGCTGATTCTATTGGATGAAAGAGTTGCTTTAAATAGAGAACATTAATTATATAAGACTGATAAGGAGAAAATCAAGCAGATGAGGAGGAAATTGCAAATTGATTCTGAACAATTGAAGTCATAAATAGAGATGGCGCAATCCTTTGATTAGAATAACATGAAGAAAGATCTCATTAAGAAACTCAAATAAGAAATCAAAGAGCAATAAGTGAAAATCTCAGATGATACTGAAAAATCAAATAATTGGAGACAAATATTAAAATAGAAGTCCAAGACATTGGATTAAATGGAAAAGAACATCAATGACTCTAACCCTCAGCCAGAATTACTGCATTCTCTTGAATAATTGTATATGCTGTATAGTAAGATTGGGGAATTGGAACTCAATGATGACATGGTAGAGTAGCAGATCTCAAACAATAACGAAAGCTACTTCAATTAGATCAAGGTGATTTCAGAGGAGCCCTCGCTATATTAGGATTAACAACAGCAGCATTATGATCTATAGATGCCATTTGAGGCGCCCAAGGTAACTCATTTTGAACAGCCAGAGAATCTATCGAAATACAGAATGCAATTGATTTAGTAGAAGGAATGGTTGCAAAATTATAAGTACAGAGTAACAATTAAGTGTTATTTATTAGGTTCTCGCGACTAATCCTTATAGTATAGACTCCAGAGAAAGATTCTAAAGGTACTAGCAGTTTCTTCATTGCAAAGTATGAAATAATTTATATTATTATATTTATTTTTTTAAAACGGAATGAAGTTGATTATGTTATTCATCGTCGGGTTAGGGGTGATTGGTGCAAGTCTTAGTAAGTAGTTTATCTATTTAGTCAGGATGAGTAATTCTGAAGAGCTGTCTTTAGAGCCTGCGTATTACAAGCCTCAGAAAAAACAATAGGAAATGCTCAAGCAATAAGTGTAGAATACTAAGTATTATGAGTCCAAGGATGGAGAACCTTCACAAAGTTTCGAGATGGAAGATAAACTCTTGGAAGCAAGTGATGAATATGGTTATGGATATTGGGTTCGTTTTTCTGAGAATGAGAATCAGGACCCTCTTAAATATTATTTTCTGAGTAGGTTAACTACAAATAGGGAACACGGAGATTTAACTTATTACGGGGACAGAGCATTAAGTGTTTTCCTGTATAAGAATGTGTTTGTATTTGCCACATATGATTTGGATGAGAGTCTCAAATCGAAGGAGAGACCAGTCAAAATGCAAGAGAATATTAATGGGAATTGGTACTTCGTTTGTTATTCCAAATAAAAATCAGAGATCGTAGGGTTTTTGGTGAAGTTTGGAGCAAATTATATTTTGCGATTTGAACAATATGGTAGGCACAAACCTAGTAAATATTATAAGGTGATATTTGGGGGATCTGAATTCGATTACTTGAGTCTGCCTGGACAATTTGCAAATATCTATTTTGATTTCGATGAGCCTGCATTCATAAATACAAACGAAGACGTGATCCATCTTATCTAGACTCATTGTAATATGCCTTAAGAGTTACTGAAGAGGTCTACAATTAAATTGATTGAGGAAACTAAGGACTTTTCAGCCAACAATAAGGAGGATTCAATAGAAATGGAACCCTTTGAAAATGAGTACATCATTACCCAATATTCTGTGAAAGGGTGGTTTCGTTGGGTTGACAACATTTTGGTTGAAGAACTGAACCAATTCCAGATCTTTAATTTAAGAAGCAATAAAGATAAGAGTGATAAAACTGGAGATAGGGCCTTAGAAATTCATTAGATTATTGGAGGTGGATCAGAAAGCGAAGTGTATTTTAGTACATACTCCATCATTGACGAACAGAACAGAATTACTAAACAATTGAAATCTAATTAATTGGTGTGGACCTACGCATCATTTAGTTATGACATAGGGAGTCTAAAGGCTTTCGGATACTTGATATATCCAGGTTACGCGTAGAGTTTAGAATTCAATGAGGCACAGCATAAATAGGTCACCAAACTATTCTTGACCATAGGGGCTGGTAGCGATATTTCAAGTTTCAATGGGAAGATTGCTTATGTTTCATTAAATGTAGGGCCAAAATCATTTAGTAATAAGATGCAGATGGATGATGAAGGAGCTTTGAATTTATTTTTGAGATCTACATTAGTATCGGAGGAAGAGGATATTCGACCTAGCAGATACAATTCAATATAACCAGTGTTTTCTTAGTTGTATGATGATGACAAAGTAAATGGCTAGAGTGAATATAGTTTTGGAATGTGGAGTCGATGGATACGCACATACCCATTATATTTATAAAAGAGAGCCGAAATTCATTCGATTGCTCATTTGAAAAGATAGTACAAATAGGTCTTATTGGAAATCCAACTAGCTAAATCATCTTACTTATTTTAATCATTAGACGAGATACAACATATTGAGTA